CGGACCAAACTAGGAAAAAATGTATTTGTTTTGGACGCAATTCGAATACGTCGATATTTATTCACGTGACTATTATTATAAGGGCCCCGATTTTAATGCAATAAATATTGTTAAATATTTACATATTAATGTACATATATTTTCAAAAATATATTACATAATATGCATCAAATATATATAATATGAATATAAGTATGCACACAATACTTTAAGAAACTTTCTAAGGGGAATGGTGACGGGAGCAGCCATTGTTATAGGTAAATTAATGTATACCCGTAAGTAACGATAAGCCGTTGCTTACGAAAAAACGATTCTGAGCGGAGTTTAGTTTATAGTCATTCTTTGTCAACAATATATATGTATGGCATATTATGGTAAAATAATTAAATAGGCATTTTATATTTTCTAATAATATTTGTTTAATGTTGTACCAATTTTCTCATATTTTATCCCGGGTTTTCACATTTACTGGGAAAAATCATGAAAAAATCAAAAAATTACCTTTCTAAAGTGTCTCCTTAATGAAAGTTCCTTTTAGAAACATTGCTATTATAAAAAGTTGTAGCAAAATTGTTGGTAAGAGTTTTACACAGAAAAAATATTGCAATATTATACAAATATATTTCGTACATTTTTTAAGTATCATAAAAACCTCTAATAATCTTCTAATCCTTGTACAGGATGTTACAAATTGGCTTGTGTCTCTTTGTTTTCTTGAGTAATTGATCATATTTCCGATATTGTAACATCAACAATATTAATTAGATCTTAATGGATAATTCAAAATTTTTCTGTGACAACTTGTCTACTAGCAATTTTGTTCAGATTTACAATGATATCATTTTTTCTAAAAGTAAATCTAACTGGAGTGATAGTTTAGGAAGTATTTTTTTGAGCAACATTATTAGCTTCATACTATACAATCTCCAACCAAAACTGAGACAAAATCTTGTTATTTTAAACAAAAAACTGGTAAATCATCTTTGCATAACACTATGAAAAGGTAAACAAAACGGTATGGAGAAAAAACTTTTTTGATTAAGTTAATTGTTTTTTGATTTTCTGAAAATTTAGTGACTGTGGACATTGCACACTTTGGAACTAGACCCCTGAGATATACAGTAGATTTTCCCTCTACCTTCCTAACTTCTCTCCTACAACAGTGGCCTAACCATTAAGTTTGACTAACAATGCATGTTGAAAAGGAGCCAAAAAGCTAAAGAACTCTACAAAGAGCCATTAACTATTTTAAAAAAATATTGAATAGAACTAAAGTTACTTCAAGTGATCATCATAGGACACCCTGTATATCTGATATTTGATCCAGATCAATAATATTATAATTATAATTTGTTCAAAATATGTATAAAACTCATTATTTTTAATATATTATTTTATATTACTTATAATTAAGTTTAATACTAGTATTCATTAATAAAGTTAATCATTTTTATAGATAGTAATTTGTTCAACTATGTAGTTAAATATTAATACTAATTTAATATTTTTAATAACAAAAAAAAATCTACAATATTATTTTGAATTCAATGAAATTAGATAATTTATTTGCTGAAATGTGTGTACTACTTACATATAAATCAACTGAATCTCTCAAGAATATACTCAATTTTACAAGGATATCATTTTCATAGGTTAAAGTTCCAAGATAATCTGGGTCTATCTCCCATTGTTTGTTGTGAGATGCTTTAGAGAATAGGTAGCTGGAACTCTGAAAATTAAAATCAAATAATTTAAAATTTAGGTAAATAACCAGTGGTGTGCCCAGGAATTTTCAATGAGAGTATATAAAAAACTGTTAATCATAAATAAATATCATAGAACTTTCTTCTTTACCCAATTAACAATGAGAATTTAAAAGTCAAATCTGAAAAATCAAAATTTTCATTGTAAATTGGCTGAAGTATCATTTAAAAATTTCAAGACTAAATGAATAAATAAATATCCTTAGTTGTTATATTGAAAAGCCAATAAGAAGGCGATGCCACTGTTCATAACTATGTTACTATATGACAAAAAAAAACCTTATTGTTAAAGTTAATTTAAATAATTATTGTTTAAACTTACACGTTTAAAAGACTGAATAAGTAAATTATTTTTTCTGATAATACCAGAAACATTATGACTACTATCAAAGCTAGATACAGACTGGGAATCAAGGTCCATTGATAAAGGAACAGCATTAACATTCTAAGAAAACAACAGTAAATTAAATATTATTTGCAAATAAAAAGATAGGTTGATATAATAAAAGTTGATTAGTTCTCACAAAAATATGTTTTATATAAAACAATGATGACTGTATGTTGGTTCGTAAATCTTCCCATTGGGTTACACTATACTCTGACATCTTTTGATTTCTCAGTGAGAAAATCTTTTCAACCATAGATGATGAATCCATATTTTCTTTTTGAAACTGGTTCAATTTGAAATTTATATGATCTAATGTATTATGAAGTTTGGTGACAAATAATGTATACTGCAAATTAATAATATAGAACATTTTAATTAGAAAAAAAAAATAGTTTTAAAAAATAAAATATAAATGAAAATACTTTTAAAAAATGTATTAACTATAAGAAAAACAAAACTAAACTATTCTACTCTTCTACTCAGTAGTTTTATAAAAATAAAATATATTGTAGATTTAAACTTTAATAGAACTTAACCTACTTAAATTTAATAACAATAATAATATTTTGCCAGGAAAATGTCAAAGGAAATATATTTTATATTGTTTGGAGTCAATGCATAATCCTAATTATAAAGGAATCTTTTTGGGCAATAAAAATTTGGAAAAAATAAAAATCTATATTACAATTTTTTAGAAAATAATTGTATAAGAAAATAAATGTAAGAAAACAACATTTCAGAGATGTTGTTTTTTAAAAATCTATTTTACTCTAAAATTTTCAAATGTTACAAAATAAATATGTCCGCAAATAAAAATGTAAGAACCATCATCATTTAGCAGAACACTAAAATGTTATAAAAAAAAAATAAATAGTAGTTCTATTATATGTTTTAAATTAATATAATCCAAACATTTTTTTCAGAAAAATTTTGTTAAATAAAAGTAAATTATTCTAAAACATTTATTATTATTTCTTTTTTTTTTTTTTCAACCCGAAGGTTGGTTGACAACTCCAATTCTCCATTCTAACCGGTTACTCGCCTTTTCTTTAAGTTCCTTAAAGGTTTTAACCATTTCTTCAACTGCACTCTGTATATCCCCTTCACTTTCTGCTATTACCACAATGTCATCCGCAAATTGTATCATTGAAACAATTTCTCCACCAATTTTGATTCCAATATTTAGTCTTGTTAGTTTTGCTTTTACTGTATTTATAACTTTTTCGATGTAGCAGTTAAACAGTGGTGGTGATAACATACATCCTTATCGAACTCCTTTTTTTATTTAAGCATTAGTTGTGATTTCTCCTTTCTTAATGCAAGCTGTCTGGTTCTTATACAGACTGTGGATAATTCTTAGGTCTTGTTGCTCGACACCTACTTCTCGTAAAACGAGTAGCATTTTGTTCCAATTTACTTTATCCAAGGCCTTCTCCAGGTCTATGAAGGCCAAATANTGCCTTTTGTCTTCTAAATCCATATTGATCGTTTTTTAAGTACTGCTCCACTTTTCCTTCTATTCTTCGATTTATTACTTTTGTTAGGATTTTTGAGACGTGTGTCAGTAAGCTCAGTGTTCTAAACTGTTCACAGAAATTTGTTCCACTTTTCTTGGTATAGTTACAATTATGCTATTGCACATTGCAATAATTCTAGTGTTATGTTATCAATCCCAGGAGCTTTATTTTGTTTCAAGTCATGGAATGCTAACTCAAATTCTGATTTTAAAATTGGTAATTTCGTTTCTTCCTCATCTGTTGTAATTTCCTCCAGTTTTTCTGCCTCATAAAGCTCTTCAATATACTCTTTCCATCGTTTTATTATATTCTCGTCATCAACTAATAATTGACCATTTTTATCTCTGATAATAGTGCAATTTCGTTTTCTTTTTCCCACAAATTGTTGGGTTTTTTGATCTCTTACATTTATTATAAGAGAAACTTATTAAACTCCAAATAATAATTAAGTAAAAACAAAACTAAGAAACTGAATGATAGTTTGGCTTCATTCACTGTTATTAATTATATGTGTTAAACAAAAATTAACCAATAGTAATGATTATGATTGAGTGATATAGAAATTCAAGACAGTGGTTCGGATTAAGAGTGAGACAGAGAGCACAGGAGGGACATTAATTTAGTGTATAGGTTAAAAAATTAATGTTATGAAATTTAGAAATAACAAAATTTAAATAAATAAAATATTTTAGAAAATATAATATTAGTAATTATGGAATTTAAGCTTACAATTTAGCTTAATTTAGCTTGCGATGTATTATTCATAAAACAAATTATTTAAAGAAGTACTAGTAGTACTACTTAGTAGCAGTATTACCAGTATTACAAGGTCCACAAGTGAGAAGTATTTAACAACTTTGAAAAACATTAAATCTTATTTGAGAATGACAATGGAAGAAAATCATTTAAATGGTTAGTATTATTTATTATTAGTTAGTTATTATTATTCATAACAAAATTAATGTAAAACCTTAAGATGTTATATATTTGTTTGTTATACACACTCCTAGGCATTTACAATATTATTTTTATAATTTTTAATTTTAATTTATAAGTAGGTACTTGCTTACAATACAAAGTAAATAAATACAAAATATAAAATTATAAATAATAAATATATTCCTTAAAAATGGCAATTTTTGTTTCTATTTGTTTTTTATTTATCTCAGATAATGAGGTAATGAGAAAATAGCATTTTACTTCATGTTAAATGTGATAGTACACTTACAATCTTTATCATTATTACCTACAGTACTACATTTCCCTAAAAAAAATCCTAGATTCACTACTGTCTAAATTTCAATGAAAAACACAACTTTATTTTGGGTTATTCTAGACAATGATTTTCAAATACATAATTTATATCAAGTAACAGGTAATTTTGTAAACTTTTAGTACTCCAATTTTGATATTTTTTGCAATTTTCATTTTTAACATGTTTAGTCACTGTTAATTAATTTAATGAATATTTTTACATTAAAGTTAAATTTAGCCTATTCAAAATATTATCTTAAAATAATAGGTTTCCATAATGTTTATTATAATAGGAAATTTGTAAAAGTAAAATAGTTTAACACAGAATTTAACATATTAATCCTTAATTCATATTTTAGTATGCTGAGAATGAATAATACTAAGCCTCAAAAGATATTATTCATGTCAATTTTTGTATTATTATTTTTTTTTTAAAGTAAAATAAAAATTATTAACTATCTAATAAATAAAACAAACAAAAAATTTGTTTAGTACTTTATTTTGGTTTTTTGTGCATTTAATACTGGGCCAATTAAAGTATAATATTGTGCACCAAACAGTCTAAACAACAGGTACTGAATGTAGGTATAAAATGCTCTAGTAATTTTGTATTTAACTATTTTTTTGGTGACTCATATTAAATTTTTTTGAATAAAATGTAAAATAAAGTTGACATATCCGAAAATAACTGTTACTCTTATCTTTTATGTAGTCATTGTTTATTTAAGAAACAGTGACCCACATTGACCTGATATGTTCACATTATTATTACTAAAAAATAACAAATTTCTTTTTTACAACTGATCCTGCCAAATAACTGTGTAAAATTAATAAAATAAACCTAAAATACATTTCTTTATAATAATTAAAAATAATAAAAACATTTTTAATTTCATCCAATAGGTAAATTTCTATTGAAAATAGTAATTGTTTATTTACCTCAGAAATACGATTTTCGGAAAACATAGGTTCATATTTATATAATGGACCTTCAGCTTCAGCTAAATAATCAGCTACTATAGCATCCACCTCTGTATATTGTTTTTGTGTCAGTAAATTTTCTATATCCAGTAAAATTCTTAGTAAATATGGATGGGTAAAGATCTTAAACAGAAAATCAAAATCAATAAATATTGCATAAATTGTGACAAATCACCAGTTAATAATCAGTTGATGTAATATTTACTTTAAGAAATCTAAAAATCATGATTGAATACTTTGGTGTACAAATATCAACACAATTAAATCTTTTAATAGCAAGATAAAATAATTTAGTATAACACAGCAAATTTTTCATTATAAAAACTCTCCATTTATTACTCATTTCACTTTCTGTGATAGAAAACGTCCTAAAAACAAAATGAATAAATTAAGTACAACTAAAGTTAGTAAAATTTGTATATTACTGATTATTAAATCCATCATAACGCCAAGGTTGAATATAACATAACCATATTTCCAATAATATGCGAAATGAAAAATCCTGTGGCCAATTTATCATATAGTATGATAAATAACGATAAATACTAACACCATGGCGGACAATTAAAATTCTAGACAAATCATTCATTAAAAATAATACAATCATGTTTTTTATACATTTTTCTTACGATTTCAAATCATCTATTGGTTGTTGTTTAGCACGATTAGAATATAAATGAAAGTGTTTTATTAAACATCTAATCAATACATTTAACTTAATTGATGGCACCTGAGGAAAGAAAAAAAATAATTTCATTTGAGTTAGGAAATGCATGTAATAACTGTATCGGTATTAATCAAAATATAAATAATAGTTCAGTTTATAATCCAATTTTTTATTTTTTTATTAATATCACGTTAAGAAAGTAAGTCCCAATATTTTAACTTAGTACAGACTATTTATGATTTGCAGTAGAAAAAAGTGTAATTTTTAAAAATAAACAATAATAAACAAATAAGAAAAACTTTTCTATCATATAATACAAATTAAAACATCAAAATTATGTAGAATGAATATACACTTACAAGAGAAATAATATTGTAATTCAACCATATATCTACTAAAAAAAATGCAACTAGTTCACTACGCCATGTTGCTTCTGATTTTACTATCCAAGAGCATTCAACCTTATCAGATTTGTCTGTGCAATAAAGCTCCTTTTTTAAAAAACATAATGATGAACTATAACACAAATACATCAAAGTATTAATAGACATTATAAAATATGTATTTTATAAAAAAAAGTAACATGGTTAAACATAACATAATTCTAAATTAATTTAATTTAAAAATTTCCTACATACCTAGGACTTGTGAATTGTTTTTGATTGGTATTTGTGGAAAGTACATTAAAAGGCAATTTAGGTAAAATTTTACTGGCAGAATTCTCCAAAGGTAAAAAATATTGCAGATAATTTAAGCACAATAGTTTATACACCGATGATTCTTGTTTGATGTCGTCCAAATATGAAACATCATTCTCGGTTAACTTTAAGCCATATAACGCGAAATGAAACATGTAATACTCAAATGTATCTAACAGTTATACAGTTAAGGAATTTAAAATAAAATATGTATATATATTTAACTACTATTATTCTAAAACTGGCAATCATTTTTGGAACAATTTAACTTAAAACCTGTTCTACAAATATATATATATATATTTTTTTTTTAAGGTACCTACCTACCTAGGTATAAACTTATCTTTTCTAATTTAAACTTTAATTTAATAATACTATAATTCTTAACATATAAGATATCTGAATAATATAAATAATTTAAAAAAGATACTTAAGCCAAGACCAATGGGTTTATTTGAATCTATGGGATATAAAAATCGTGAACCATAATATGAATGTCCAATTGAATTCTCAATTTTCTGTCTCAACCCAATCTAACACATAAAATGTATTTTAAATACATAAGTATTAAATTATAATTATGATAAAATATAAACTTACTGGTATATCGTTAAAAAATATATTGAATTTAATTGAACTATTAGGAAGCAATTTATAACACAATTTAAAAATATATCCATTACAGCATAAAAATTGGTATACACTGTCAGATTCTCCATAACTGAATTGATCATTCAATTTCTGAAATTTAAACATATATTTAAAATACACCAAAAAACTAAGTAATAATGTATGGTTTCTGGTAGATAATAAAACAAAATTGTGTTGTATGTAAATAATAATTGTACATGGTAGGTACCAAACAAATTAACAAAAAAATTTAAAAAACATACTTTCATTTTTAGTTTATCCAAACTCCAACCTGTCATAGGACCATGGCCGAAAATTTGATATACAAGGTCTACGAAAAAGTTGTACAAATCTTTTTCATCTGCTTCATTGATATAGTTTGTAATTGTTTGTATATGTTCGGTCAATGATCCGCAGGGTGATAACAGGTTATGAACCGAAGACTCAGTCGTCGAAAAACTATGAGATGAGGAGTTCTCATGGTTACCGAACACAGGCGATATGTAATCGTACATCGAACTTTGCATGGTTACAATAAATATACCAATAATATAAATTACGATTTTAATCCTTAAGTCGTTTAGAAATTCACGTTTATTAGGATCATTGCATAAACTATTTAAATTTTTATACTTTCAACATAAAATTAACTCTGGGACCTGTCATCAGTTGTTGCAATTGAAAAAGAACGGCAGATGTCCTTAAAAACTTTGAGTAGAACAATCTTGGAAGCACCTGTCAAATTGACCAACAAATTACAAATAATACAACAATAATAAGACACAAGTTAAAACCATTGGGGGCTTGGGGCTAACTACACAGCGGCAGAGGCAAACGACGCACATGATACCTATGTATCTGTTTTATCATGGCAGAACGTTATCGTAAAATAATTCGTTTCTCTTATCATAGGCGTGTCCTCCCAAATAACCTAACAGTACGAATCTTTGAATCTTCTTGGGTGCGTTCTAAAACTCAACTCGAGTTAACTCTGAATACTCGAGACTCGAGTAAACTCTGATGTTGTTCGATATATCAGAGTTAACTTTAAACTGCCGTTCGAGACCGCAGGGCGCAGAATCGATAACTCCGAGTTAACTCGAACGACCCTAGATAAAATATGCTTATCTCATGATGATAACAAAACCAAAGTCATGATGTTATGGTAAGTAATATCAATGGTAATATATACATTTTATTACATTACCATTCGACATTTTGAACTAAAATAACGATAATAACCTAAATGATCTAATGTCTATTTTTCTTTTTAAATCATTATTAAATGATTTCCCCAATGAATCTAATATCTACCTTACTAAACCTCTTTATAGATTAATAAAGTATAGTATTATGTTGTAGGTACCTATACTTCAATTGGAAATCTATACATTAATATTGGATGTTTGGATTCAGTTTATTTTTCGTTTTATAATTTTGTTTTTAAATTTAAGTAGGTACAAGTATTATTAAATAGTAATAATAAAAAGTTATTTATTTTTTAATAAAAATTACTTGAAAAAAAATAAATTATCTCATAGATAATTTTATGATTACCTATGACACAATATTTGTTATTTTATAAGTACAATTCAATTAATAATATAAGTAAAGTTCAATGAAATTTAATGCATTTTAAATATAAATCTTCTTCTCTATATTTTGTTCTAATGTGTTTAAGATTAGGTTAGTTTAGGTTTATCAAATATTTGGCGTACATCAAATTTCAGTTTTGTAAAATATTAGATTGCTGGATTGATAATAAATTAGCGTTTGTGAACCAATTGTTATTATTATTTATTGCATTTCATCACCTATACAAAATTTTAGATAAAATAAAATTAGTTTTCAATGACACCGAAGAGATTAAAAGTATGTATTGCTTGACTGAACATTGAACAGATTGAAGAAGGTACCAGTAAAAACTGGACGTCACAAATTATTTACATTTATGAATTTGGGTTTTTGAGTTTTTGGGAGAATAAGTTATTATATGTATTATCTATATAATATTATGTGAACAATGAACACGTATTAAAAATTTTAAAGAAATGTCTTTAATTGTAATACACATACGACACACATAATAGTAAAACTAATCGATCCCTTGCTACTCTTCGAATACCTACGAAATTCTAATGCATACCTACTACATAGAAAGTTAAAGTAGGTACTAAAGTACTTACCTACTTATTTACATATTTTCTAACCTTGAACGTTTATTTTTGGACAATTTTCTTAGTTTCCATAATTAATTAGTTTTATTAATTTTACACGGTCATTACTCATGTTGTAAGCTCCTATGTAAGAATATCCTAATGATTAAGTACCCACAATGTTGATGGCATTTTATCTGCATTGTAATTAGTACCTACCATCATTGATGATAAATCAATAATCAATGTTACTACCTATGATAATAAATTCTGTACAAATTACATTTGCACGGGTTATATTAGATCAATCACTACACAGTTTTAGTTATGGATAATTTGATCAAATATTGTATTGTCACAATCATTTTATAGATATGTACATTGAAGTACAAAAATTTCGTTTGAAGTAGAGGGGTGCAAATTTCACAATAACTTCAAATTAACTTCAAGCTTATTACCTTTTTAACGTTGTACTCATTTTTTTTTGTTAATTCGTACCAAAAGTTCATATCTAAAGAAAAAAGATGAAAAACGAATAGATTTACAACTTTAAAAAAAATTGTTTTCATGAAATTTAAAATAAGTTTGTACACATACATTTATTGCAAAATGGTAGACACACACTTTGAACAGCTTTTGCTGTTAAGTCCTACTAATAACTATTTAACTAATTAATTGTTTGAAATCTTCTCATTAAATGGCTCATCCACAAACTGACTCTGGGTTAAAAAAAAATATGAAAATCAGTAAGATAGAACTTCAATGTAACTGTCCCAAGAAATAGTCTTACATTTTAATATAATAAATAGATATAATATAAAGATAATATTAAAAGTTTCTTTTTCAGCAAATTATATTATATATCAATGATATTACAATAAAAACAAAAAAACAAATAAAATTTTTTTGGAAAACTGAACAAATAGTATTTATAATATATATATATATATATATATTATATATTATATATATATACTGATCTTATGAAAAGTTTAACTTGCAAATCAGAAATATAGTTTTTAAATTTATCAATTTAATGTAAATTTTGAATACAAACAAATAAATATTAAATAAAAAAAAAAAAATTATAGGGAGAACAATAAATGGTTACTTAAATTTTTATATTTTAACAAAATATTGAAAGTCTTGTGCCTCTCATCATGACAACAATTAACCTAAGGAAAAATAGAATATTAATTATTTGCACATACTGCATTTAAATAAAATTTACTTAGCATAAGTAAACATTAAAAGTGTCATACATTTGACAAATATAGTTCAAATACATTACAGGAAGACTTAATTCAATAACAATTTTTTTTTTTTTTAAATACAATACCAATGTAAAAAAAAGCCGATATTATAGATGACAGGTAGATTGTAGGTGAGAAGTTGAGAAGGTAGGATATATAAGGTTATTTCATATAAGCAACGAAAAACCATTGCTTGATGAAAGACGATTCCGGGCGCATTTTGGTAATTTATAAATTGAAGTGCCGTAATTTTTTTTTTGCGGTTTTCGTTTAAATTTGATTTCAAAATGCTTATTAAAAAAAAAAAAGTCCGATAATTTTGGAAATTTTCCACTTCTAAGTAAGTCTAATATAAGTATTATTACCAAGTTTTAAGTCTCTTATTTATAACCGAATTACAGCAAAAAAATCACAAAAAATTAAAAATGCTTTTAAGTTCAAAAGTAAAAATTACCTTTTATAATGGGTAATACACAATAGGTCTTTGACTTAATTTATTACGGCTATACTGACGTCCTTCAACAAAACCTGCATCCCAATCGATTATTAATTTTTTTCCATATAACAAGTAATTTTGCAGAGTCTTTATACAAATTTCAGCAGCTTCACGTGTCTCATATCTAAATTATGATAATTTTAGAATTCAAATTTTGTACATATATACAATTTTGTATGTATATATACATATATTGATTTCTTTAGAAAGTGAGACATAATATAAGAATTATCTTTAACAAATAACATTATATATATCTTAAATAACTAAACTCAATAAATGTATTCCACTTTTATATTTAATTATAACACTAATAATTATCAAAAACATTTTTTTGGTAATACAAAAAAAGAATAGGTAATTTGTTTTAAATATTAAAAACAACAATGTATTATTGTAGCAATCATTCAAAATTAAAATATAAACACTGTCAACTTGATATTTGTTAAATTTTGATTTTTGGGATTGGTAATTTAAAATTTTTATAAATTATATCTTTAAGTATACTTGGCTAATTAATCAAGTGTTACTTAAATTGCTTATCTATTAAAGTACTAGATAAACTTTTTAAACATTTTTACCGCTCCAAAAAATGTGAGGTAAAAAAAAATAGTACTTCAAAATATGATTGGAAGTTTTTTTAACACCCAACTTAAATATTTACAAAACCTTTACTTTACAAATACTAAATTAATTAAAGGGTTATTTTTTTTAAATAATTTTTCAAGTACCTACAATTATTAATTTTAAATTTTTTTTTCTAACAGAGACAAATTTTAAAATATTTAGTTTATATACATACTCAACAAAACAAAATCCACCAGGAGCTAATGTTTTTTTTTCAACTCCCATAATAATGGTTTTTATTTTACCACACTTTGAAAATAGTTTTTGAACATCAGATTCAGTAGAAAGTAAATTTAGATTTCCAATATAAAGAGTAGTAGATTCTTCGAGCTTCTTCTTGTATTCAGAAGTAGTCCCCTTGTATAAAAATAAATGAATAAATCAAAACTATTATTGATTTATTTTAACATTCAAATACATTTTCAAACACAAATTTACTTATGTAATAAACAACTAAAATGCAAAATACTAAAATTTAATATTACACATAAACCTATATTACCAAAAAAGACTAATTTCTTGAAAAATAATTTTTATAAATAATGCTTTCAAAAAGTATCAAAAATATAGGTACTCAATAAAATACGATACATTTCATATCTAAAATTCAAACTATATGCTAAAACAACAGTCTAAATAATATTAAAAAAAAAATATATATATATTTTACAATATAGGTAGGTACATACTTTATATTTATTATCAAAGTACGAGGATAAACCAAAATTGTAGATTTTCCGCCTAGGAGGTGGTAAACAACAAAACTTAGAAAAAAATTCTCCACTATTCAAATTAGTCACATTATTATTTTTGGCCTTGGAAATCAAACAATTTATTTATTTATAGTTTTGTTTTTATTTGATAAAATTAAAAATTAAATCTAGCTACTATGGTTCCTTAGTCAGTTTTAAATACTAACAACCAATACAACTTTTTATGTTGTATTACATATTAATATAAATTGTTTTAAACAATTTCATAAACAAACATTTTTTTATTTATGGAGTCTTTTGTAAAGACAATAATTATAGCTGGACAAGTACAATACACTCTCCAGGCTAAAGGAGAGAAGAACTCATATATATTATTACACAATTAACACGGTTGTATTAAAAATCAGCATAAATTATTTTATGAATATTTATATTATATAAACTTCATAACTTTATAGTAAAAAAGTATTATTTACCTTATATTTATGGTCTATATATTTGACTTTTAAAGTTGGTTTTGAACCATCATTCATTGAAGGCATATTTGAATCACTTCTTATATGAGGTTTATATACTGCATCTGATTCTTTCTTATTGGAAAACATTATTTTTATTATTGGAAGTTATAATAAACCAATAAATTAACTAAACATAAAAATAACATTGAGTAAATAAAATAATTCTACACCAGTCATAGAATTAAAAAGAAAAATACTTTTTACAAATACAATCAATAAGTATAAAAATAAAAAATATCAATTAAACATCACTTTTTTTCTAGCTTCTTTCAGCAAAAAAAAATATAAATCATAATAAAATAATATACATATAAATATTACTTATATACATACATATTACATATTAATTTAACAAAAATATATTTATGCTTTATAACTGATTTTCTGTTGTTAGTTTTTATATTGGAGTATATTGGCCTATTACTGAACTTGAAGGTAAAGACCTTGCCAGTATATTGGTTTATTTTTCTATACTTAAATGTTTAAACCTGGTATTAGTTTTTATATTATAATATTTTACCTATTTGTTACCTACTTCAAAATTAAAATATAGAAAAAAACAGACTATGTTCTTAGCTTTAAATTTGTAAATAAGCTAATATACTCTACTATTAAAACTAACAGTAGACATTAAATAACAAATTGTAATTATTATTTAATGAATTTTATTTACCTATTTATTTTTACAATTTATTATTATATGTATTTACTTATTTGATTTATATTGTTTATTCTGAATTTTCTCTGTATTCTAGTACATTTGTATGAATATTTAGTTGCCTTTTTTTGTACATTTATTTATCTTACACATTACATATAGATAAGTATTAATTACTAAACACTGTTTTTCTTGTTTATCACTCATATTATGTTAACCATGTTTAAATTACCCCTGCGTAATAAATCAATAATAATAATTGCTAATAAAAATGGTTTATGTTTTATTTAGCAACAAGTATCTATACATTTGTATTAATTAAATTCAAAATTGAAAAGTACCTATGCAAAATTTGAAGGTTTAATCCCTTATTTGATTTGAATTGAAAGATTTAATCTCAAATTGTCAATATATAGGTAGGTTCCCAGTGCGACAAGAACCAATTCTCCAGGAATTAAACTTTGATGTTCCATAACAATTTATTAAATGTTCTCATTGAAAAGAGGAAAGAAAAAAATGTAGACAATTTATTTCAATGGTAAATTATTATAGAGTATAAAATGTTATTTTTTGCTTGTTTTTATCAAATACCTAAATAAAAATGAATTGATCATATATCGTTAAAATATTATTATTGTACCTACCCAACAAATGTATTAATTTACGACTGGGTACATAGTAGGGTATTAGTTCAATAGTTAAAAACGTGTTGGTTCATGTTCATAATATGAACAAAACCTATCGGTTGATGTGTTCGAAAAAATAAACTATCAAATCCAGTGTGGCTAAACTAGACTTGTTCCAAATCAACTAGGTACCTACCTAATAAGTTCTATACAATATTATTAAAACGCAAAAGTCTTCCTAATACATATGATTTTGTACCTACCTACAGGGGAAAAAAATAAAATTTGTACCTATTCATATTAATATAATGAAAGTTTTTATTATTAGAATTATAAAATTATACATTACGTAATTTAAATTGTGAAGAACGTGAGTGTAACAATAGTAATACAATATGACAAAGTGAAAAATGTTGTATTGGAAAACAATACGGTCGCAATTTTCACACAACAAAAGTACTTAGGTGTTCGACCGTTGGAGTCTCAAAAAGAAATGAGCCCCACAAAATTTCATTGTCTTCAATTAATCGATTGAACGATCTATTTTGGTATGGAATACCTGTTTTTATTTTACAACGTCTTGTTCAGATCAGTTTCACAAAACAACAACATAACCTTAGTTAAATAAAAGGCGCTCATATTATTTCAAATCACTAATCACTAATATCGATTGTAAAATAAAATAATTATGTAGTACCTATTCTCAAATATAATAAAGAATTATAAAACGCAATATTTAGAAACATAATATTATTATAAAAGATAGAATGAATTTAATTAGATTAGTAATAATAATAATATAACGTGGTAAATTATACCAATTATCAACAAAAACAATTACAAATTATTTACAAAAATTATAGGTTGGTATCAGTTACATAATTAATAGTTACGTATTCGCCTAAAAGCTGATAGTCTGCATACTCCACAGGAAACAGGTACCCTACGATTCCCAATCTATTAATAACGCATGATCATGGTCTCTTATGACTTGCTAAAAGGTTGGGAATCTAGTCCGACGAACTAAATCTTATGAAAACGATGGGAATTTGACTTCATACATGAACGGACTTGATCTTTTGAAAAATCCGATCCGTTAACGATATTATTATCAAATTTATTTTTACGTTAGACGGTAATATAGCGGATCTAATCCGCGGACCAGATTCACGGAGTGTTTAATGATTTAGTTCGTCGGACCTAATCACTCAAAAATCCGCTCGTGTATGGCTGGCTTTAACGTACATAAATATTGGATTTTATCGTTCATTATTGTTTGTCTCTGAAAATATTTTGTATTATTTATCCATTACAATCCATCATGTCTAATCAATAATAATAATAATATTACCTATATTATAGATACCCGAACGTGCTGTAAGGCTAGACGATGTTTATAATAACGTTATAATAGATACCTATAATAGGTAATATTATAGGTTTAGATCAGTGGCAGGTCATAGTGAACCTTGTAAGTGGCGAGGCAAATCTTTTTAAAACTACTAGGGGAGGGGATATTAATGTAGGTATGTTATACATAATTATAGTATGTATCATATATTATGGAACATATATATGTTATAATAATAGTATGGAGTAACAATTAATGTTATATTCTATTCCAAACAAAATTGTTATCATTTATTACCTATTTATGAATTTCAGGCTTCAGTTAATATCAGTAATTATTTTGAACATTGACAAATATTGTTCTAAAACCGATCAATAGGTTCTGTTATACTGAAGTACTACATATTATTACACATTTTGAACAAAATTTATTAAAAGATTTTGAAAAATGGCATTTACAATAAGCTATACCTAATTTATTTATATATAATTCATAAGTATTAGTGTAAGAGCAGTGGCGTACTTAGGGGGGGAGGTAGATAATACAATTTATATGTTACACATTAAATAGGGTTTCCTTAGGTACTTGGAATTTTTAATTTTCTACTAATTATTTAAACATTTTTATTTATTAGGATTAGAAACAAATTCCATTAAAATTTATTATTAAATTATAATTTTTTTTTTTTATAAATATTATTATTGAACATGTATGTTGTATAAAACAAAATTATTACCTAGTGAGATAAATACATTTGAAATACGGTATGTTAGACAAAATATTGAACACCCCGCTGGAAAAAAATGTCAATACAAAAATACAATTTTGTCGGAGTAAATAATGTCTATATGTATATAATAAAAGATTTGGTTTATCATTTATTATACAGGTATTTATTTTCTAAGATTATAAACCTACATTGTGCGTAACCCTTGGCCTCTCACCAGAGCATTACGGACCTCCGAAATATGTCAACTTGTCACGATAAATAAATAAGATATACCTATATATAAATGAGATAGGCAAGACAAATATCACTTTTTCCGCAAATCCGCTAATACCTTTTTGTGATCCCATAGGGATCCTCGTATCCCTCCCCCCGGTTGACATACACTGGTGCACCTATATAATGGTATATTTGTGTGTAGGCACCTAAAATAACAATAATATTGGTTATAGTATCGATGCGAATTAAATATAATAAATAATAATGTACCTATCTAACCTATCTACATATTATAATGATTATTACTACATTGCAACGTAAAATATAATATTATTTATATTGTAAACAAGGATACTATCTTATATAATAATTTCAAAACATGTTTCAATTCAACTCTATTAACTACGATGGTTTAAAATATTATGTTCTCTTATCGTGATATGAACTTTACCATTATTTTCGAAATTATCATTACCTACGTTTTAAGCAAAGTCTCAGGTAAATACATATTATACAGTGGTTGGAAGTAGCGCGCTACCTTTTTTGTAGCGATACTGCACGTAGCGTACGGCTTAATTTTGGTAAGTAGCGTATAACGTGATAACAGCACATTTTTTTTTCTGTGTATGGGTAAATAGAGCAGATTTTATTACTTTAAGCGCTACTTTTTGCCCAAATAAAATTGAGAATTGTAATTTAAAATAATTTGTAGTTATATTATTCAGATTTTAGTCTATAGTAAAATAAAATATGTAGAAAACTTATACAAACTGTAGACATGTTATATAATGTAAAAGTATTTAGGTACCTATTTATAATCTTTTTTCTCTTATCCGAAATGTTAAATATTAAATAAATTGTTGGGAAACTATTTATAAACTGGATAGATACCTATATTAAAAAGATTCCTTTTTAAAGTCGAAAAAAGTAGCGCACTACTTTTAAAATAAGCGAATTTTGTAACACCACATTTATAAAAAAAAAATAGCGAATTGCTACTAGCGATGATTATAGGGAACTCCTTTTTTGATTCGGATCTATTAGTTTTACCATGATGTTTTTTTTGTGTCTGTAAACAACTTTTCTACCAAAAATCTTACTCCTAAGTATCAAGTGTAGCACTCTTTCTGAAAGGTAATTTTATCTAGTTGAACTGTTAGGGAAGTCATATTTTTATTTTCTAAGGGATTTTAACATGTACACTTTTTAAAATTTATCAGTTTTCTTTAATAAAATTGTTCGGATCAAAAGCGGTGATTTTTTTTCTGTCTTATACAAACATCTAACATAAGAATTTAAACGTGTTCTATTTCCAACGTATAGGTATCGATTGATCTAGTAAAGCGATAAAAATTTAGAAAGCATATTTAAATTTGTTGTCAAGTCTACTTTATATCGACATTCCAACTATTTTGATTTTTAATTTTAATTTCTTCAAAAATTAAAATATTCCATTTTTTTAATTACTCCTTTATTATTATAGTCCTTTTTAGTATTTATGGAGATAAAAAAAAAATGTGGAAAAATTTATTTCAAATTGACTTAACAAACTATTTAAATTTATTTTCAGAATTCGCATTGCTTTACTAGACCAATCGGTACATTGTAAATATAATATGTCCAAATTCCTATGTTACACGTGTGTAAGATAAAGTTAAAAAATTACAGCTTCCAATCTTCTTAAACGTAAAAACGTTAATGGCCATGTATATAATATATATTATGTAGGTACTTCAGTAACTTATGTATGTACTGCAGCTATTTCTCAAGGAAAAAAACGATATTTGCGAGGTTCAGTAATTTGTTGAAAACAATTGAAATTGAAAAAATTAAAAAGTAGGAGCTACGTCAGCTTAACATTTGGAAAATAAAAATGGTATAGGTATTTACAAAACATTGTCTTATTATATTATTGATGACATTACCTTTTTCAAAATTAATTATTATAGAAGCTTTAGATTTACCTGGTCGTAGCCGGTACACATGCATGAGACATAGGGTTGATAACTTTCAAATTGTGTGATGTAGGAACATTTTTTTTTATGTTTATTTTATATCATAGGCAGTAAAAACTGTAATATGACTTTTAACAAATAATCTTCTTCATTATATTTATACCATTTTTTTAAATCTTAATTTACTCTTTGGACTTAGAGAATTTGGCTTATATTCTTACATTTTTTCAGTATCAAACAAACAAATTATTAGTAAATATGTAGATACACATTTAAAATATTTATAAATTACAATATATTTATAATAAAAATAATAAAATATTATCTATATTCTATTAACATTTAATTTTTCACATATTAATTAAATCTTAAATATAAATAATAGAATAGTGTTAATAGAATTAAACAATTTAACAAATCTGTAATAAGTTTAGTTATTTAATGTACTGTTGTCCCACGAAGATATTGTAATACCTTTGAAGATAATAAAGATAGGTAATCAATTTGTTTTTTTATTATTCACAGGGATAAGGACTACAAATATTTATATTTCAACTAATTTTTATGTTTTTATAAAAGCTTGTAAACATAACTTTTTGTTTTATTATTTTTGAAAAATTTGAAAATAGCTATTTTATAGAGTTTATTCTTTTGAAAATGTTGATACATCAACTTTAATATAATTAAATTCGTAATTGTTAATAATTTTTTAAAGTCCAGAGAAAAAAAGTGTATTGTCAATTAGTAACAATAATCAATTAGCGAATTAGATTAAAGCCTTCTGCATAATTATAGGTACTTTTCTCTGAACTTTGAAAATATATTAAAAATCACAAACTTAATGAAAATAAAAAGTTTTAACAACAACATTTTCAGGAAAATTAAACTCTATAAAATGGCTATCTTCAAATTTTTCGAAAACAATAATATGAGGTTATTTTTTATTTTTGTTAAGAAAAGATAAAAGTTGTATTCAAATACAAATATTTTTAACCCTTATATTTGCGAGTAATATAAAAATAGAAGTTGATTATCTTTATTAACTCAGGAGATATCGCAATGGATATCGTGGGACACCTATATAATTTATAACTGTTTAATTGTCTTAAATTATACTACAGACACTACAGTAGGTATATTAATGATAAATGATAACATAATACAATTAAAAGTTATAATAATGAACTATTAAAATGTATTTTTTCAGAGACCTGAAACTATAATTTATAAGTCCATATATTGACATTTGGAATGTAGGATTTTTATACGTAAAGTTTAAAGCGTTGTTGAGTGTAGGACAATCATCCCCAATGTAGAATGGTTGGCTACCCTAATTAGACATCGGAATGAACGATTTTATCCGTTCAATGTTCAAAATGTATGAACCAAACATCAATATTAATATTTTAATCAAACTTTTTTTTTTTAATAAGTTTATATTTTCTACGAACAGTACTAACCTTGGGAATTTGGAATTTGGATGGTTTAGATTCCAAATATTTTACATTGAAATTTAAGAAATTATTATTAAATTATAAATAGGTAGGTACAATTTCATTACATTACAATTTCACATTTTCGTCAGCATTATCGGTTGTATAATTAACTTTTCACAATTTTAGCCCTGATATTAAGTACTATGTAAGAAGAAACAAAAATTAACTAATGATAATAATTTCCGATTATATTTATTACAAAAATAAACACTGTAGTTCCCTGGAAATTTGAAAATATTGTCTTCTTTAATAAGTATATCTGCCTAATATGTTATTTACTAAAATAATTAAAACTGTATGTAATATGACTTATCAAAATTAACAATAAAATTAACTTTCCAAAGTCTGAGTTTTGAATTACGTATATAATCGAATTTGTAAATAATTATCTGTTATAGGTATATAATAACCTACTAAATATGTAGGTAGGATATAGTGATGGGTAGGTATTGTAAAAATATAACTATACTTACATAGGTACAGGTGAAGATAGGGGGGCTACTTATAAGGGGACGTTATTTTTTTCGGATAATATATATAGTTCACTAAGTATTTTTATTTTTTGCTCCAAAATCAATATTAATGGGTAAAATAAATTACACAACTAGAAGATTATTTTTTTGCTCATTTAAATTTGTTCGGCCTACCTTTTCAAAGTTAAAAACGGATATTTGCGTCTAGAAGATACCTACTATAGTTACTTGTCTACTTTTTGTTTTTGTATTCAACTAAAACTGATAAGAAATAACACAATTTGTTCACACAGATAATATTGTTATTTGTTATCCTGTAACTGATACTTACAGTATAGTAGGATATGTTCAAAATACCTTAACACAATAATAATTATTATTGTAGTAATAATATTATATTTATTAATAAACTAATACACATATTCATTTTATTGTTTTATCATTTACAGCGGTGGTTGACGAAAATGGGAAGCATTCCGCGGAAGAACAGTACTGTAAATGTGAATTCCAAAATCCATTACTTGTGTTAGGTAGGAATAGGTAATAGGTACCAATACTTATAGAGTTGTAGATATTGCGTAATGTATGAGGTATGACATTCAATACACCCCTATATGAAAATAAATATGATAACGTACAATTATTTGTATGGATTAAAAATGTCTACCTATAGTTATAATATAGAATTATTAGATGAGTAAATACCAACCTATTTATACATTATCTACATACTTAGTATTTTACTTTCTATCTCATTTATAATATTATGTTACACCTATAATAACTTTTGATATCAGTTCAATAATTTTTCTTGTATTTAATAATTTCTAAATATATCCAGCCTACTATTTTTCAATTTCTGTCATATTCCTATAACTATTTGTTTAAAAACTTAAAATATTATTAATTGGTACATTTGTTACCAATAGTGTGACAAGAGAACTGCATTAATATTTATTAAAGTAGCTAGGATATCTGACTACCTAATTTGTTAGAAATTAATTTAAAAAGCTTATTATTATTCAAAATATTGTCAATAAAATAATCGTTGTATAATTTTACCCCCCCCCCTTCCTAAAAAAATCTGAGGTAGAAAGTTAAGTAAGAGACCTATATACTACTTAGGTAGGTATTTTAGTGTACCTACTCATAATTTGGTGTTGTCTTATAATATGAAAATTTAGCATAATGCATACCTAAATTCATAATAATGAAAATAATATTGCAGTATTTTTAAATTACATATATGTTTTTTAGGTAAATCGTTTGATCAAATATATATGTTGAAAATGTGTGAAATGAGAGTGATCAGTCACGCGAATGTTAAGAAACGCGTAATGTTCACGTGGACAGGTTCGAGCATCTGTACGAATATCTGTAAAAAGTGTGTAACCAACATAAAACAACAGAACGAGCCTAGAAATTTAAAAGTTGCCTTGTTAGAAAGTTATTGTGATATCGTCGACAAGGAAATTACAGATATAACAAATTTGGCAAACCAATGTGTCTGCGTTTATCGCATTCAATGTTATGCATGGCAAACGGTTATCCTATATAAGATTCAAGCAAATGACGAGGGTTTGGTCAAAATTCAATCCAATTAATTCAGCCTATCCAATCCCATTGATATTTCATATTTTTAAATAGAAACAATTTCTGTAAACATATTTAATATTTAAGTTTGGATGCATTTTTTAATTACCTACTGTTTTAAATTTTATTTGCTGAACTATAATCATCAGCTTTTTAATAATAAATATATACTTATCTATGTATATCTACAGACTATTTAAAATTATTCAGTTTCCAAGTTATAGCCAGACTTGTTTAACAAATTTATGATAATTTGTTGAGGGGATTTGTTAATTTATAATAAATTACTATTTCTAAAGATTGGATACTGTAAGCATTTTATTTAATTTTTCTACTTATAGGGACAAAGAACTTCACAACCTCTCTGTCACTTCCATATCATAGTAATTTGAGAAAAAATATCGGCATTTATTTTTGTTTTATCAAACTTTACATTATAGTATGCGAGGTGGATTATTCCACCTTCATAGTATGAGTCAGTCAGAAGTTTCTTGAGTTAACATATATAGGTATTATAGTAATATGCACAAGATTTCTATAAGAAATTATGAGTCACTGTCTTAATGGATAGTTTACATATCGGTCCTAACAAATATTTTTCATTGCATAGATTAGAAAGGCAATTTAGGATACCTGATAATTTAAATACTCCAGTATTTTGAATTTTTACATGGTGGTCTAGTAATACCATGCATCCAAAAACCATTTCTTACTTCACATATTCACTGTAAAATAAGTGCTGGTGTATACTGGTATTTACTTTATGATTTAGTGTCCCAATAGATATTAATGTACCATCAATATAGGTAAGAACATTTGGAATAAAATTAATCTATTTAACATAAAATACAAATTACAAATTTAATAGGTACCTACTGAATATTAATAATATTTAATTTATCTACCTACATACTGATTCAAAATTTCTGGCTACAGTTTTTTTTCAGACACAGATTTTAGCATCTTAAAGCAAAAGTTCATAACTGTCATTTATTCTTAAGTGGGATAAAAGAAAATCTAAACCTATTAACAACATTCTATAGAGAACATTATTTGAATCTAATAATAGTTAATGTTATAAAAATAAAGTAATTCATTTCTTATCTGAATCATACACTGATAACAAAAAAAAAAATTAAATTTTATAGATATTGATTATTGAGGTATTCAATATTTTTAAGATATGTTTTTTTATGTGAGGAAGCTTTAATACAGAACCTTAAGTCAAAATAAATGCTGTTCCCTATGGAACCGCATTTGGGATTAATAAATAAAACGTATGTTTATTATCGTATTTTTATATAATAATAATAACAATACACACTACATTTACATTTATCTTTAATGTTTGACTCATTGAGGTTCCACTATATATTTAAAAAGAAAGAAAATTCAAAATAGCTTTTTTTGTAAAATACATTTTTAGAATATTTAGTGGTTCAAATTATTTTCATACTATTTCCATAATTTTCTTATATAATAATATTAAAATATTAACTATACTATTATAAGTTAAATTATACTATACATTCAAAATATTACAATTACAATCATTTTTACTATCAAGTATTATTACTATTCTTATCAATAGAAATCTGAATAACCAAAATTGTGTTGAATAGTTCATGTGCCAGTTTCGCACTAAACATAAAAAATGAATGCGAAGTTCTGAGATGGAATACAAAAAACTGGACAAATGTGAAAATATTGGAAGAATATTCATCATTGGGTGCACAATAAGTTCAATATTTCAGAAAGGTAAAATCGTTTATACTGGAGTTAGTACCTATGGGGTACTTAAACCAAAATATTACTAAAATAGTTTACTTCATAATTAGTGTCAATGATATAATATAATTATAAACAATGAATAATAAAAAAAGTACATATTTTTAAACAACTATTATATTGAATTTAAATACTTTAATAACTTACAAATTAGAAACAATTAACTAAGTTTAAATAAAATACACAATACAATTTGGAATAATCTCTAATTTGTAGGATTTATATACAATTTTAAACCATAATAATTTAATAATTCAAGGGATTCACAATATATTTTAAATAAAAAAATAATATCTATACATATTTATTTTTTTTTCAGTATTAATAGCTAAAACAATTTTTCGAAGAATTATTTTTTTTCTTTAACTTTAAAAAATTCTAAGACAGTATTATAATTTATAAGCAATAAGTTACAATTTAAAAATCACAGAAAGGCATATGCATGTATTTTGTAGATAATTTAAATACATAATAGATTTTGAACACCCATTTACTAAGTGTACCCTACTAAATGATGGCCCAAATATTGTTTTCAAAGGGAAAATGTTCGTGCAATTTTAAAAATTTCAAGGGTGTTGACACACTTAATCTATGCTGTAAGTACATTTTAATACAATAAGATAAAAACTTTACACATTTTTTAAGCAATGGTCATATATTTTTACAGAAATGTACAGAGGGTACAGTTCTTCAAAAACGATAAGGTTAAATAATAATGGTTGGAGAGAATAGTTTCTATACCTATATTTAAATTTGTAATATTTTAATGTAAAATTAAATTATCTGAGGCTTTAGGCAAACCAAAGAAGCAAGCAAATGCGGAGGAAATGAATTCAAAATAAATACAGATTTGTTATGCAAAACCACATAGGTAGGCTTTCATTTTGTGTGCATTGTATTAATATAGGACCAGGGCACATTACTGAAAATGGTTCTTATCATTTTCAAATAACTGTACCCACTGTTTTTTTACATTACTTTACGTAACTGACAATTAAAAATATGGCAAATTGTTGATGTAACACTATAAAATATTCCCATTAGTTTTTTTTATTCTTTTTTGATTTCTTTTTAGTTTTAATAGGTGATCCTGACTTAAAGCAATAAAATTGAGTAACAATTATAAAGTTTGCAAAAGAAGCTAAAATAAAACTCCATATTAAAAGACTGTCTCCTGTTTCTTGAATAGATGTGAAAACACGGATAAACGATCCCAAAAACAGAAGAGCGCATGTTGCCATAGATAATTGTCCAGTGCTTTTGTTTTTGAAATTGATATAAACTTGGGCCATCTATAGAATAAATTAAAATTAATATGGTATATAAAATAGGTGCATTATAGTTAATATTTTGAAGTTAAGATAAAATATACCTTGCCAAAGAACATTAGAGGTATGCTGATGAATTGTGCATTCCAAAGGAATGAAACCGGAACAATATCAGATATAAGAAATAACAGCAATGAACAATAAATAGCTAAGAAAAAACTAGCAACTTTTTTTGACAAATTATAGCATAAAACTAATATCACTATGCATAATGTTTGGAAAAGTATAAATAATGAATCTCCCCATGCACTGTAAACAAAAATAAAATTATTATGAAAAAAACAAAAATGTTTTAAATATAAATCACTCAATTACCTGAAAGGAAAACTACTCGTATAGCTGTATACTACATTTGCAGTAACAGCAAATAGATCCATACTAACATTAATTAAACTTATACCAACTGCATTTTTGCTGTTCCATATTTTAAAAACTTGTGGCAATTTAACTGAAAAAAAATTGCGTGTAATTTATTTGTATTATATAATAAATAAGAATAAAAAGTAATAGTAATAAATTTACCCATTAATGCACCTCCAACAATTCCATATCCAAGACCTTTACTGAGAGCAGATCTTAAACAAACAACTGAAAAATAGATAAAAAAAAAAACCCAGATTAAATAATAATAATTTAGTTGTTGTCAACTGCATATTATTAAACAGTTATTATAGTAAATAAAGGTAAATAATATATAAGAATAATGAACTACTTATTAGATTTTAGATTTGGAGCTAACCAACCTAATCTATTAGTTTAACTGTGATGACAATGTCAATGTTTTTTTCTGGTTGTAAATAAATTTCAACCAGGAATTTCACTCAGGAATTGTCAACTTCACCAAATGGTTTTTGGTATCAAATTTTGTCTAGTTGGTGCATAAGTGAGGAAGTCTTTTAATTTTCTTTGTTCTCTTATTAAAGAGGGAAACCAGGAAAACAAGAATATTTCTAGTATTAATTAAATTTTTATATTATTGATTTTAGAAGTTATACAAATAATAATAATAATACAAAATAGGTAGGTATTAAGTTTACACCTTCTTTAAGTGAAGTATATCTGTTACGAAAATTAATTTTGTAGTATTTAAACAGAAATCATTATGTTATCAATGAATCATTCTTTGAAAATAAATAAATATTAAATTTAAAAATAATAGCATAGCCAGTTTAGCCTCTCTGTTAAGCTCTCTTCTTAGCTAAGAAATATATTTCATTTTAAATTGGGGCAAATTTTCTATTAGCTTTAAAATAATTTGTTATTCTTGTGCCCATCATGGGAATAACTCAATCAGTCTAGAATATTTTAATATTACGTGTATAACTTTGAAAGTTCAAGGTGAATATATTCGCATTTCCACTGTTTTTATTACACCCAGCAAATATGTTAAACATGATTTTTTTAAATTTCAAGAAGAAAACAAAAATTTTTGTTGATTTTTACAACTTCCAAAGTTTTAGTAATCAACTAATAAAGAACTCGAAGCAGTAGAATTGGGTGTTGTGGTCATATAACAGGTTTTTTTTTCGTGCAATAAAACATACTCTTTTTTTATTTCCTTAGCACAACCACGCACAAAAAAGATTATCAAAAGATCCTTTATTATCTTGAGGAGAGTCAAGACATGGCTATGTTCAATTATGATAGAAAATTGTTTGAATGTTATGGTATATTATTAAATAATTAAAAACATAAGAAAATTCCCAATTTTCTATAAAAATGTAAACTTTGCTTGTATATACATGTTTCAGGTCTTTGTATATTTGTTTTTTTCATGAATTTCATGAAGCAATATTAAATATAATTGCTGAAGATTTATAAAGACTTGCACTGATTTAAAATACAATACAAATTTATTATTAATGTTTTATTAGATTTAGGTATTTCATGTTATAATTTATAATGAATAGTATGATAAAAATTTTACATGTATCTAGGTATAAAAATAAGGAATACCGATACTTAAAAAATAACACTTAACATGTCTTGATTATTGGTTGACCCCCTCCCCCTCCCCCCGATGAAATTTCTAGCTACCCCTTGATTTGGGACATGAAACGATATCAGACAAAATCTTATGGATACCCAGACAAGTTAGTTTATACGGTTTAAAAGTTGAAATACCCGACTGTTTTTGACTAAATATTAAAAGGCAAGAATGTATTACATGAGATAAATAAACTTTATTGAATAGATCATAATCGTACATCAAACAAATCTGTATACATTTGAGTTGGGGAATTTTGGCAATAAGAAATTAAAAAACAATCTCATAGAATCCGCTAATAATTGACATACAAGCTAGAAAAATAAAATATAGGCACCGAATATTTTGGATACACTCAAGTCTACGTATAATAATTTAGGTACTTATATAGTACAATAACTATAGGTACCTACATAACATTATATTTTTATGCCTACCTATTTAACTATAGTACGGAACAAAACAATACGCTGTTGTCATCCAGACGTGTTGCCGGACTTACCGTTAAAAAAGTCCATATCGTAAAAGAACACTTGATAGCATTTGGGTGTGAGGACCAGCATGGCGACCCGGTGGAAGAGATCGACGAACGGATTCATGTCGACGGCAGCGGTTTTCGAATAGCGGAGAAATTACTGCCGTAGTACCGTAGTTCAGGTGAAAGCGACGACGCGGTCACGTTGGGATTCTTGTTCCCGATGACATAGGTCGGATAAAAACGTACATAAAATTAGCATAAATAAAATCCATAGAGCACAACTTGAAATGTAACGTACAAGGCGATGTCACAGTGATAACGGCACTACGGTCGCCGACCACTACGCTACTACCGCTGCGTACGTGGCCGTGGTGGTATCACACATACACACTACAATCCTGTAGACACAGTAGGCTGTGTCTGTCGATATGTTAATGAGAAAAGGAATATTATTTGAGTTTAAGGATTTTTTTTTCATTATTATTATGCGTAGCTATAACTGTCAAGAAAGTCAACTGCAACTACTATATACTACTACTACTACTACTACTTCGAATAACAACTGTTCCGAATGTAAATTACTCCGAAATTAAATTAAACTTGATACAAACTGCTACGAAAGACAATAACTCTGAATTGATTTATCTGTAGTGACATAACCTCGCTTTATTGTTACGCCAATACCTTTATATCATAATGTGGTATTCCTGTTATCACATTGATCATTTTTCAAAAAGTCATACCACACTATTTTTTCTTTAATTTTGTCATAAATATCTCAATCATCACATCGTTAAGTTTGAATCGTAGATAATTATCTCATAAGGCAATCATGTATACCTATTCTATCTTGTATATTAATTAATTTTTCAGTCGATAAAATATTCTTACGATAGCGCTTATTGTAAATGGATTAGATTAGGATATCATCAAAAAAATCCTTTCTCTGTACATTTAGTCAATTTGCTCTGCTAGTAAGTTATAAAATGAACACTTCTTTATTATAGTATTTACAATGACTTCATCATGTATACTTATTCATACTTTATTACAAACTATGTATTCTTTTAGTACTTATGAATAGTGATACATATCTACTCAATGGAACTACCTATACATTTTCAACGCAAAAGCAATAGATATAAGTAAAATGTTTAAATAATACTGCACTGTCTGTTTCATGGTTGCCATAAGATCTGTACATATATTATTATACTGCAGCATATTTAAAAATTAATCGTGATAAAACAAAAATATATTTTCTTAAAAATGTTCTTCTAAATCAATAGACAATCCAGTTCGCGCAAAAATACGCAATGCCTAATAAAAACATTTAGATTTTAAACAATTGAGAAATAAATAACAGTTAACAATTATTATTTATCAATATGAAGATGACAAAACGCAAGGAATGATGAATTGAAATTGAAAGTTCATCTATTCAAATTTTGATAAAAATTTTTTCGTAGTAGTTGTTTAGCTGTTTTATTTATTTGCATTATTTACAGTTATATGTGATGCAAGGAATACAAAAATGGATGCAACAGGATCAATATCCCCAAATATGAAGGAACAAATATTTATTATTAGGAAGCTGCATAATTATCTGGTAAGGACAATATATTTTAAGTATAACGAATATTTTGTGAATATTCTTGAAGAATAATATATAAATCATACACCTTATTCAGCCAAAATGGTGTACATGCAAGCTATGAAGAAATAATATTTAATACCAAAAAATTGTTTACATAATTTTTTTTATACTTTGATAAATATATCTTAAAGACAAGTTTTCCATTCTTATTGTAATAAATATGTAACAAACCAAAAAAAAAGGACTTTGGTAAATTAAAACAGTAATTTATTATTATATTATTAATTTGGATATTTCATTTTCAGTTGTCCAGAAGGAGTATACAATTACACTTACCTGCAAACAACAGAAAGAATACGCCCAAATAAGGAAATCCATATACCCCCAACTACAATGAATCTCTTACACTGTCATCAACTTTTAGAGAAATGAATGAGAATCAACACTTTATTCTCACATTTCAGACAATCAAATCTGTAAAAGTTAATGTTATTCAGTTAAAAAAATAAAAATAAATATGATTATTTTAATTTACAGATTCTATCCAGAGGAAATGTATGGTAAATGGAATGTTGGCTGGCTTAATCTTCTATAATAAGACTTATTCAGGACATAACAGCTGAGTTAGAAAATGTAAGTTTAGATAATTTTTTCTTCTTATTTTCAAATTCCTATTATTAATAGTGTTATGGTATAAGTTACAGTAGCTGGATGTGATGCAACATTTAAGACTGTCCCAAAGAAAATAAACAAATCTAGCAACTATTTACCTTCCAAATAGTGTACAAAAATGTTGCAAGTTCTTTTTTTTTTTTTTTCCCTTATTGCATTCTGATAACATACAATGCACAACTCACAAAAACCAATTAAGATCAGTTTAAACCCAACAACTAAATCAAAAATAAATAATGGTACTAATTTAAATGTTTTACAAAGTAATCGTATACAGAGCGATTTAAATGATGTTTTTTACTCAAATTCACCAAATGTTGACACCAATTTTATTACAGTCCAACATAAAACCAAACGAAATCTTTCTTCTAACTCAAATGGAAAACCGGAAACAACCAAAAAAAATAAACCCATTTTCACATCTTCAAATAAATACGCAGTACTTGCAAACGAAAATCAAGAAACTGAAAATTCTGACGAAATTCTCACTGATATCGACTCGGACACCAAAACCAAACAAAAAGACAAACCTCCTCCACCCATCTTTATAAGTGGAATTTTGGATTTTTCTGCATTTCGTTCACGTTTAATAGAATTAATCGATGCTGACAGTTTCTTTGTTAAATCAAATGTCAACAACTTAAAAATTCAAACCAACAACGCGGACTCATACAGAGCAATCATCCATTTTCTAAAAGAGAGTAAGGCCGAATATCACACATATCAAGCTCAAGATGAAAAACCTTTCCGAGTAGTGATTCGAAACATCCACCCATCAACTCCATTAGCGGAAATAGGCATAGCAATAAATGAAGTTGGACCTTTCTCAGTCCTTAATGTATCCAACGTCTTAAACAAAACCACTAAAAATAAATTGCCAATTTTCTTTATTGATTTGGAACCTGCGGAAATAAACAAAGAAATTTTTCATATCAACTCTTTATTAAATACAAAAATAAAAATTGAAGAGCCGTATCATTATACAATGTACAAACTGCCAGGAGTACGGTCACTCCAAATCATACTGTGCCCACCCTCCAAGATGCGCTAAATGTGCTGCCAATCATTCTACTTCCACCTGCACAAAATCCAAGGACGAACCACCAACCTGCGCCTTCTGTGGAGGTAATCACACTGCTAACTATCGAGGCTGCTAAATCCATAAAAACCTTCAAAGTTTCCAATACGGTAATAATACTCCAAATAAAAAATATAATTTAAGAAATGATGTAAAATATAATTCTATTGTAAAGAAGGGGGAGGACTCCGGTGTCAAAATCAACCTTAACCCTCCAAACTTAAATGACACCTCATCTTTTCCAAAGCTGTCCCTACAGTCTCTCCATCCTAACACACCTAAACATACTCTCCCAAATGATACTGAAAATCAATCTGAACCTAACTTAGCTGCACAACTTTCATCTTTCATTTCTGAATTCAAATTAATAATAAATCCGCTCATATCGCTACTTACAACTGTAATAAACAAACTTATAATCAATATCAACTAAAATACCAAATTTAAACATACTGAAATCATTACTATGGAATGCAAATGGCTTAAAACAACATGAAACCGAATTATTGCATTTATTATTGGAAAAACAAATACCAAATACCAAATACCAAACTCTTCTTCCCAGGCTTTAAAATTTTCAGAACCGATCACCCTGATAAAACAGCCCACTCTGGGACTGCTATTATAATATCTTCTAAAATACAATATCAACTACTTCCAAGCGTTCAGCTTCCCACCATCCAATCGACAACTGTTCAGATAACATTAAACCACGTTCCTACCAAAATCTCTTCAGTTTACCTTCCTCCTCACCTGGCCATATCCTCAAGACAACTAAATAAATTTTTAAAATCCCTTGGTCAACAATTTTTAGTGGGTGGCGATTTTAATGCTAAACACTCACAATTGGGCTGCATTTCAGAAAATCAAAGAGGCAAAATGCCCCAAAAAATAACCAAAAATACACCTTACATATTTATAAGTTCAAAAGGCCCCACTTACTGGCCCCAACACCATAACAGACACCCTGATATACTCGACTTCTTTTTATCATCACCATCTAGACACATAAAACATTCTGTTAACAATCTAAATGACCTAAGTTCGGATCACACCCCTATCCTTTTAACTATGATTGCATCAATTGAACCAACTCCTCCACATCCATCATTATCTCAAGGTCCAATCAAATGAAACAAATTTTTCGAAATTATGCCAAACACAACTTATCTAAATATATCCCTTAAAAATAAGGAGGATATAGAAAGCGCTGCTCAAAATCTTGTAACGTCAATTCAATCTGCCATATTTAAATCCTCACACCCAAAAATACAATCAAGTAAACACAATACAAGGAATCAATCTCTATCTATAAATATTACAAATCTGATTTCCGAAAAATGGTGTGCGCGCTCTAGGTGGCAAAAATATCACTATCCATCTGATAAAAAACTGTATAACCACTTAGCGAACACTATAAAAAAATTAACATTAAAGCATAAATCCAAATATTTTGAAAATAAATATCAATCACTAAACCAAACAGATGGTTCTCTTTGGAAAACAACTAAAAATTTACTTAGAAGAAAGGAACATCTCTCAATGAACTCTCCCATAACAGACTCAAACGGCTCCTTGGCCATCTCCGATATCGAGAAAGTCAATCTGTTCGGTAAACACTTATTGAAAATTTTCACATCTCACGCCGATATAATACCAAACTCTGACCACTCTGAAACCATCAAACAATTTATCAACAGCCCTCTTCCTATGTCATTACCTGCTAAACATACCTCGCCAAGCGAAATATTATTTTTAATTAAAAAATTAAAAGATGGGAAATCACCTGGCCACGACCTAATTACTAATAAAATTCTGAAAAATCTTCCTCGCAAACCCATTCTACTAATTACTTTTATCTTCAACGCTATGCTAAGACTATCATATTTTCCGCTAATTTGGAAGTTGTCAACTGTAATACTTATACCAGAACCAAATAAACCAAAGACTCTAGCCACCTCTTACAGGCCAATAAGCTTACTTCCAACTCTAGCAAAACTGTTCGAAAAAATAATACTTAAAAGAATCAGACCTATTATGCAAACTCATAAAATTATCCCAAACTCTCAATTTGGCTTTAGAGCAAAACATTCCACTGTCCACCAAATTCATAGGTTAACAGATAAAATATCATCATCCTTCGAAATGAAGCAATTTTGTCCTGGTGTTTTCCTTGATGTAGCGCAGGCTTTTGACCGTGTGTGGCATGATGGCCTAATATATAAACTCAAACTTTTTCTACCTGCGCCATATTATCTAATTATTCGCTCATGTCTTGAAAACCGCTCATATAAAATCCGATATGGTAGCTCATACTCACCACACTTTTCCAAAAGCCGGTGTGCCCCAAGGCAGCGACCTTTCTCCTGACCTATTCAATATTTATACGGCCGACATACCAGTTACAACAAACACCACCTTGGCTACTTACGCAGACGACACTATACGACACCCAATACTTTGTGCTAAAAATGATTCTGACGAAACATCCAACTGTTTACACACTTAGATTCCATCGACAACTGGGCAACCAAGTGGTGTATAAAAATAAATCTATACAAATCTGTTTGTGTACCATTTATGTTAAAAAGAACAGTACCCCCACCTGTTCACTTTCAAGGTACTCAAATACCATCATCTCCAAATGTCAAATATCTTGGAATTACCATTGATAAAAGATTAACCTGGGGCCCACACCTTAAACAAAAAAAAAAAAACACTCAACAGCCATCTTTGTCCTACTTCGTCCGATTTTAAAGTCAAAACTAATAGTACAAACGAAACTTATAATGTATAAATTTCTCTTGCGTCCAATGTGGGCATATGCAATCCAAATCTGGAGCTGTGCAAAGCTATCCCAATAATGCTATCCCAATCCACAATACAAGCATTCCAGTCCATTACCCTCTGTATGATTACCCTCTGCTCCTTGGTTGTTTCCAATTTTTCACTACACTCTGACCTAAAAATTGAGTCAGTTGACCAATTAGCCACCAAACATTACAGATCTGTCTACTCCAAACTACCTTCCCATACTAACCCGTTAGTTTCTTAAATCTCATCTACTCAACCCATTAATCCCATCTATAGGCTCAAAAGAAAATATTGCAGAGATTTGTTAACCTAAAATAAATTCTCTTTGGGTTCCATCACTGGTTGGCCTCCCTCTTCAAATTATTCAAGTTAAACATGTACACAAATTATCAAATTTACTTATTGTGATGTTAAACACAGATTGTAAATATCTTAATAATAAAAAAAAAAAAGTTCCTTTCTATACCTAGCAACTATGAAACTGTTGTTCATATGAAAATTGTTGTTCTTTTGTATTATAGAGCTATCCTCTGGTATATGCACTTTTAAAAGGCGAGTCTGAAGAGATATATACAGCATTATATGTACGCATAAAAGATATGATACCTCTGAAATATGAAAATATTATGGAATTACAGACTATGAAATTAGGCAAATCAATGCAATAGGTACTGTATTTAGAGAAATAACACACCAAGGCTGGTATTTCTATTATTGTCAGGTATGAGTTGTGTAAGAATTATTAAGAATATAAAGAATATAATTAATACTAATACATTTAGGTGATTGATTCTATGGTATGCTAGAAACAAGTCAATCAGTGTTTACAATCTAGTAAAAATAAATCTTAATGCTACTTGTATTTTCCTGATAGTTCTTAGTATTTTACCTATTATTATACATAATCATAAGACCTCATCCAAAAATATGGGAGTTTATTTGTAAGTTTTCATTGAACTAATTAATAGTCAATACTTTTGCTAATCACAAATCATTTACATATTGTTTTTCATCTATAGATCAATTGAGGTATTTGGAAAATATGTGTGCAGTAGAATTCAAACAGGCATAAAATAATATGAAGGCAAGTTAGAATTATAAGAAAATAAACTATTCTTTTATTTTCAGTGTTTTTTATTTAAATTAAATATACGAGATCTGTTCAAAAAGTTCCAGGACTATTTGGATTTGGATCTTTGGAAGAGCTTGATATCACTGGCTTCTATGACTTATCCTGAGCACATCTGTTTTTGTTGATTGTCTATAATATATTGATTATAAATTGTCTTTGTTTTGATGTCATTGATGTTTATGTAAAATATTTTTTTTGCATTTGGACGATTTAGTATTAAATCCAAAAGAACTTTTTTTGTGGAGTGGGGAGGATCTCCATTTCTTTTCATTTTTTTGATAGAATCTTGTTTGATATAGAGGAGTGCAATGTTTCACATGATTGGCTAACAAATTGTAACTGAAAAACTGCAGATGTGCCGAGTGAAAGTCTTTCTTGAGAATGTGGAGGAAGGTTCAAGTTCAGGTTTATCAGGAATTTTTTACTTCAGAACATATATTTTACAATCAATTGTTGGAATAAAAACTCATTTTGTATACAAAATGTAAACACACACTATTTGTCAATATTCTTATATACACTGGTAATTATGTGGAGAATTTTGATTTTTTCAATAGATCTTTCTCTGTTCTGATCCTAAGAACCATCAAAATATATTGAAATAATAGAAGAAAATTAATATATTAAAATAAATAAACTATAAATAAGTTTTAAAAATTACTTTCATTTTTATCTGGGTTTACTTTGTAATTTTGTATATCAAGTATTTTTTTCTTTATTATTTTTTTCTGATTTGTGAATTATTGTAATTTATTATGTATGTGTTATATTTATACATTTTCTTTACCTAAAACTGTAATTGGAATTTTATTTTCGTTAATAAATATTATTATTATTGTTTATTTTTAGTTTTTAATATTTATTAAGATTTGATAACATAAAATTATACCATTACCTAACTAATCTGACATTTGATTTTGATTGTATTGACCATTTTGTTTCCAAAAACTAATTTTAAAACCATATTTTAATTGACTTAATTATAATTATTTAAACATAATACTATTACTCAGGGTGGGAACTATAATACAATAATTATATAACACTGATTACATATGTATGTATGTATGTATGTTATGTATAAAACTATTAGTTGTATAAGTTTTTACTGTATACAATTTTTTTTTTTTTTTTTTGGCTGCAACTGAACAGAAATTATTAGTTAAAAAATTGTAATTCAATTTAATCATGATTTTATACCTTATACGTTGTATCTAATATTAATTACCTAAGATATATGTGATAATTTATTATATTTATTGCTAAGTTCATCTTAATTCTTTATTAATAAATACACCAATATTTATAATAACTAAATAGAAATTTGTTTTGTTTTTATTTTGTTCTAAATTTAAAAAAATTCACTAAATTGATGCGATTTGTTAATTTGTTATATTAATTTATAAGTTTAAATACTTCAAAAAAAAATATTTTAGTTGTTATGAAGTTTTATAAGTGGAGTATTATACCGTAATGTATAAAATGTTTTATACTCCTATGTTACCAATCCTGATAATTAATACTGTAATATTATGTTATAAAACTATAACAGTGACTTACTCAATAATGAAATTCACTTGGAAGTTATAGGGGAAAACTTCACGAAGTTCGGGTATTTCTTAGATATAATTTTACATTTTTTTATTTTTATTTTTTTTCAAAATGTGTGGTTTTAATGCTCAATCCATTGGTAAATCTAAAATCACCTGTCATACTTTTACATACATACTTACCTATGGATAGGTCACTTTTTATTTTTCAAGGTTTGTACAAAAACTATAAAACCATGATAGAATGTAATAGACTTATAAAAGTATTTTTTTTTTTACATTCTTAATGAACACACAAAAACACACATTTAAAAAAAAACCCAAAAAATCGATAGGTTGCTAAACTAGAATTATGCCGAAATACCTCAGTGTTGTGTAATAATATTTTTATTTTATATTACCTACCAATTTTTTTCCAAATTCCAATTTTGTCCAGTACAAATAATTTTAAAATTCCGTCTGTGCGACTGTACCACAGTCGGCACAGACTATGGAAAAATATCTACATAATATAATAGTATATTGTAATAACATGTATAAATGATGAAATATTAAAAATAAAAAAATATTATGTCGGTAATGGTAACATTTCAAATTTATCGTACTCGAGTCTGGTCTCCCGTATACACAGTGTGTTTACCACAGGCATAGACATTCATAGGCATAGATTAAATATATTAAAATATTTATTCTATGTCACAGGTATAATATAATAATTATATATTATAATAATAATATGGAAATAATATTATGCATAATTTATAATAACGTATACAAATTGTTTGTATTATTTATATAATAACTATAATATTATAATATCTTGCAATAGCAAAGTTGCAAAATGAGTAATCGTTAACTGTCACAATATACTTACAAAAATACTAACGGCCAAGGTGTAGTATTTTAAATTATTAGATTATCATTAGATTTTCAATTGTTCATTATCTCCCTGAGATAAAATTTGATTATTTAATTAATTGATTATTTTTTGCATTAAACGCCGTACTATCAGAGGAAGACTCTTCATTTATAATACTATTACTTTTTTTTGCTTCTTCATCTACTAAACAACCCTTTACAAATTAAATTGTGAGAGTCTCTGGTGAAAAAGTTTCTAATGCTGTAACTGAATTGTTGTACGTTTCAGGCATAGTGAGTAGATGAAAAACAATATCACATATTCTATTGTAAGATAACTATAATACACATAAATTAACTGAGAGAAAAAGTCAAAAAGACACACGACAACCATGCATGATTCTGCAAAAGTAGTTTTTATATTTAACAAAAGAACAAAACTCATAATATACATATATATATATATATATATATATTGAGATTATTGTTACGAATAATATTATTATCAATAAGAATATAAATAACAACAGCTATAAGAAATAAAAAAATAAAAAAATAAATTGATTATTAAGACAAACACTTTATTCAACTTAATTACAAGTTAAACAATTTAATGTGATTTTTGACATTGCTTATCTTTCACGAGAGTCAATAATTGGATTAAAACTGGACAGTTTTAGTCTTAAATCATTCTCAACATTCAGTTTATTAAAATTATGACCGCCTGCAACATTTTGGTTTCATATCAAAAACATCTCCTAGATATAGACAAATTAATCCTATTAATATAACCACTTAACACCTAACCAATATAAAATCAGGTACTCTTATTATGCCTTCTCGGAAGGCAAATGACTCACATTATTGCTATAGCACTATGTAAAAAAAAAATTCTATTCAAGAAAAAGGTTCAAATAAAGATTCTTTAAAGTCTATACTACACAATGAATTACAATATGCTATTGTGTTCAAATCTAATCCAGTCTAGTGAGGGGCTTAACAGTAGCTACACCCATCCCTATTATCCTAGGACTTCCTTTTTCTTTAATTTCAATACTTATAATGGCAAGCTAATTTGACTAGTGTAGGAGGTACATCAACTGTTGATAGTGATTAACTTACAAAGATGAATAATGCTAAGTTTACTTTTTTTAAATTGAAAATTTGAAAACATATTTTAAATGTATTTTCTCAAAGAATGCACTATTACATTCAAAATTTAAAAATTAAATGAACTAATTTTAATTCCAAACTATGCCTATAATTATCATACATAGGTTATCTGTTTTTGAATCAGTGTCATTGTACCTATAAAGAATTTTCTTAAAAGGCTCAGTGCTAGTGTTCAAAATTTTAATCACCACTTCTACTAATTTATTGGCAGATATCCAAATAGTGGGAAAGGTTATGGCTTTTTTAAGGGTGAAAACAACTTCAAAAATAGATATAACTAATTATTAGCATATTTTTTAAATTAATAAATATAATTCTACACATATTTTGTAGATTTTTAAATTTTTTTAACATTTACAGCTTACATTTACATTTACATTTTTACATTTATTTTAACATTTACGAAGAGAAATTAACACATAATCTTTTTTCAGTAGTAGAAAACAAAAAAAAAATATAATAATAGTAAATTGTTTATTTGAAGAGTAACTATGTATAATTAAATAAAGCTTATATCATAAGGGTGGTTTAGATATTTTTAAATAACTATGAAAAATTATTACATGTTTCATAAAACATACTAATCAATATTTTCTTTAGAATAAAATAAATAACACATATTTACAATTACTAATTTACTATTTAAAAAATAAATAGAAATTATTATTATTATAATTTAATAAAATTGTATAGTTTAAATATGTGAGTCATATAAATGAATACATACAAAACACATAATCTTTTTTCAGTAGTAGAAAACAAAAAAAAATATAATAATAGTAAGTTGTTTATTTGTAGAGTAACTATGTATAATTAAATAAAGCTTATATCATAAGGATGGTTTAGATATTTTTAAATAACTATGAAAAATTATTACATGTTTCATAAAACATACTAATCAATATTTTCTTTAGAATAAAATAAATAACACATATTTACAATTACTAATTTACTATTTAAAAAATAAATAGAAATTATTATTATTATTATTTAATAAAATTGTATAGTTTAAATATGTGTGTTATATAAATGAATACATACAAAACACATAATCTTTTTTCAGTAGTAGAATTCATAAAACATACTAATCAATATTTTCTTTAGAGTAAAATAAATAACACATATTTACAATTACTAATTTACTATTTAAAAAATAAATAGAAATTATTATTATTATAATTTAATAAAATTGTATAGTTTAGTAATTAAAAAAAAGTAGTAGTGTGTTCATGGAAAATGTCAGATTGTTTGTATGTAGAGTGATTTTTTTTTTTTTATTATATGCTTGTATTTAAAATATTAAATAAAAAAAAAAACCAATATTACTGTTTATCATTCCCACACTGTAGCAACTCATATACACAGATTAAAATAATTTTTTCCACATATCTAAGTAAAGATTCTCTAGTTCCCTACAATAGGATTCACAGTCAAACAGTGCACTTGTTATTTTCGATCGCCAAATTTGTTGTCTTATTCGGTTCAATAGATTGGTGTGCTTCCCTAATTGTATTGCTATTCTGGGATAGTCAAATTCAACCAAAGCAATTAATTCTGTACAGTTTACTGCAAGTAATTGTGAAGTAGTCATGCGGGACACAAATGAATCTCCAGATAATGTTACTATTGGCGTTCCTGCCCATAATGCATCTAAGCAACTTTTATGACCATTGTAAAATGGTGTATCTAAATATACATCAGCCAGCTGAATTCTTCTCAGATGTTCAGCTTTTGGTGCTAAGTTGCTGAAAATTATTCGTACTGGATTAATACCATTTAATTCAAAATATTCACGAATGTTATTTTCGGTATCCTCAACAAACCGTAAGAGCCATAACACAGAATTCTTAACACCCTTTAGAATGGTTATCCACATATTTAAAGTAGTTTGATTAATTTTATAAGGTTGTCCAAAATAGCAATACACTATAGAGTTTTCTGGAAGATTATACATCTGTCTTGTATAGAGCTTTTCAACGCTATACATAGATGAAGTATTAAAACTTTCAAAATTGCACATGGTTTCATTGAAATTTGTTCTGTTTTGAGAATTTCGTTGACTTAGGTCATTAAATAATAACCTGTGATCACCAAAGAATACAGTTCGATTCAAGTAAGCCAACTTTTCAGTATACAAATAATTTAAATTAGGCGGAGAACATTGTTTATCTGTTATTAAATAATCTATAAAAGTAGCACCACTAGTTCCAGGATGTCCAAGTAATTTAACTTGAATTGGAGCTGGTTTCAATGCAAATATTTCATATTCCAGATCTTTTGTAGAATCGCCCACATCAATTAAAATATGAATTCTATCTGCATTTATTTTTTTGGCTGCATCAATTGAACTGAGGTTGGAAATATCAATACAACAATCAGACGCAGACAAATCATTTGACCTAAACACATATTTTGATAATAAATAATTATAAATTAAGATGAATTAATAATAATGTAAAAAATTCTAAAATATGTATTTTAATACTAATTTCATTTAGATTTGAGGAGAAAGAATTTAATGTTTATTTTTTTTTCTATGAGAAATTTTTCTACCAAAAATGTTGATACAATTTTTAATTATAAGACCTTTTCTAAAAGGAAATTGAACTAGGGTGGTACTTCTAGGTTATTTGTTGATTTTTCTAGAGGTTTTCAAGTCAAATGAGAAAACTTGGGAATTTACACGAATTATATTAAAATGTGTATCAATTTGATTTCATTTTAATTTTAATGGTGGCACTTTAAACATGGCGTCAACCATATAGAGGCAGTGAATTGTAGACTAAAAATAAAAATGTGATGAATCTTATAAATTGAAAAAGAATTCAAATAGAAATATATTTACACATAGCATATAATATAGTACCAACTTGAAATTATCAAAATAAAGATAAGATACAATTATTAAATTTTATGACTGGTGTAATTATATTATAATCTCTATATATGGGACTGTTGACTATAGCTAAAATAGTTACATAAATGAGTAAATTTAACAAAATTGAACGAATTCCAAAAACTTTGTTATTAAAACTTCTAAATTTGAATTCCTACTTCCATAAAACATATTTAAAACTTACTTAGCAATAAATTGAAAAGGTAGAAAAAATATTTGCAAAATGCAACAACATTGGTTTCCTACTTATATTGAATAACATAGAATTATTACAATCAGATATTTTACATTATTTTTTTCGCTTCATAAAAAGTATTAGTAAAATTGCATAATTTTTACATACCTAGGCATATTAGAGTTATTAGGCGTACAATAGGTGTAGATAGAACTAAATATTTGAGAAGACTATAGCCCCTCTTTAGACAAAATGGAATTAAAACAAAATTATGACGGTCATATGATCAGTACACTAACATCATTAAATTTACACTATTTAATATAATTTATAATACAAGTAATCAAAAACATAAAAAAATATTTTCAATATCTTACAATCACAGTTAGGTATATGGCCACAATATACAGAGTAACCAATCTATAGTAAGACACTTATTATCTTGGAAAGTTTTAACTTGTATAGGAATTTGCTTTATAGAACATTTAAGAAACAAGTAGCTATATTTATATTTTTTTTAATCACCTTTACTTTTGGGTGTAAAATTACTACCTAATTTTTATTTTAAAATGACAACTTATATTGAAAATGTCATATAAATGAAGTAATAGTTAAAATAAATTTTATTACTAAAATTTTTGATTTCTGTCAATTCATTGATGAGATATTCCACTTCAAATCTTGGGTCAGGGGATAGAAGTGTTGCATTCTTAAAATGCCACGCACTACACAAATGATGCTCCACTACTCTCCTCAACAAAACTTAAAAGTTGAATATCTCATCAATGGATTGACAGAATTCAAAACTTTCAACACTAAAATTTATTTTAACTAATACTAAATTTATGTATGGACTTTTTAATATAGATTGTTCCAAAAATAAGGGTGACAAAAAAAAACATAAACGTAAAATTGTAGAGATCAATGTTAATACTTTCTGAGATAATGAGTATCTTACAATAGATTGATCACTCTGTACATAATAGGTAGGTATATTGAAAAGATATTATCATTCATTAATGGCACTAAGTCATAATTAATAGAAATATCTACCTATGTATTAGACAAAAATTACAGTGTTTTAAATAATTTCCTTTCAAATTATTAACTAACTTGTCGATATTCTGTAGGACAATACTATAGGAAACTAATTAGTTTTTTTTTAAAAAAATGTTGAAATTAAAATTTTTGGCGAACTTAGCCTCTCCAGTATCCCTACATATAAGCTCATGCTGATTTCTCTATCCATAGTAACTATTGTTGATTTGGTTAACAGTATTATTCTTAATATTAGTATTATTATCAATCTTAATTTAACCCTTCGTTAGGTGCGTGGTCTACAATTATAGACCAGCTATAAATATTGACAATTTTAGTATTTATAAATAACTTGTAGTGCCTTGTACTTTATAATAGCTGTTTTTTATCTTTAATACTGTGTAATCAGTATCACCGTGACTGTTGACGCGTTGTTTAACGAAACACATCAACAATATTATGAGTGGTCTACTACCGTAGACCACGCGACTAACTAAATTATTTTTTTTATAAATTTGCAAAATGTTTATTTTTTTTTTGAATTAGGTACATTCGTTTTTAATATTTTTAATTTCAACAAAACAGAAACAGTAAGTAAAAATAGATGTATACGTAAATATTTTAATGCATTTTGAAGGTATATAATAGTATATTCAGAATAATAACTTTTATTTGGGGAAAGACAAAACCACCAAATGGAAGAAAAATAAACCAAATTCGAGTACGTTCCCATAATATTATTACACATTTATCTGGTCCTAAACAAAATGCACGTAATGCCAAATTTGAAATTGATTGTTTAAAATTATTTATAAACAAGAATGTAATTCGTTTAATCACCATTTCGACAAATACATACATTGAAACTATAAAAGCAAATTTTCAACGTTAATCTGACGCTAGATTGACTGATGAGAGAGAAATTAATGAATTTATTGGAATTTTATTTTTGATTGGGGCTTTAAGGTCTGCGAGAAAAAATACTCATCAAATTTCGGATAATTCTAGAGGTAGTGAAGTTGAAGCATGTTATTTAGCAATGAGTGAAAAACGTTTCAGATTTTTAGTTAGATATATCCGTTTTGATGACTTAAATAATAGAAATGAAAGAAGAGAAATCGACAAATTAGCACCTATAAGAGATGTTTTTGAATGCTTTATTGCGAATTTTCAAAATAATTTTATAGCAAGTGAATATCTAACGGTGGATGAACAATTATTAGGGTTTCGAGGTCGTTGTTCATTAAAACAATACATTCCTAGCAAACCGGCCAAGTATGGATTAAAAATGTTTGTGTTAGTTGATGCCAAAACAGCTTATACATTTAATCTTGAAGCTTATGTAGATACTCAACCTGAAGGGCCATATAAATGTAAAAATTCTGGTGAAGACATTGTTCTTAGACTTGTACAACCAGTAGAAGGAAGTAACAGACTGATTGACCGCTGACAACTGGTTTACAAGTTTTCCACTAATAAAAAATTTAAAACTCAATAAAAAATTAACATATACAGGCACAATAAGAAAAAATAAAAGAGAGCTACCGTCAGAGTTTTTACCAAATAAAAATAGAGAAATGCATAGCTCGATTTTTGGATTTCAAGAAGATTATACATTAGTTTCATATTGTCCACGAAAAAATAAAGCTATATTAGTTGTGTCAAGTATGCACAATGACGACACAATTGAAGAAGAAAATCATGCAAAAAAACCTGAAATTATTACTTTTTAAATAAAACTAAGATAGGTGTTGAATTAGTAGACTAACTATATGAAAAATACAATGTGGCTAGGAATACTCGTAGATGGCCAATGGCCATTTTTTATGACCTACTGAATATATCTGCTATAAATGCTGTTTGTATATACAAAGCAAACAATTCAAAAATGTCAAGAAGACAATTTATTGAAAATAATATTGCATGGGAACTACTGAAACCTCAAATTGAGTACAGATCAACGATTACTAAACTATCAATAGAATTAAGACGACGTGCACGTGCACTTCTAGGTATCGAAGAGCCTTCAATTTCAGTAATACCAGAAAATCTTCCAAATTATGTGGGTCAATGTTATGTATGTCCACGAAATAAAAACAAATCAACCAGAAGATTTTGTGGCCAATGCCGAAAATATGCGTGTAAAGAGCATATGAAAGATATTTGTGTAAATTGTTTAAATTAATAAATTGTTTTTATAATACTTGACATTTTTTTTTTTTTATATATATATATATATATATATAGAATATTTCGTAAATTAAAAGAAAAGTATAAATGAATAATTATGTTTATTTATCTTTAGACTATTATATTATTTGTATAAATATGTTTTTATTATTAATATACCTACTGGGTCATTACATGTTGTTTTATATGTACTATAAAATTCGTTATACTTTATATCAATATTATGGAATTAAGTTAACAAAAGGAAATGATTACCAAGAAAAAAAAGCATCAAAATGAATAAACACTATCATTTCCCATAATGAAATCACAGTTAGAATACCTATATTTGTTCGACGATAACTGGTAAGAAAATATAAAAATACATTTTAATTTTATTTCGGGTCTTTTGTAAACATCTCAATTTAAGATATCTATAGTTTCAAACTGATTGGAAGGTAATTGGGTAAGTAGTTCTAATAATAAAAATGTCATGAAAGAATTTATGATAATTTCACTATAAACAAGATAACTGTACTTTCATCAAATATTTATGGATTATTTTGGATATTTTAATGCTCATATGATTTTTTATATGCGTACAAGTAATTTACATTATTTATATAAACAAAAATAATTAAAATTAATTGAATTGGTCATAAATTAAAATGGCCTACAAGTGTAGATCACGCGCCTAAATAAGTAACAATATACCACGCGCCTAACGAAGGGTTAAATATGAGCATTTAATCCACATTTATACAAGTCAGTATTAAAAATAAAAGTAATAAGTACATTGTGTATGTTATTATAGTTTAAAGTTAAAAATACATTTAGAAACGGGAACTTAGATTGCTTTTAGAGTAGACTTTCTTAAATTGCAATCCATTAAACTGTTTGCTTTTTACATTCCAAATAAATATTTTCTCAATTTCTTGATTTGTATGTGCTTTTGTAAATTAGTATTAACCTGGGTTCGTAACAAAAAAGACATACTTAGCAAGATGGGTGGACCATTGTAGAAATGAGAATTTGGGAAGGTAGTGAAATAGTGGAATTAGTGGAATAGTGGAATTTAATGTATATCTATATGCAATCTTTGCAAATGAAAAACAATTCTAAGCAGAATTTGATTATACGTGTTTTAAAAAGTTGTAACATTTACAATTTGAAAATAATTCATTCGGCATAAATTATCTAGTTTTTCCTAAGTTTTTTTCCATTTCCCATGAAACCACTAGAACAAATAAAAATTGACCTCCTTTAAGTACCACCACCCCAATCACATTTCCTTTTAGTGCTACATTTGAAAATCAGAGCAAAAAGGCTATTCAAGATCCATAAATATTAAAGTAAAAATGTTTACTAATCATAATATTGAAGTTTATATAATTGCTTATTCTCACATGAAAAAATACTAGTAAATTCAAAAATTAATATAATCTTTGTTTTCTCAAAAGATTATTTTGAATTTTAATTCTACAAATGCTATGTAATAAGTGATTAAATCTTTGATTATCATACTGTCACGTTAATTTATATATTTATATAAGTATACTACTAATAGTAAAAATACACATATGCAAACACTTTATTATATTAGATATATTTAGTTATAAAAATTAATTGAATATTTACCTCAATCTATTTATTGGTGATAGAGAATAACAAAATACTTCAAATTTGTTCCGATCATGTAATTTTCTAATAGACCTTACTAACTCTTTTGTAGGATGGCTACTAGAATCTGTGTATATATATCCTATACGGATGCAACTATTTGATACAGATATATCATGTACATATCCTGGATATAAGCTTCTTTGTACATATGGTTTATCAGCATATTGTTTTGCTAATATTGATGCAATTTCTATCAACACTTCAGATTCAAAATTACATAGTAAAGAGTGTTGTAGTGAAATAGTTGGCACTTCATTATTTGTCAATTGATGGAAAACGATATCTTTTAATTTTTGTAGATTTGTCTCATCGAAGATTGTAAACTTACAAATATGCCTTCTACATTCCATTAAGAAACAGTATGCATCTGGATGATTTGGGTGAAGATTTAATACTTTTTTAAATTCATTTATGGCTTCATTAAATTGTTTTCTTTCTTTATAAATATATCCTATATATAAGTGAGGTGCTAAACAATCTGGAAATAGTTCAAGTACTTTCAAAAAATAATTTAACGCAGCATTTCTATAATTTAATTTAAATGACAATGTTCCCAAAGCTAAATAGGTATTCAAATCAGTATCACAGATTTCTAAAGCTTTTACAAAATGATTAAAAGCTTCTTTAAGATTTCCAACTTCATTATAAAAATAATTTGCCAATTCTTTATGTATTACAAACTTATCAGATACGCTATGATTTAGCATAAGATCATAAAGTGTAATAACATCATCAATATGGCCACTTCGTTGTTTAAGGGCTATTAGTTTATGATAAGTATCACAATGTTTTGGATTAAAATATAAAGTTTTGTAGTAAAGTTCTTCAGCTTCTTCTAGTCGATTCATTTTTTCATATACATTTGCAATATTAAAATAAATTAGGGAAAAGTTCGGTTTCATTCTTTTGGCATCCTCAAACCTGTTTATTGAAATTTAAAAGAAATTAATATATATTTATGCTAGTGATTCAAAAGTGCATAAAAATGTTAAATTGAATGTGAAAATATATAGGTTTTTAATTTTAAAACTTTAAATTAAAATTATTCAAAATTAGAAATATATGTTTTCTTTGGTATTTTCACTTGGTGGTTTTAAAAAAGTTCATGCATTAAGTAAATCATTCAAGGAATGAAAAATTACATTTAAAAATATTACAAAGGATGATATTATATTTATCACAATATTGTATAAGATTATTTACCTCATTAAAGCATTATGGTCATCATCCAACTTACAGAATATAAGTCCCATTTTCCAGTAGGGATAATAATTTTCAGGAAATAAGTTGCTAGCACAAAGCAATGCATTCATAGCACCAATATAATCATTATTTAACATGTAAACTTCAGCACAACTTAGAGCTGTTTTAAAAGCTAAGTCTTTTTTATCTAGTTGTTGATATACAGAAATAAGACTTTCATAATATAACGTGTTCCTTTTATCCAAGTCAACACATAATTTAAACAATGGTTGAGCAGCTGCTGCATTATTGAAGTGATTTAAATATATTAAACCCATATCATGCAATAAGACTGGATTATCGGATTGATCTTTCAAATACAAAGAGTAAGTTTTCACAGCAGACAAAATATTTCCATTATGAAAATATGTGTCACCCAATATAGGTGAAATATCAAAATTTATTCTTGGAAATATTTGAATAGCAATTTTCAAATAAAAACTTGTTTTATCAATGATATCTAATTTTTTGCATACTACTAAATCATTACTGGCTTCTGGATATTGATATTTTTCTAAATAATTTAGTACAAAATAATTTAATTTTTTTATATATTTAAGATGTTTGTCTGGAATTTTATCTAATATTTCTATAGCTTTTTTATATTTCCCCTGCATAAAGTAGGATAATGATAATAAGAGCAGAACTTTCAAATTGTTGGGTTGCAGCACATTAAGAATTGCACACATTTCTTGGGTACTTGCATAATTCTTTTTTTCAAAGAAAGATATTGCAGATTCAAATATTTCACCTGAAAACCAAAAAATTTTTGATTACCAACAATAAAATATATTTATATAAATATACATTAATGTTAATTGAAATATCTGATATATTTTATTTGAAAATTTGTACAGTATAAAAAAATCAACATTATTAATAACCAATACTTTCCTCCCTTAGTGCAGAATGGAAAAATTGATATTATTTATTTGTTATTTATTATTAAGTTGAAAGTTTGAAATTTTTAAAAAATAATTTAAATTGTCTAAATAGCCACTACTAAATAATATTAATTGATTCACCAATTATCTTGCCCAAAATAATTTTAGATTCTTGTTTTAAACAAATATATAATAAAGGAATCATAGCACAAGGTTTTAGTAATACAAAAGAGTAATATTTAAAGTATTGAACGAAACAAATTAGTATATTTGTAGAATCATTATGGAAGACCAATTTGCATTTTCAACCATACAATTTAACTATAGGTTTTAACCCCAGGGATGAAGTAGACTGAGACTTTCAGAATTAAAGCAGATGATGAGAAACTATTTTAGTTAAAAATGTGTGTAATTGAAGAATATACAACTAATAGTTATAATTTTATCATAAATAACAACTAGATAATACTACAGAGCTAAGGGAAGTTATCTTTAAAATACAATTGTCATATGCATAGTAATTAATATTTAATTGTTTACACAATGTGCTCAACAATAAATAGCATATAATCTGAATGGTTGGTAATTTCAGGAATTTTAGAATTATTTTTTAAAAAGTGCTGGTTTTCCATATTTTAAATTGTTTTTTAAAATTAAATTAAATTTTAGTGAATATTTCTATTACAAGTCTTTTCCACTTATTTACAGATCAAAGCCCATTTACAGTTTAACAGGTACGAACACAATGTTTTTAGATTTTGAGCAGAGCAAAAAAGCTTATGGTTTCACAAATATGTTTTTTTTTTGTTCTGTGGACAGCTTTTCTACCAGATATCTTATAGCTTTTTTTCTGAAAGAAAATCGGTGTTGGAAAATACTTTAGGGCGGTCATTTTTTGATTTTCTCAAGAGTTTTATTAACAAATGTGAAAACCAAAAAATAAACAGGAAAATGTATGACATATATTATAATATATTATTATATATATATATTAGAATATTATAATGAATCATTACAAAATATAGATAGCATAAAAATGGTCATGAAAAATACAATTTTAGAACATTAAAATTAATTACCACACTTATAATGTATTTATGCATTTATTTATGAAGATTTAGTAGATATGTGTAGTATAAAAGTCACTACTAACAGTGGATGTATTTAAAATAACAAAAAAATTATCTCATATTTATTTGATGTATATTTCACCTGCCCCTACAAAAAAGTGAAAGATGATATTTTCATAGAGGCAGACAATTTGTGAGCAAACTTTTACTCTCATGAAAATCAATCAAAAAAGCAAATATAATTTACAATTAACCAGTGTTCAATTAAATCATGTAAAGAGAATTTCTTCAATGAATATCAAACCTTCAATCAATAAACTGGTTAATGCTATTCAAACTTAAAAATTACATTTACTTTTATTTTTATTATTATGATGTATTATTATCATGATAATAAGTTTGTTTGTTAAACCTTGTTAAATTAATATATCAAATGGTGATAAACTTTAATTAAATTTGATATAACTATAAACTTTTGTTTAATCTTCTGGTAGGCATTCAAGAAATATTCACACCATAATTAACATAAAATTAATAAATAAATCTGTGCAGATTAGGTATTCTCTAATAACTAATTTAGATATAGTTGATATAGTTCTAGTGAGGTATTTATTTATGCCCTAAATTTGCACTTACCTGAAAGTTAAATTAAATAAAATGTATTCTAATAATTATGGTGTGTGAAAAATGTATTTTTACTTTTTGTCCCTAGACACCAAAAATGATGTTGCCTATCCCTATACAAAATAATTGGCTTTGTGTTAACCAAAAAAAAAAAAAAAGAAGACCTGGCAATAAATGAATATATTATTTACTTGGTCGAGTCATTTTTTGATAATATTTCAATCACTGCTATCTTGGATTATCACTGGATCTTCAGGTCTAAATGTTTTTGACAAAAACCGTTCTATAAAAATAATTAATAATGAAATTATAATGTTATAATAATATCAAAATAATATAACAGTAATGGATATAATATACAACGGTATATTATGCATACCTTATGTAAAACTTAGCATTTTATCGTACTGTGTAAAATAGCATGTCTGTTGATTATTGATAGCAACTATTGTATTAGAAATTGTATAAAGTATAACCTAAACTGGTGTCTGTTGAATTTTATCATTGTAATAGGGTAGTGGAGGATTGTAGTTATTGTGTTTGTATATAAAAATACTGTAAAATTAAATTAAAATAAAATCATAGAAATATTAAAAATGATTGTAAGAGTGTATAATTTGTAACCAAATTACAATCCTACTTAGACAATAATTTGGTTGTTTGAATATTCTAAGTTGCCAATTTTTAATTAAATAAATGGCAGACATTTTTAATAATTAAAATATAAATATCTACCTCATAATTTAATTTTTACTGATTAGGTAACTCTAGACAAATGTTTGAATTGATCAAAACTCGAAAAGCTAAATAAGTTTTAAATTAATTCTTTAACAAAGGGAGCATCAATCGGTATCCAATGAGAAGTACAGAAAAATCCAATGTATGTAGATTATTTTGTTGGTCAGAAAATGTCAAATTATGATGTCTGACAGCATATTATTTTATAAATAATAACAATTCTTTTATAATTTATAACTTTTAAAAATACAAAGGTGTTTTTAGAAATTTTTCTCCAGTTCCACGAACCGGAGATCAATCGTTATTTTAGAAAGTTATGTAGTAGGAAAATTATTAAACGGTAACTAATAAATTGCAATTTTTACTTCGTAATAGCACTAACTCGTACATGAATGCCATGAGGGATGAAGTTTCCATTTTTTTTATGTTAATAACTACCTCCACAATTAAAAACGGCAGGTTGAAGTGTGGGTTTTGGGGTAGGAAAAAAGTCAAAATATCTAAAAACGCCAAATGCATATATTTTTCGTGCGCCCCTGCTGACCAATGACCCGTGAATGGATTTTCGATTTTCTCATGTTCCATTGAGATACGACTGGTTTAGAAGTTCGCGTTCGCGGACTTGGATAAATTGTATTGTTGATAGAAGCTGTTTGGTTCTCGGGGTCAACCCTCACGTAAAAATATTGGAAAAAATATAGTATACGAATAAAACAGTCAGAATTTTGATAATTTAATATGTTAACCTTTTTCAACAATATAGCTTTTGGGTAGGCGACGAATAACATTATTTAAATATCGTATATTCTATCTGAAGATCGTTGATAAGATAAGGAAGGGGAATGGAAAAAATTTGGATTATTTTTCGATACTTTGATTTTTTTTTCGTCCCCAAGAGACGGCGTTTCAGAGACTTTTTTTTAAAATTATTCTAAAACCTCAAGCGCGGACTTTTAAACCTGTTATTCTTTGCGGGAAATGGGAAAATCGAAAATTCAATCACGAAACATTGGCAAGAAGGGAGGTCATAGAAAATATTTTTATTAAGCGTTTTTCGCTAATTTACTTCCCCCCCAAGAGCAAAACTTTGACTGAAATGACATAGGTACCTATAAGAGATACAAGAGATTTGATGTACTATTTGAAAGTATTACGTACCGGTTAGAAGAAAACAGCCAGGTCAAATAAATCCATAAAAATATGTAGTATTGTTAGTAGATTGATAATTCAAGAAAGTAACACGAAGATATCGTTGGTTTTGATGTCGGTCGTAGAGAAAATCAGAGCATAACGAACAGAATAAAAGAAATAAAATGAAAGAGCCGACTGTCAGGCTTAAATCAAGATTCAGAGCCTCAAAACTTTATAGTCAGGTGATACAGGACGCCATTTCATCAACAATTTCGTTGTTGCGTAATGTTACCGTTATTGAAGTAGGGATAAACCAGTGTGACCAACTTATACAGCCATTTAATAAATTTGTTATTATCATCTGTTAACCGCTGAACATTGGTTTACGATATACTGATTAGGTGCTATTCCGCTTTGTCGTTCATTTTATTACTAATCAACAAGTCTTGTTGATGTCATTCAATTCGTAATTACAAAAAAAAATTCTTAGGGAGGGACGGGAACTTGAAATTTGGTAAAATATTTGTGTAGCGTTTTATTTTCGCCTGTTATGTAGAGAATTTTAGAGAATTATTATGTTTGTCGATAGTAGGCGGGAAAAATGACCAAAAATGTAAACACAGCCTGGTAAAGGTGTGATTCCTTTACACGCGTCTAGAGACGCGCGGCCGACACGGCGCGATTTACTTTTAGCCGCGTAGGTACTACTTTACTTGTTTTTAAGTACAACTTATTCCTATGCTTGTCGGCCGCGCGGTGACAACTGCTTCGAGAGCAGTCATATCGCACGAGTCGCGCGGTTAATAGCTAAAATATTCATTTTTTTATTTTCAAAGTTCGGCATTTTTTGAACACTGTGTGACACAAAATGTCTTCATCAAAAGTATCGTTCACAGTAGAAGAAGATATACAATTGGCTGAATGTGTAAGGGAACATCCATGTTTGTATGAACTAAAAAAATGCTGACTAGGTTCAATATATAATTAAATTGATCCCAGCTTAATCTGAAAAATTCCCTGAATTCGATTTCGTCTCGCCATAAATGTTTTTCAATCAGGACACTGAAAAATCCTTCAGCTTCCCTGGCTAAGTACATTTCATGCACTTCATTTTTTATTTTTTGTCAGAACGTATTTTATAATTGTTTGTTCTTTTTCTACTTGTTATAATAGAAGTAGTTTTAAAATACATTTTTGTTTTTTTGTTAAGGACATAGTTAATAACAAACTAATAACAATAATAATACTTTAAATCACACTTATATGAATATACAAGTACCTACAACCTAACCAAACAGAGGATTTGATACAACTGCGTGTACGTGCCTAATTATTTTAGTGCCGTTAAGCCGCATGTCTTCTGACGCATAGGATTCAATAAAGATCGCGCGGCTAAATAAATGACCGCGTGGACAAAATTCAAATCACAACGCGTTGACCGCGCGCCTCTAGACACGTGCATAGTAATCACACCTTAAGAAAAATATCAAAAAAGTTAAAGTCTATGTGAGTGCCATAGAATCGTATGTAAATACGTACCTATGCATATATTTATAATACTATATTGTATTATAGTCCACGATATAGTATTTTATAATTGATAACTAATTTGTTATATTTTAACAAAAAAAGGAATGCCTAATCATTCATTGTTTATTATATTCTTTGATAATATTAATAACTCTAAGAAAATCTGTCGAACATGGTGGGACATACTGTATTCAGCTCATAAACATTTAAATAAATATAAGTAATATTATAGGTATGTATAATAGCGATACCTAGTCAGATTATAAAATTAAAAACTCAACTTTTTATAGTCATTAATTTTTTATAGTGGTTCATGTTATATTGTTGATTTGTTGTTTTATTTTTAATTCTGACATTTTATGTCATTCACAAAAATAAATGTTACAATAGTTACTATGATGACATATTTATCAGTATAAGTATAAATGGGTAAATAAATCAAACATAATTTATTATAAATAGAAATATGTTGTACTCATGGACATTGCATATTTACAACAGATAGGTATAAGTTGATTTTATTTTATTTCTATCTTAACTTTACACTTATCGAGTTAATTTTTTCTTTGTTAACTTTTAACATTCAACTAAAATTAAATTTAATTTAATTACATTAACTTGGTACAGTTAATTATTTTGACTAACTTGCCCACCTTTGCTCATTTGTCATTTTCCAAATGGCCACATTATAGAGTTTCCGGATTATGTTCATGAAGTAGTTAATTTATTATTTGTATTTTACTTTATTTACTTGTATGTAAATTTTCTTTGTGTATTAAAAAATAAATAAATATTTAAATATATTAAGGTTTGTTTATAGTATTTTGGTAGAGGAATAATAATTTACTATCCAATTTTATCGATTTTTAAAAATATCAATGCAATATTTTCATTATAATAAATTTTCAAGTGAAATATTTTATTAATTTTATTATATTTATGTTCTATAATGTTATTTAATATTGATCCAATAAACTATTATTATTATAATAATTTACCATTTAATGAGTAATATTATTGAAGTTAAAGTAAAGAATGAATACAAAAATCACAATACTAGGGAAAATAATATTAGTGAATATTCAAATGTTACCTGAAAAGAAGGACTTTGTGTGACTTCCCACTATGCAATTAGTTGTTGCAGGGATGATATGTTTAGATCTGAATACAAGAAAATTAAATATTGAAAATACATACATTTATGTTTCAAATAAACACACTTATGTCATTTAAATCAAAAAATAAAAGACAAGATTTACATAAGAAAAAACTATAAAAAAAAGCCAAAAATTAACTTAAGTTTTTCTTTTTAGATACCAACGAATTAGTGGCAAACGTTCAACTTCAACCAAAGTTGACAAGGCTTCAGCTAAATACAGCTTTTGTAAATACATAATATACAACAATAAATAGTGGAATATTGGGGGAGGGGGTCGTATATAAATTTTTCGTTGATAGTATTATTTATTTGTCCACTTTCATTCATTCATTAGTGGTTTTAATTTATGAATTTTATAAATTTTTAAACAAACAATGGTATATTGTTTTAATTTTTAATATCTTTTATAAAAATGTGTGGAATTATTATACTCATATTGGCATTCACTCTTTGAAGTTCATCCTTTTGGCTTTCACGGTTTTGAACATAGAATTTTTTTAAGGTTAGATAATACTTACATAATTGCAGTAATAAGATTACAAAATAATATAATTAATGCAATTATAATATTCAGGAAAATATTGTATAATTGTAGGTATCTATATAATTACTATGCAATTTCTGTTACAAATCTACTGTTCGGTTTTCGTTCAAATATTTTCATGATATTTAAAATCATAAATAAAAATATTGCAAATGAACGCATTTCTCAAACGTTTGAAATTACTATAATATAATATTAAGTTCTTGAATATAATATTTTGATTCTAGAAACTCACATTTCTATATTTGGTATATATTATTACCCAGTAAGTATTTGTGCTTATAGAAATTAAATAATACTAATATATAATAAACAAAAATAATATACAATTAATCGAATAAAGATATTATAATAAATAAATAAGTAATGAAAAGACACTTATACTATTATTTAAATAATGTATAAAATATTTACTCGAATTTATTGTTACGATTAGTTTCGACCATACGCCATATTTTTCAGGTTAGGTACGAAAAATAATAAAAATACCTACCATATGGATACCGACAAATATAGTTATAATTATTATGTAAATCTTTGGTCCTTGAGAAAAAAAGCTAAGTCAATTGTGTATAGTTTTCAATACTAGCAAAGTATCTTTTGAAAATTTATATTTGATCTAATTACTTGCTAAATGGTATTGCTATGAAGTCTAAATATATAGTGTTCTAAATAAACATAATTGTTTGACTTGTGCCTTTTTGCCAAACAAAAAGTACATCATAGAGATTTAAGGTAATTTAATTTTCGATATAATATATTGTGTTACAAAATAATATATATTATATCATTTATACCACTTATACCATTTAAACCAACAAAATACGAAGGCAAACAAATTGTATAAGATAAAATAATAAAAAATATGCCGAAAAAAAGACAAAGAGTTAACTCATTGTGGTAGTGATTAACCATGTTGGCCATCATTAGATTTTTAGATGGTACCTCATCAGAGAATGAACTTTTTGGTTAAATGGTGATCATTAAGTATAACCAATTTTAGTATATTAAAATGTAATCACTAGAATATGTCGTGACATATTTTCTAAGTGTAAAAATTATGTTTTTAATTATTTCATTTGACTTCTCCGAATCAAATATAAGTTTTCATAAATGGTCTCTGCAATAAAGAAATAATTTGCCATTAAGCTAGGATGACCATATTTAAAAAAAATTAAATACTGGACAAAATAATTTCATTAGTACATTTAAAGTAATATTTATTAATTATTATAGGTTTTTTTTTTTTTTTGTTAATTTTTCTTAATCATGACTATATTATTAGCTATTAAATATACCCGAATATCTTAAATGTATTATCAGATTCTTGTGATTATTATTTTTCATGAATACAATCGCAATCACTGTCAGTTCGTTATAGATTATTATAACGAATATTTTCGTAAACAGATACAATTTTAATCTGTATGTTAAAATTATAAAATATTTATATCTAATTAAATTAAATAAAAATTAATACGGAATAATTGGCATCAATATAAAAAAAACACGACAAAAAGCGTTCTAAAAGAAGTTCGCCAGGACAATTAGACACAAAGCTGAAAAAAGTACAAACCTGCATAAAACAAGACGTATGGTCACCCTACATTAAGCCCTTCTTCTTTCTTGGAACCAAAGCAAAATACGTAGATATAAATACAAAATAATGTGGTAAACGATTAAACGATGAATGTGACAAAAAATTCTAATATATTTTTTATATTATATTTAAACAATATTAGTGGTTTTTTTGTAATATGCTTTGCATCTATATTACAGTGGTGAACGTAGGGGGATAGGGGTTCAAATTCCAAGGAAAATTATGTGATTAGTTATTTAAAATGTAGAACTATTAAAACTATAACAAATAATTTTTAAAAACTAACGATATTAATTATTATTTTTCTAATCTCCTGAAAAGTATACCTGCGTCCACCCCTGATTAAATCTTTACTTAAACGCGAAAGCGTTTAATCGTTCTACTTACAACAATATTGGATTAACGAAATTAGAATATTTTACAGAATTAGTAAAAATGTTAACAAATAGAAACAATGATCGTAATAATAATAATATAAGTATATAATATAATAATTTAACGTAACATAAATATAATATATTAACGCGTGTAAACAATTTATAATAGTCAACGTTATATTATTGGGTTCATGGTACATAATATATATATATATTATATGTATATTTTTTGGGGGGGAGAGTAGGAATATAATAAAGTCATGTTATTGGTGTTCTGCACAGGTCTTGGAATGGAAAAGTTATCATTGGTGTACGGGTTTGTTGTCGGGGACTTAGAAGATAACACAATTTTTACATATTTCGTATCGAAGAAAATAGCAACGCGATTGCGTTATTTAACAAAATTAACAAATTCATGATTTTTCCTTACCTCATAGTTAGGGCACGGATGTTGATGTACTTGTAAATTTTTTTCTACTTTTTCAATTTATCGTTAAGTAAGTTTTTAATACGTTGTATATAAGTACGAATTCAAATCTAGAAGTTTTAAGTGCAATTTTTGGAATTTTTTCAATTTTATTGCAATTTTGTTCAATTTACTTATTTATACAACTATTTTAGCTAGTGTGAATACTCGACAGTCGTATAAATAAGATTATACTATAATATCGTCAGCCATAAAATCTAATAATGGTATCTTACTTTTATTTTGATAATTTCAAGTTGGTAGACATTCAATACAATACAAAAATAATTTGTGAAATGTGACGGTTTGACTGTGATAATCTATTCTTCAGTCAGCTTGTGAATTTTGAGAGATCATTTTGTTCCTGTTTTATAAATATGCCGAAAATTAGCCAATTATTTCCACTGTTGTACAGAAATTGTCATTTTAAATATTTTTAGTGCAATACTGCAATCAATTTTACTAGTTTTTTTCTACTACAACATCCGTGCTCTATTCATAATAATTATTAGTAGGTATTTATTTTGAATTACTAAATATCAATAATATTTATCTATTATCTATTAATGCACCTAATGTCATATTACTATTTAAATAGTGTAATTAAATTATTAAAAAAATTACTCGTATACGTAGTCACGCGTATTTAATTCGATGAAGATATTGATTAATCACATTTTTTTTTAACCAAGTCGACAATAAAAAATATCGGTTGTCAGTTTTCCCCTATATTTCGGCGAAAAGAAAACTATTATTATTATTGTTATTATTTTTAATGTGCAATATGGTGTTGTGTTTTTCATTAAAACGATTAAGGTAAAAATGTGCTCAACCATTAGCACTGGCTGTTTGTGTCGCCGTACGTCTGGTTATGCGGGTTTAGTGTACAGACGTTGACGGTGCGGCGGAAACTGCTGGGTGCGGACTCGGTGGTCGCCATTATATGGACACCCTTTTCATCGATAGAACTGGTGGATGGTGGGACAGCGGACTGTTGTAGACGACCGCGGCGGCAACGGCAGCCGCGGCCGCGGCCGTCGCGGCATCCCGTTCCCCGGACCTCACGTCCGGTCTGTTGTAGTCGTACTGTACCGGTCCGATACAAGTGCACGAACACACGGACACCCGTTCCACGGCGTCCGCGGCGTCTCTGCCGACCGTGTGCCCAGCCAACAGCTTACCGTTCACCGACGTCACCGCTTCGCCGTCCACGGTGATGACGTGCTGCGATACACCTTGTAGCTCATTGTCTTCACGCCTCACCTCCTCAGCGTTCCTGAAATATTATTTTATTATTATTATCAGCTATTATAGAAATGGTCAGTTTTAAAGTTTTTATAATTTTGTCTATGTCTTCTATATGTCTATGGCTATAAGCGAAGCAAACATATATTCTAAAACTTAATATTACTCGACGAGTTTATATAATATGTACAATGCCGTAGAAACCACCGGTAATGAACTGGAGCATTTTATCTTGAAATGGCACTACCGATTACCTAATAATGCGACTAATAATATTCAATACAATATGAAAAAAATGATATGTAAATAAAATCATGTGGATTAAAATGTTATGAGATAATGAATATTAAAATGGCCTTTATAGTTATTATGTATTAGTAGGTACTAGGCAGAAGGTTAGGATCGTATAGTGTCGTATGGGTAATTGTATAAAGGCCTGACCTGAATATTGATAAAATGGAATACCTGATTATCGAACGTTTAGTATGAGCAACTTCTTCAGTTACGTATCGCGTTATCGTGATTTAAGTGAGTTAAATTTAGATTTTATCCGTCGAAAATCAATGTAATGTTAAAAAAACGTAAGCAAAACGTTGATGCTTTATCAACAATATATTTCATTTTATAGTAAAATAATTAAAAAGACTTACATATTTTCTTTAATAATATTTGTTTAATATTGTACCGATTTTTCCAGTTTTCCTATGTTTTTCCCGTTTTTCCTATATTTTTTCGGTTTTTAAAATTTGATGAGAAAACTCCCGAAAAAATTGAAAAATGTTATGTAATGTTTTTTTTTTTTTGCTTTCCATAAGTTTTTGAAATAAAATTTTTAAATATTAAGGCATTATGTTTTTCGTTAGCAATGGTTTATCGTTATTAGTACCATCAAAACTAGCCATTCACAATAATAATACAACCGTCCCTATTATCAGCTCTTTTTTTTTAAATTTTACTTATACCTAAGTACTGTTCGTGTTTTATGAAAAATACCAATTCAGTGAAACATTACATTGTATGTTATACGTATTTATTTATGTAGTATTTCCTGAAAATGTAGACAAATTTGTTAACTCTAACAAAAAATCAACTACAGAATTAATATCTGGTGACATGCATACAGAAAACAAGGCAGAAAAGTTGCACAAGCTTAATAATGAAATTTGTAAGTCTACTGATGAAGATAAATTGATTGATTTTACTCAACAAATATTATCTTTTAAATCAATTATTAATCAAATTGAACTGCCTAATATCCTTAATATGGTAAATTACATAATAGAAAATGATAATTCAAGCAGCTTTCCAGATATTATTACTGCATGCATATTTTTAACTATATCTGTAACTGTTGCTTTAGCCGAGCGCTCATTTTCTAAATTTAAAATGGTCAAAAATTATTTAAGAAACACAGTATCTCAAAAAAGGCTCAATAATATTTCAATTTTAAATATAGAAAGAGAGCGCATCGAATAACTAAATATTGATAATATAATTAACAATTTTGTAAACAAAAAAGCAAAGAAAAAAATGTACTATCCAGCACTGTTTTTAAAATTACGTAACTCAAATTAATAATACTTATTTATAACTTATGAAAAATAGAATTTTAATTTTAATTATTTTATTATTATTAAAATTTTTTTTTTTTTTTTACAAAGCAAAAATAAAATTTGACGTTTTATTTTTATTAAAATTTTAATGATAGATAGCTTTCAATTTTTTTTTACCAAATTGTATTTAAATTTAAAAAATAGGTTGTATTCATACTTATAATTTAATATTCAATATAGAAAATAAAATATTTGTCTGTCTATTTGTATTTTATAAGCTGCCATACTGATGTTACCATAACGATTATTATAGTACTTTTTGCTAAATATTCAGGAATATCCCAGGATGGTTATAGGTTATAAGATAAATTTAATAATTAACCCCTTCACCTATAAAAATCACCCTTCGTAGTGAAAAACGATAATATTTTGCATATTTTACATTTTGTTTATTTATTTACATTCATATAATCATATGAAGAGCCAAAACTAAAATGTTTGAGGAGACTTAATAATGATTAAGAAGCCTCCTAAATTATGTTTACGCTTATGGGGCACCTAAACCAATTTGCACCGGGGCACATAAATACCAAATACCTAGCTACGGCACTGAATAACCTGTTATATTCTGGTAATTTCCTTAAACAAGTCGTCCTCAAATTAATGGTTTTCTCTGCATTTAAATGCATTTCTATAGTTTATTTGTTGTTTATTTTATTATTTTTTTACTTCTTTTATTATTATTCTTTATTAAAATAAAATCAATAATTTCTTTTCATATTTAGTGCGGGTTTACTTTTTTTTTTATTTTAGTTTAATTTTATTATATCTTAATATCTGTTATGGAAAAATATTATGATTCACAAATTGTATGGCCAATCTTAAGCCCTTTAATTATTTCATCCCATCTTTCAATTCTTTTTTTCGTGACTTCAAAACTAACAACCCCTAAAATAGATTTTTCACAAACAAAACATAATTTAGGCATTTTTAAATAAAAATAACAAAAGCTTATAGTTTTACAAAGATATTTATTTTTATTTTCTATTTATTTCTTTTTCTGCATGATTTTTCTACCAGCAACTTCACTCAAACTTTTAAAGATAACAATTTTTATAAAAGGAAATTTCATTAGCGAGGTACATTAGAGAGGTTATTTTTCGATTTCCTCAAGAGTTTTCCCAGAAAATGTGAAAAACCAGTATAAAACATGGGTAAACCAGGAAATTCGGTACAACATTAAACCAATATTATTAAGAACATATATAAAGCCTATTTATTTTTTTTACTATAAATGACATACATATTGTTAACAAAGCATCACTATCAACTAATCTCTGCTCAGAATTTTTTTTTTTTTGTAAACAATGGTTTATTTTTGCATACATTAAATTAGATATGACAGTAACTGCACCCATCCCCATTATTTTAGAATGTTTTTTTTGTATTTTATTTATACATGCCGCATTAGAAGGAATTCCCACGATTAGGAGGGTTGAAATGTTATAGGACCATAAAATATACAAGTATAATTTGAATACATTTTGAACGCATTATTGATTATTTATTATAGGTATAAGGATTTATTTTCTCAGAGTATACACAATTTTACTTAAAAATGCTTATTCGTGTAGAGCGCAGCACTGCACTTGATTTTAATTTTACCTTAATAAAAATGTTCGTTTACAACTTGCCAGACTTAATATTTTAAGACCGTGGTTGGTATTGACTGAAATAATTATTACTCGTATGTGAACGTCATCTACACTATGATATTTAATAAAAAATCAAATAAATGTAAAACGTTTATAATATTCTGTACAACTGCAATAAATATAGGTACCAAGACACATGAATGTGGGAATGAAGTTCTTAATTTATAAAATGTGGTGCAAAGCGACTATATACCATCTACATGATATAGATGTAATTATTAATTAGTTAGGGTTAACTAACTCAGTAAACTATGTGTAATATATACACATCACAAAGTATTAGCTTTATTTTACATATTGATCGTCAAGCCGTGTGTTTAGTGGCCTAACTATTAATGAAAACCGTCGTGTTTAATAACTTGATATTTATTTACTATGTAAAATATAATTGTATATAGGTATAAATATATTATAAAATTAACTTAACCATTCTAACAGAGAATGGGAATAACGACAAAAGCGGTGTATATCCCTACCAACAAATTGTTAGCGTTTTTAATTTTTTTAAATTTCTCGGTACGATGCACCTTGTACCTACTTATAAATAATGAGAGACATAATAATAAATAGAGAATACATGTCAAAATGTAACAAGTATACAAATAACGCTACATAAAAAAATATGTAAAAAACCAACAATCGACTTTTTCAATTTTTTCTTCAGCTATTTAGTCACTAAATTTAAGTGTATTTTCTATAATACAGTTTTATACATTAAAAAAAAAAAAATAAACCATTGTTTCAAATTGTTTTTATTTTACAATCATCATTTATACAGTTTATAAAAATAGTAAAAAGAACAATTGTATTATTTTTTATGTACTTTAAATTTTAAGTGGAAGAAGCTTGTGGTTTTACAAAGATAAATATTTTATTTTATTTTTTTATCTGTGGACACATTTTCTACCGGAGATCTTGTTCCGATTCACAATGATAGCACTTTTTCTGATAGAAAATCTGACTAGTACTTTACAGAGGTCATTTTGCGATTTTCTCAGGTGATTTCTCAACAAATGTGAAAAACCGAAAAAAAAAAAACCGGAGGGAAAACGGGAAAATATACGAAATTTAGGTATTAGTTGAAAAATATTTCGGCCTTGTTTTCCTTGTGAAAAACTTTTCTACCAGAAATGTTGCTTCGATTTACAATGATCGCACTTTTTCTAAATGGGAATCTGACTGAGAAGGTACTTTACAGAGGTAATTTTTCGATTTATTTTTTTTTTTTAGGGATATTTAATACAATTCAGGGAATGATGCATTTGTACAACAATAAAAAAAAAAAAAAAAAAAATACAAGAGTAAGCTTAGTGCCTTATACACATATATCGTACATAAAGGTACGTACTCGTACTCGTGCATGCATATTCAATATTTATACATCGTTATTGTAGATAGTTATGTTCTGTCTGTGTATTATATCAACCTTCTCTCCTTTCAATTTCTATCAAAAATAGCTAGGTTATTGAAGGAAATTAATAATTCTATTTTTAACTTATGTTTATGGGAAAACGTACACGTATATTAATTATATAAAAGTTTATTAGTGCCAGACATCCATGGACGTTAATAGGGTCCTCAAATGAATAGGGCTTAAACTCAAAAGTACCACTGGTCTAAATAACAATAAAGGAAAATCTATTTATAGGTTGACAAATACCATTATAAAAACATTGGTTTATTATACACATTTTACATATATTTTATAAGTAATGAATTATTAATGATATTTATATTATATTTGGACGACGTGGCGTAACTGTACCTGTCACCCGCATGGCTGCAGAACGATGAGCTTGGGTGGCAGGCTATTATAGGTAATAGGCCATCAACTGATCATAGTATATGGAATATTGGAACTAGTGATGACCACTACCCAGTGAAAACTATCGATCTATTCGATAGTTTCACACCATAAATTTACTCGGTGGTTTTTAAAAATGATCGACTATCAAAACTATCGGAATATCGAGTAGTCCAGTCTATTGATATTATCTATTATGTCGAAAAAATACTCAGTTGTTTTTAAACTATTTATAGTCAAAACTGGTCGGTATTGTTACTGAATGAAAACTAATTCGTTCGATGGGTTTCAAAACAATCGATGGATAAAAATATCTATTCAATCGATAAATCACATGGTTGTTTTTTTAAACTAACGATTGACAATCGGTAGTTGAAACTAGTTGATTCTACCAGCCCATTACTCTCATTCTTTCTTATATTCGTTCATATCTTAATAATATTATCATCAACGAACAACACGGTTTTCACCTCGCCGCTTGACGACATAAAATCTGGTCTTTACTAACTACATCTACGGCTCCCCCGTTACTAGTGATATAATCGAATGAGTTTAGAGGTGGTTCTTCAAGATGATTGCTGGCTTAAGACTCCTTGCCTCCCATATGACTACTTACATTGCACAGGACCTTCCTTCCTTTTCTATTCGTAGATATCAGGCGAGTATTTAATTCCTCTCTAACAAATATTTATCCAACCAAATATACTCTCTTTCCTTACTTAGTGAAACAAGTTTCTGTGTGCTTTCACGTCACACTCGTTCTTCTATTTTTTTTCCATTCCATGTTCACCTTCTAATTTCGATATGCCTCAACCTATCAATCGATCGTCTCTCTTGTTCTGCTAACACTGATTCTATCTTTCACTGTTAATATTATATAATTTCATCTTATATATATATATATATATATATATATATATATATATGTACTTAACATTTGTAATTGGATTTGTCTGTTTGAAAATAAAAAATAAAATAATAAAATGTAGCGATAGTACTGGGCTATTTTTCATTGGCGCCCTTGGTTAATTATCATGTTTAGTACCTAAACTTTATTTATATTTAAAATCTGGTACCGATACATCTATGAAATCTCTGGTAATTTTGGACACTTGTTTCCTTTGCGCCCCTTCTTAGCATGTCCCCGTACAGTAAATTATGAGGTAAAAAAATCACACAATGTAATTTTTACTATAATGCTATAATAAATAATAATATCCTTGGTCTGCTCGAAATATATAAAAGGCATATCAAATATCATATCTATAATAGTATAATAAAAATATTATATTTTGAACAGGAAAAAAAATATAGATGATTATATATAAGGGCAAAGATTACGCGATTGTACCCTATTACGTATAGATCTTCATAGTATCCCGAATTTAAGAGGGTTACTTTTTAGCGGAGGTTAGTAAATACCTAATTTTAATATAATATACTACAAGGAGTTTGCGTGTATGTAATTGATATTTTATAATCAAAGAGCTCCCAACCATGGTATACGAGTAACCATATTATTGAAGGAATTAAACATAACCTAACCTATATACATATTTTTGATTTTTTCATCTTATAATGTAGGTTTGAATACAACTATATTACACCCTATCAAACATCATATTATCATATTCGAATCATTGTGTATAATAGGTAATATAATAACCGATGGTACGTGGTATTTTTTTTGTATTTTCCTCGAAAATAGAGATTATTGCACGGTATTGGAACATTGGGTTTGTTATACCTATATTATATTCTATTAGTGAAATTGCCCAATTCATGAAATTACGTTATATTGTTACTTTTATTTTTCCATGTTAATTAAATGAAAAATATAAATATAATGATATTTTATGAATTGAACAATTTCACCGATGGGGTATAATATATTATGTATACATGTTTTCCCGCTACTTTTGGAAATTTTTAGCAGCTTCCTCAGGACCAAATATTTTACTCATGAAACAGTGAGTCGCTGGGTTAAAATTTGTGTTTATAAATAGAATTATTGTTTTGGATGTGTTTTTAGAAGACTTCCAATCTATCGTCTGTTTATATGTTAAACAAAATTTATACTTTACCTATTTTCATTAAACTATTTTGTTCTATTTCTTATTATCTTTATAAGAACGTTATAAGATACTAATGATAGCTTAAAGTGGGAAGCGCAACAGACCGTAGGGCAAGGGAAGGAGTATCTACTGTCTAGTGAATACATATAATAAATAAATATAAATTAATTTAGTGTATATTATTGATACGCGTGTTCAACTTTTGCTACCATTGTTATAACTAATATTATATATATTTCGAAAATATTATATTAGTTCAATTATAAAAAAAATTCTGGGGAAAATTCCACTTCAGTGATGGAACTTAGCTCCTCACGGGTTTTTTTTTTCTCGACCGTATTATAATAATATAAAAATAATTTGAATCATCGGTTTTGGCGTGGCGGTATACCGTTTTAGGTATAGTTAGGTATCTACGCATTATTTAAAGTAAGTAGGTATGTAATGAAACATTTCGTTGTATTCGTATACGTATATCGGTACAAAATACGACCTTTGAATTCCGAAAATCATTGCGGAACCGAATGGACTGTAATGATAAAACTCGAAAAAAAAAGAAAAAAGAAATGAATATTTCATGAACTATATCCATCGTAAAATAAATTTCAGGTTTATTTCTAAAAACGAACCGTTGAAAAAAAAACCTGAGTGGAAAAAAATATATGTATAGTTCTGACGTAATTTTAACTATACAGGTATAAACGTAGTATATAAAATATATATATATATATATATCTAAATTATACATAGGTATATAGTGTGGATAATGTCGTACCTGTAATGTAAAAACGAAATTACTGAAATTTCGCGTTTTTAAAGTACTTACCTAATACATAATATTATATATAATCATAGTAAATACGCTTTTTCTTCCAAAAATCACTTTTTTCCTCCTCCTCTTTATTTTATACGTATACATCACGATTGTTTCAAAAGTAGTTGTAGTCACCAGAGATTTATTTAACGTGAAATTTTAGTACACAAATGGAGGGGTTGAGAGAGTAAAACCCTCAAAAGGCACATTATTGAGACTAATACACTTCATACACAAAATTTCTTCCCCCTGGCTTCATTCATAAGAGGCTATGTAGATTTATCAATGGAAGGGCCCAAACAGACAAAAATAAACGCAAAATTATATGTTTATTTCTTTTATTACATTTAAAAAATATATATTATACTCAGCTAATCAATAAAATATGAAAATAAACCGTATACACCATAACAAAGTAACATATACATAAAACGATTATAACAAAAAAAAAAAAAAACTATTTCCAGTGGAGGGGCTATGGTTCCTATGTCTCTCTGATTAAGTGGGGGTGTATACAATGCTAAAAATACCATTTTCTCGCAATAACGTGGTTAAATTTGTCTTGAAATTTAATCAAATTTTTAACACATTAATCCGTTAAAACGTGATTTCATCGTCATGCCGTTATAATATGATTTTGCCATTGTGGTTACGTGGACCGTATTGTGTAATATCTTATCATCAGATTCATTCTCAATATTGCCGTTCTAATTCCAAAATAGATTCCCGAGAAGCATAAAACGTTTTTCTGATAAAGTCCTAACTCCGAAATGACGTTATTTTATATGAAGATCAGATGGAGTTATAAGGCTTTTTTTTCCAACACAATAATTTCGTTACACTTTTTTTTATCAAGACTCACGGAAGAATTTAAATCATTATTTTTTTGAGTCAGAATCCTTTTAAACGATGCGATTGTATCTATACATTATTATTAAAATGTATAACTCATAAACAGTTCATCCAATATCATAATATTATATCATAGTAGTTATGCATATCAACATTTTTAGATAAATATTCTCTTTTCGAATCAGGTTTGACAAAGGAGATTGTTCTATAATCGAATCAAAATTTGATAAGTGTTTTTATAGCGTATATGATATAGGATATATATTATAGTTTTGTCCAAAATTGCGCACGAGTGCAATTAAACCAAATAATATAATTAGTACCTATATGTATAGAATATGTATACATATATATATGCGAATGAAATATAATTTCATTAGACATGCTCACAATTGAAATATTTAAAAATACATTTTTTTTTTTTTTTTAAATTATATTTGTTTATTACAGTTTGGTTTTGTATTATATTTTATAAAATTATAACTCAATAATATTGTCGGATTGGATTCATTTTAAACTTTAAATATTATATTATGCTCTTATTCGTATTGGAATTTTACTGTAATAAACAAATGTCTAAAATGTCGACAGTTAACTGGTTGAATTATATTCCTTCAAACTATTTTTAATTATAGATGATTTCAAACTGTGCTTAGCGACTTTTAAATAGATACAGTCAGTCCAGGGTCGTTCAGTGTTATAGTTACGAAATGATTTTTTAATTTAAAATTAATTTATATGGATTTTTTTTGATTTTTCAACAAAATGAAACATTTCACTGCATTTTAACAAAATGTTTTAAAAATATAAATTTCATGTAATTTCAGAACCCTAGGAATAACTTATCGACGTAACATTTCCAAAATTTTATATTCAAGAAATATCTCCTGGGGAAATTTTAAATCACAATCATTTATTTTTATTTTAGCTTACAATTTTACTAGTCCTAAACATATTACTAATGTAGGTCATAATCAATTTTACATTTTTTTTTTACAAAAAAGGTTATTAATTATTATACGATTTAGCGAACTTACGTCCACTAAAATTGTATGTCGTTTATTTTTAATATTAGAGTGAATTTACCTAATATCTAATTCCACGGAAAGAACATTATCTGTGTTTATACGTTGATTTTTTTCTGATAGTTAAATTTTTAACGAGATGTAAGTATTTTCAAGTTGTGATATTTCATACACTCGTATCTCGTTTGAAAATTAACATAGAGAAAAAAATATCGTAAAAATATAGATAAGTGCTAAGTGCTTTCCTTTAAATTGAATATTAAAGTAAAAGCACACAATTGTTTCTGTAGAATGCAAATTTGTTATTACCGTGCATTTGTGAGACAAACAAATTTGTGAGACAACAAATGTATATGTTAAACGATTCTATATAAAACTGAAAAAAAAAACCAAATTAAATTTTTCTCGAAATCGTTTTATAGATAATTGCATAATCCTGATAAAAAAAAAAATAATAATAAATCATACCTTATATAAGACCAGAGAGGATACACTATCCTCTCTAGATAAAAATCTTCTCCGGGTAAAATATTTTTAAACTAATAATATTTTATAAATATAAAACGTAATACGATAACATCCCGGAGAAATATTTGAACGGGAGGGATAATGCCGTCACGAGGGTAGCGTCTAAGTACATCGTCTGATCTGTGTACCCTATAATTTTGGAACATAGTACAATCAATGTACAAGTAAGCTTGAAATTGGCCAAAAGTACATATAATCAAGATTTCCACAACGAATAATAATAATCATAACTATTACTATTCAAATGTTTTATTAAACCGTATATATATACGGTTTTTTTTTCTTCTGTATGATGAAATTAATCAAATTGTAAATGCAATGTGTTTAGATATACAGGTACCTGTTAAAATATACATAAAATAAAATATAGATATAGCTAATTTTTTGTAGAGATTCTAAGTATAGCAAAGGCTTATATATTATAATTTTACTGAGATGTATATGGTTTTTCTCAAAAAATACTTTTTGGGTTAATACAAACATTGCGATTTTTACGCATTTAAAAAATGAAAATTTGTCACCAGAAGGTGCTTTATTTGAAATAAATTTCTACATTTCCTACGGTTTTTAATATTTTAAAAAAAAGATGAACAAAATTGGCTGCTACTGTAACAACAAGGAAAAAATTACGATTTCTATTAGAAGCTGTTTTTTGATTTCAACGGTTTATTGTTGTTCTCACTTTTTCAGTATATAAATTAAATTATAAACCTTGAATCCTTCTCATTTTAAACTATCCACCTATACAGCGACCAAATCATGATGTGAAGTAAGTTCAGGTTTTCAATTATCGCGTTTCCCTATACATCTATTGAAATTAGGCAGTCTATATGTAATAAAAAAGTTCCTTTGGACGATTCATAAAAAAAAAAAAAATAATAATATAATAAAATAACATCAAGATTGTCCGTCAGTGAATGATTTCGTTTTAAAATGTTGTTATGTAATGTGCAAAATAGAAAATGTTTACGATTGCAGAGTTAAATTTTAAATTTCCTTTTTATTATAATTTATAAATAATATTATCGATTCATCGTTGTCATTGTTGTCAGAATTTCGTACGCTTTCATTTTGCAGTTGCAATAAAGTTTTTTTCGAAATTGAATTAATATATTTTCCAGGAGCGAGTAGGAAGTACGCAAGTTTTCTTATTTCGGATAGGTCCTTTTAAAGTTGAAACAACATCAGAGGCGAAGTAATAATGTTTAGCTAACAGTAATTTTATATTATTCTGTTTGATTCGGTTAGATCACGTGGCGATGATTGACGGCCGACCATAGTGTTTATGACATCAAATTTAATTACAAGCGTTTTGTCAGCTTGATTGGTCCATTATTGAAATTTCGGTTTATAATTATATATTATAATACTATAATATAATAGTACACCGGAGTCTGTGTGTTTATAGGTGAACGTAATAACAATGATGATAATTTATAATAACACCTATATCTTTTAGCCACAGGCGGCTGACCTATTGTTCGAGGAGCCAAATATATTTTTGCTCCGGAATCCCGATTGATTTCCCCCTCTTCACAGTCATGGCTACCACCACTGTATACAATTAATTGAAAACCCATTATTATTATAATTATATAGGTACCGATTCTAAAAAATATAGTGAAATTATTAGATTTTTTCTATTACACGTTTAATGTAAAAAAAAAACTGCCTTCGTGTGACTTTCGAAGAAAACATTTGTTTTATCGAAATTATTCGGTGTTCAATTTTCATTTTATTATGTAAGTTTAGAGAGACATTTCGTCCAAAGTGAACTCCCATATTTTCCACCTGTATGTTGTGGATATATAGCTCGACCTATAAACCGAACTCTTTTCGTATTCATTTTTCAAAGTTCGTATACTTAACGGTTTTCACCGAACATAATATTATAATATAAAAAATTAATCCGGAACGTGATGTTATATCACATACTTCGAGGATGATAAACTTGTATCATGTGCTGAGTTCGGAAATATTTGAAGATGGATTAAGTGCTTAATATAATATACGGTTCTAGTTGAAATACCTTCGTGTTGCGATAAATAAAATACAAACGTGTATTACATTTTACATTATGTTATAAAAACAAGATGAGCTCAGTCACTTAAGTCGAATTTTACTGCATCTATTTTGTAATATAAAACAGTGAATAATATAAAACTATGTAATTATATAGTACTATAACTACTTCTCAAAAAGAAAAAAGAAATAGTGAAATTTAATTACAAAAATAGTGAGGGCGGAGGTTGAAATTGGAAATCTCCAAAAACCACTAACGTAATTTCTATATATATAATTGTATGATCATGACTTCATTCGGGAGGGGAAGGTGTTTCAAGGGCATTTATAATTAAAATAATTCCTCGCATAACAACATGGTTTTGAATAAATGAATGAATGGTTCGTGAATTTACAATTCAACCTATCAATCCCCTCATTTTTCATCATTTTAAAAGTGATTTCATAAAAAAAAATGTCTTTTTAAATCCGAAATCAATAAAAGAAGTTTAATTAAACGAGTATATCCTCCTTTTCACCTCTATTCATATTATAGTCAGTCGTTGTTATACTTCCTTGTCTGTAATAACCAAATTATCAAAACAACAAAAAAAAAAAGTTATGGAAGGTGAATACATGAAGTTATTTTCTATGCCTGTTATCAAAGATAAACCATTGCTAACGAAAAACGATTCGGAGCTATTGTTATTGGTTAAAAATATTTTAAAAGACCGTAATATTTACAATTTTTGTTAAAATTTGATATTAAAACTGTTATAAAAAAAAAGGTGTGTTTTAAACTAATTGTTTTACTTACTATTTTTTTCACCAATAAATACGACTTATAATGAATATCCTGTCAAATTTTCAAGCATTTTTGTTGGGCCTAATAATTCTATCTACAGAGTATATCTAGCAAATAAAAATGACGTAAAACACTTACAAAATTAAAATGTCTATAAATAGCTGAAAAATGACTCAAATGTTTTGAAAAATTTTCCACGTCTAGAAAAAGCAAAAATAATATTTTTTATCAAAATTTCAAGTCTTTATAAATATTTTTAACTAAATTACATTTAATGAAAACAAAATTTCAAATAGTAAAAGAATTATCTACGTATATTTTTCGTTTTTTTTTCCGGTTTTTCCTAGTTATCAATAAAACTACAGAAGAAATCAAAAAATGAATAATTTACTTACTAACTAGATAAAAAATTTAACAAAAAAGGTCTCATGTTGTTTTTCAATTGGAGAAATATTTTTTTTTTAGAAATCATAAGCCGTACAAATTTAAATTAATATGAAATCGTTTCGCCATAGTTTGAAAACATCGTAATTTTCGTCTTTTTTGGTTTTTCCTAATCATTATGTAAAATACTTTGGATATCAAAAAACGGCTTTCTTTGTCAATGGCTATATGTTAAAAGATACAAAATTGATATCCATGGGTTCATGAAATAATTTGGAAAACCCTCTTGGAAAATCAAAAGATAACCTCTTTAGTGCCCCAACTATAGACAAAATTTCCTTTCAGAAAAAGTACTATTCTCTTTACATCGGAGCAAGATTATTTTTCGAAAAAAATGTTTCAGACAGAAAAAAAAGAAAATGACAAAAAAGGCACATATTATAGTAAAATTAATAGATCTCTCACAACAAATCTAAAAATATATTAATTTTCGTATCAAAAACCCTGTGAGACCTGTTTATGGGTTATTTTTCAAAAATCTACAGGCTTCGTAGTACATTTTCAGACCATTGAGTGCCAAAAATTAATTTTGGTCGTTTTGATATAGTATTATAATTGTATATGGTTAGATTGCAAGATGGACGGTAAGGTTTTAAAGGTTGAAGCGATGAGGAAGTAGAAGAAAAATTGTATAATTTTGCCTAATGATTTGCTTTTTTTTACTTTTTATCTTTAATTGAACGCATATTATGTATGTGATGCATTGAAATTTGATGGTTAGTTTTAAAGTTCTTTTTGAATCTGCGTAGGTATAGAATATATTTCCTAATATTTGTATTATTATATTACGTATAAGTTTACAAAGTTAAAATTATTAATTATACAGCAGACAGAGAATATTAAATTAAGAGTTAGTTATATTTTGTATATAAACTTCGTTTAGTATGAAATAAGTAAAGGGTTATTCCGTTCCTATGCAATATACACGTCTATGCATGTCCCCACTTTCCTGAATTCATGCATGTAATGCGTTACAAAGATAATATGTTTACAAATATTTCGAATATTGCACTTTAATGATATAATGACTGCGATGAGATCAAACGGAAACCGTAAGTCTTTTTAAGGTATTGTTGATGAACGATTTTATTATATGACTATATTAATAATAATATAATATGTATAATAGAACGAAACACTGATAACGATAACGATTACATTTTTCGTCGCGTTGGAAAAACTAAAATCGCCGAAACAATAATAAAGAGGATTTTAATACAGCGGATACATTTGTAACTAATCACAGTGAACCGATTCTTCACCAAAAATACATTTTTAAGATTAATAAAATTATTTGTTTATTTCTGTATTACTTTTATGACAAAAGCTTGTACCTTATTCAACAAATCGAGAAAACGAGTTTAAAGGATGAGGACTGAAGAAACATCGTACATTTTTTTTTCTTATATGATGGTATATATTTATAAAAGGGCCAGTGTGCAGACGATTTTCCGGAGCCACTAATTTAAAACTAAATTTTAAAATATCTATTTTATCTGTGCTATAAAAATTATCCAATACTCAGAAATTATCGCACTAACTAGGTATGTGTATACAAAAAATTATGGATATACTTCGCACGTGGGTGGGCCACTGTTGTAGGTGAAAAGTTGAGAAGGTAGAGGGGGAATTTAATGTATACCTGTACGCAATGTTTAACCATTGTTAACAAAAAATGATTCTGACTTCTAAGCGGAGTTCGGTGAACAATGTTGCTTTGTCAACAATATATAAGTCACATTACGGTAAAATAATTACATAGGCATTAAATATTTTCTATATAATAATATTTTTTAATATTATATCTATTTTCCTGTTATTTCTACATTTTTCCTGGTTTTTCCCATTTTTTATGAAAACAGTTGGGAAAATCAAAAAATTACCTTGTTAAAGTACCACCCTGATCAGATTTCCTTTCAGAAAAAGTTCTGTCATAGTAAATCGGAGCAAAATTGCTGGTAGAAAAGTTGTTCACAGGAAAAAAAAGGCTGTAATATTTTACTATATATTAGTATATTTTCCGTTTTTCCTCCGTTTTTACCTGTTTTTCCTAAACAAATAAATTAAATTATAAATATTCAACCTTCCAACCGAGGACTCGCCCTGCCTTAGCGACGGCCCTGCAATCAACTTTCGTTATAATTTCACTGATTTTATGTTGTATCATGATTTTAACAAAATTAATATTACCTATAAAATTATACGCATATATTCCTACAAACAAATCATTAACTGATTCGACTAGCAACAGAACTATTTGCCAATTAACGGTTAGAAAATGGAAATTAATGTTTGTCAAATTCTCAAGTTTAATTTTTTAACAAATACACGATTAAAATTTATTCCCTTATGCTATAATGGACCCTATAATGGATGGATATATATTTCTATGTGCGAAATGACCGAAAAAAAAAATCACGTTAGTTGACAACTCGTCGTACCTAAATATTTGATCAAAATCTCAGAACGAAAATTTAAATCGATACGTCCTATTTTATGTTTACTAGTTTCTGCGTTCAATTATGTTTGAACAGTTTGTGCAAACAATATATTTTTAAATTATAAAAAACACACCGGAAGTATACATACATATTCCCAGGAGGATCGAGGATGTATAGATTACTTTTTTCTCCTTTACATTGATATCGTTGGATGATAATTATTATTTTTTTTTATCTTGAACAATTATATGCGAAAATTTTGAGTAAAATTAATTTTTAGTTTTTTTAATAATTATATAATTGTTTAATAATCTTGTTTATAACTACAATATTTTTACACTTTACGTACATATCAAATTAAAAATATTATTAAAATAAAACCTTAACGATTCCATAATTATTTAAAAAAAAAAAAAAAAAAAATAGAAATAAAATTAATTTAAAATCCTTTCAGAAAATCACTAGTTCATAGTATTAAGTTGATCAGTGATTACCCTTTACAGTGTTTCCCACTGTGTTAAATGGATTTCTTTTTTCAACTGGCTTGTCTTCGAGGGAAACATTGATTTAGAGAAAAATTATATTTGTATTTTCATCCCTTAAACACACACGCACAAAAAAAAATAACTATTTGTTAACTCTCGAAAAATCCGCCGAACATAGTGGAATACACTGTACAATGTATAATTCACATAGGTATATACATATTTTTTTTTTGAAAAAGGACATATTTTTACATAGCGTATTGAACTATGATTTACTATTATATAGAATGTCCAGCAGTGTTATCCTTTTGCTAATAACTCTGTCAATATTAATTTCTTTTTAATCGGGTTTTGTGTGAAGGGGACATGTGTAGAGAAAAATTAAATTTTTATCTTTGTCATCCCTTTATTACTGAAAAAAATTTATTTTTATTTGCCCTTTCATTAAAATGTTCAAATGTGGGCATTTTAGAAAATATTTTATTGACAGAATTATTAGTATTAATAGTACAACATTATTGGATACCCTGTGTACTCAATGGTATAAAAAAATATGTTTTTAAAACACGTTAAAAATTTGTCTTATAAAAACTAGTTGATCGTCCTGTAGATAATATTTATTATAATTGACAAATTATAAATTTAAGGAACACAATGAGTAATGAGAAAATGTCGAGAATAGTTTTGAAATTAAGTTTAAGTGGTTGTAACAACGGAGTAATAACGAGTGTAACTATAGAAACTAAATATTCCTAAAACTGTCCGTCATACATTTTCTGTCATAAATAATTCATTCGTATGTTCGAACGATGCGTATACATGATAATATTATTGTATTGTCCACTGTGTGTGTACACTCGTGTTTATCCGGTTTAAATAATATGATTAAGAGTTCGTTTGTCTGGTCGTGTTAACAAAAACCTCGTTTGTATAATAATTATTTTGGATTATTCAACGGTGATATTATACTACACATACACACATAACAAAATAATACAAACGATGGTTTTGTTCACATACACAACAGGGTGGCATTCGTATTGTAAACAAACATTTATTTTTTTTAAATTTAAATATAATCGTAATAATCTCGTTTCAAAGCGTTTCCGTTTGGTTATTGTATTATAAAACTCTCTAAATAATAAATATAATAAATATATATGTAATTATTATACGTCAAATGTATTGTGACAAAGGCTCGGATTTTATAGCATTTACTAATTTTTATGGAATAGGTACGGATAAAAATAACAGAATGAGCTATGAATTTGTTTTATGCGCCAGGGAATCCAACAATAAAAATGTATACATGTTCGTTTGTTTGCATATATGGAGCATTTTAGATATTTTGAACTGTCTTTTAAGTTTTGATGTTATTTTTTAGTAATATGCTTAATATTGTAACGACTTTTTTTTTTGTGTTTTTCCTAAATTTCGTATAAATCAATTAAAAAATAGTACAGAAAGAAAAGTTGTTCTTTATGCGAACCGATAAAAAAGTATCCACATTTTTATTTCATTAAATAAGGTCATTTTAAACTATGATTTAATTTTAGAGGTTTTTATTTTTTATTTAAATAATTAATGAAACATGAATTTTAATAAATTAAAGTTCTCTGGTTATTGCACAAAACCCTTCAACTATTTAGATAGAATGAATAAGTGAGCAATTTTTTTTTTTGACGCTGACGTTAAATATTATAATTTTTAAAAATTAATTCTGTTATACAAATATAGTATAGCGTTATATAAGTTAATAAAAAAAAAAAAAAACAATAATAATTACAAAATTAAACGTTTACCAATTTTCATTCAAACTTCATAGACTTTGTATATTCTGAGTGTAGCGAAAACCTATATACGTATTTATATATAACTTTTTATGTTGGTAAAGAAATTAAAAATTATTTTTTTATTACATTTCACTCGTAACTTAAAAGATTCATACTTTTTGTCCGGTTGTACTCAGTTTTTTTTTTTTTAATTTTCAAATAATTTAACGTAAAAATCTGACAATAAATATCGATACATCGGTATTATTTTTATCCATATCTGGGTAACCTCGCCTATGGTAGGAAAAAACACTATTTTAACCTTACTAGCTTATTAAGTTCCGCTCAGAATTGTAAGAATCGTTTTATCGTTTTTTTTTTTCAGTATATTAACTAAATCAACCTATATCCTATACCTAGGATCTTTAGAGGTTTCGGGAGTGTAAAAATTTAGATATTAGATGTGATATTTTGTATAATTTATTAAATAATATAACAAATAAGGGGCGCTTAACATTAAAAGTGTGGCTAAAAATATATTTGTCTAAGATGAAAAATACTTTAAACCAATCCTGCCTATAATGCCAACTTAATTAATCCCATCTATATAGAATCACGGTATCCGGATCATCTTAATATATCTATGGTGTAAAGTATATCCGGCTTTCTTTGTTTATTTTTAATCTTAAATTTAAAATCGATTTCTTGTAATATCCGTAAAATATCTATACCACAAGGAAAATAACATATCTCATGCATCTTATAATAAATATTATTCAAAACCGCTTCAATTTTATATTTTCAAAAGTCGTGGTTATGTAATATAAAATTATATTTCTAAATTATAATCTGAATTGGTAATTGACTATTAAGAGAGGGGGGGGGGAGCCCAAAGGGATTGAGTATCTCAATTTTTCACGTGATATGTTAATGTTTCCCATTTTTTTTTTAAGTGGAACTCAAAGGACAAAAAGACGACCGGTCTTTCCAAATTCTTAAAACATTTATTTTTCAAAAATATATTTCCCGTTTGTGTGTAATGTACACTTTAATTTAGGTAGACTATTATCAGTGTATATCTATTATTTTGGTAATTAAAATCGCATCACGAAAAAAAAAAAAACGTATGTCTTATTCCATCTTATTCATATCTTTTGGTTGCCAGTATGCTCGCTATACTAGAAGCTATATAATCATCATCAGTCGTGTAATTATTATCGTTTTTTCTCCTATAATTTTTTTTTTTTTTTTTTTACAACCTAACTGCGTAATTATTAACATTTAACACGTTACACAAAACCACAAGACTATAATATTTATGACTGTTAGGCACAGTATAACTACTACGCATAAAGGAAGTTTTTATTATTATTTTTTTTTTTTTTTGTTGACGCACACGATGGTTTTTTTTGGTGCCTATTTCACAACGCATACAACTATTATTTACTATATGAACGCACAAACTAGACGGGCACTTCATTTAGGCTTAATATGTATACACGTATACGTAACAATAGATTACCTACTCTGTATACCGAGTATTATATTTATTTCGGAGCCAGTCAAACCGGTCGATCGAGAATACAAAAAAAAAAAAACCATCTACTTTTAAGAATTCGTTAATATTTTAATGGGTACGGACCTACTTTCTAAAGAATTTTCGTTTTATTTTTTTCTACATAAAAACACACACACACAACCGCACGGACGTATAGTTGGTTTGATTGTATATATTATATTGTGACAAGGTAAAGAACGACATCCTTTTCGGTCAAAATGACGACGGTATATCGGAAATGACATAATCCATACCGTGTTAGGTAAAGTAAAAAAAAAAATATAAAAAGTATAAAATAATATTATGTAGAAAGAGGGCGGCTTAAAGCATGTCTCCTATGAGAAACCGTTCGAATTAATCAAATGTAAAAGTATTTATCTATGGATTTTTAGTGTAGTTGACTAGCTGTCAATTTTTTACAATTTTTTACTATTCAAAAGGTGTATTTATTTTTCCCGGAAAACAATATTTCGATGAGTAAATTGGTCAGGTTTTTTCAAGCTGCAACTACGATCTTTAAAGATGCGCATTTTCTATCTACGGTGGTACACTTTTGACAATTTTGTTTTAAAATTCCCACAGTTCCGTCTAAATTCCCCCCACTATTTTCTGATTACAAAGTTAAGTATTTCTTCTAAGAAAACACTTTCGGTAAAAAAATAAAGGCTTCGTAATTTGTTAAAATCAACCTTTAACGAAAAGAATGGTCCATCTGGCACTCGATTTTTACTTTGTTATTTCAAATGTTTTTAAAGATTCGCAACAAATGTTTCATAAAAAAAAAAAAAAATGAAAAAACTAATAACAAACGGCGGTCTCGTAAGTTTTATCAATGTATATTTTTGCATGGCCTTGACTCCAAGAGGGCAAACCGCGATTGTAATACCGATATTATTAGATAATTACCCTGTTATATCCGGAATCTTCCAAATATCCCATCCACAACAATAGAATACCCACGGCGTGATTGTGTGAATTATGTTCAGATTTAAATATATTTTTTTTTCGCGACACGTTTGTGAGTCATTATATTCAAAATGACAAATTAATAATACAATAATTAGTGTTCCATTAATAATGTGCAGGCGAGACCGATAAATGCGCCCTATTCATAACAATTTCAAATAGCTATTTAACTATTAGGTAATATTATTTACAATACGTATATACACGGATTATTTCACGGTCGTAAAAAAATCATAATGCATTTAAATAGGTACGCCGGTTCTGTGAGTTGACATAAAAAACGCGCATACAATATACAATGCATAATATTACGTATCGAAGCCTTTTTATTTCAACGCTTAGGGTATATTATTATATTGTATATGTTGTACCCGAACCATCATAAAAATATTAAATGACACAAGGTTGTGAAAATGATTGTTACATATTTTTGATTCCGTATTTGTTTAATTTATTTCGTTTATTTTCGGTTTTCGCGAGAAATATGACAGGTATAAATCTCGAATTTTTTAGGTGGCTACGGAAACGTTTTATTTCTATGAAATAATTTATCTCCTATATTTTTTTAAAATATATATTTATAGATTAATCATTTTCGTACTTTGTTTTTTGTTTTTTTTTTTATTTATCGTAAAATGTAGCACGGGAAAAATTATTTAAGCCTATATTATGGGTATCGAATATACTTATATGACTTATGATTACGTTTATTCCAATTAAATATTGATTTGTTATACGAACCGAAAGATGTTAAAAACAAACCGAACTTATCACTTTTCTATTAAAAGCTGTCCAGTGAGTTTTATTAAAAATAGCACATAATAATCGAAATTTTAGTATTAAAATGAACTTTAAATCCTACATTTTTAAACATCTGTAAAACAAAAGGTATTTTATCTATCGCCATCGAACTTCGGACGCGCATTGTTTTTTTTTATGATATAAAATGGTACATTTTAATTGTACGATAGAAAAAAAAAGTAATAATTAATTAACAAAACGATAAAGTTCACAATTTTATTTTTTGAGTCAATATTCGAATGAAATAATATTGTTGTATATTTTTCTACTTATCTTCCCTCTTACTGAGACCAGTCAATTTTTGATTTATTATATATTTAATTATTAGTTTACCAACATTTAACAGGAGGGGGTGGCATAAATCTGGATTCAATACTGATTGCATTTACAGTAATCTAATATTAATTTATAATTTCGCCGTAAACAATTTTGACTGTGTGAAAAATCGGGATAGTAATATTTAAATTTGCAGTCAAGTTATTACTTAATTTTCTTAGTGCTAGAAAGTCATTACGCGTGTTTTGGCGAAAATCCATAGGTGGAAATTTTTCATAGTTTTAGAGGAGGTTAATACTTTAAAATATAGTTTATTGTCATTGTTTATGTGAAAACTGGATAATGTACGTACACGCATAAAATAAATTTTGCTCCAAATCGTATATCGTTGCGCACATATATAAATTAAATTTCCCTTTATATCCTACCTTCCCAACTTCTCACCTACACTAACGAACTTGAACTAAAGAGTTAAACTTAAATCTGTTTTTTAACTATTGGTTTAAATATTCAAGAAGATAAGCAGATAAAAACTCGATTAATCGTCAACATTTTTTAAGCAACGTCAATTAATTTAATATTTAAATTTAAGCATTTTAAATGATTATGTTATAAGAATAATAAAACCAAAATATCAAATATTTCTTTACATTAACAACCTTGTTGCAGACATTAAAATACATTACAAATTTAAAAATGCGTCGAATTTTATAATGTAGATATTCAAGTATACCTCACAAAAAATGTAAATAATTTATTTTAAAACAATTTATATACCTACATCGTATATCAATTATTCCGTAAAATTCATAACTGTAAAAATTGTATTTTTGTAGTTATGTAATTACATAAGTACCGAAATGTGTGTATATGCAGATTGTGTAAACCGTCTGTCATAATATTACACTGGTCTTTCATTCATGAATTATTCACAAATGCAATAACATCTGTGAAAAACGTAAAGCACTTTGAATGCGCATATTACAAGTATACCTTTGAAATCAATGCCATTATACAGCATCTAATGCAGAATAATTAACAAATGCTAAGGCCTAAGAATTAAATGGTTTAAAGTTTAAATGTACCTATGTTATCAATAAGTAATTTTTTTTTTTTTTTTTTTAATAACCGCAATCACGTCCGATCACGAATGTGGCCCGATTAATAATTTATCGCCGAAACACACCCATTGGATTGTGCGCCGTGTTTCGCGTTATATTTTATTTTCTAAACACTAGCGCACAGGCGATGCCGAATATTACGGTGGCGATAAACATTAATTTACTCCTATGACGCGTTTCGGACGGATCGGATTATTTTCTCCCGGTTATCATTGCCGGTGCGTAAGTCGTCGTCGTAGCAGACGCGTCTGCTCAGACGACGACGGATTCCGGCGCACGCGAACTGCTATCGGCAGGCCTCTTGCGTGGGTGGCGCGACCCGCGGCGGGGGATAATCAATTAACCGCCCGGAACGCGGTGCGGTGGCGGTGCTCGCTATCCCGGGCGCCGAAACGGCGACCGCGGCGACGCGCGATCGGTAAGCCGTTCGTACCGCGCCTAAAAATAATGCGTCGGGCCGGATGCGCATGCGCCCGTTGCCGACGCGTGACGTACAAAACGCGGGGCTCTCGACGGCTCGACACCACCACTGGCGGTGGTATTATTTAACACGCGCGTTGTTTGCGGTCGCCGCGGCCAGAGGTCGTTCGGACATCGACCTCCGAGTTTTTTCGCCTTTTTTTTTTTTATTCTTTCTAATAGATACAATTATTATTATTTTTAAGATTAGACTATGCCGCCGAGGTTCGTGCGTATAATATTATTATAATACACACGCACGTGACGTACGTCACACCAACACGACTAGAACACTGACTCACTGATATAAAAGAAAAAAAATCGAAACCGAAATTTGTTTTCTTCCGTTTTTCAAATAATAATAAAACGGGACCGTAGTGGGAAGAGGGTTGACTTGAGAACTTATAAATATTAATGGAATTGTTTTGTTTTGATTTTATATAACATTATTACCGAATAGTCTTGAACCGTTTTTTAAACGACATTATATTATATTATAGGTACCTATGTATCTGATAAATGAATCGATTATAGACAATAGGCAAACCGTATAAGAAACCGCGAATTCGGTGTTCGGATGGCGAGTGTTTTAGAATGAATCTATTGTATTTTTCACTTTAAATTGTTGTTTGAATGATCGGCGGTATTATGCATTTCTTTTTTTGTTTTGAGTTTCTATATTATTTGTTATAGATCGTTTTGACATTCTAAAATTATTTATATGCAATTTCTTCGTAGAAAACCAATCGAATTTCGTTATTCATATTTATTCGGAGATTGGAAACTTCGGCAGGTATTTGAATTATAGTGGGAAAATAATTGTCTCATCAACTCTCTGAAATATAAAAACGATTCCAACAAAGAGTCTGTTATTTTTCACACTGACAATGTAATAATAACATTTTTTAAAAAATGCTAGTTCGTCGTGAGTGTTTTATACATAACTTACAAAAAACGAAAGAAAAAAATTTGTATTGTTCGTGTTTCTAACGGATATCATAAAAAATTTGAACTTGTGGCGACGATAAAAACTTATATAACAATATTTTTATTCTAATAAAGACCAATATATAGAGAAACACGCGATAGTTTAAATATACAACTCAACAAATTCCAGAGTATTTGTTGACAAATTGTACCTCATCCAAGAAGTACAAATGTATAATTTTGTATTTATTTATTCAATATTTTTTAAATAAATATTCGGTGTGGGTTTAACTGAATTACAACAAAATAACCGATTGCAATTGATAGAGACCATTATTTCAAAAACATTTCCGTTTTCCCCAATTATAGTACGAAAACTACTTAATAAAAAAAAAAATCTTCCTGTGTATCAACAAAACGAAATTTGCTACCTAAACCATCTCTGATGTTCGTAATCGGAACATGAATTATTGTCGATAAAATATCCACAGCAGAAAAAAAAGCACAAGTAGGTATTTGCTCGGAATCTAAAACAACGAATTACTGAATTTGCGTAAGCAACGAATATTACAGTAAACAGTAGTATTCTTCATTCGAAACAAAATATTATTATTGAAACGTTTTACAATGCAAAGTTATTATAACTCGATTTCATTCAATTGCCTTTATCGTGACGGTGAAACAAGATGATAATAAATTCACTACACACGACGATTTATGTTGACGTTTCGAATTTATACAAATGAATGGGAATTATGTAACAAAAAAATAAAAATAATAATAAAAAATAAACCCAAACACAAAGTTCGTGGTATGCATAATATATGTTATGGAAAAATATTCAAAATTCTACAAAATTAGTTGTGCTACAGCCGACAACATCACTAATATTATTATACATTTTTATCAAACAGCAATAATAATATGCATGGTAACTAAATATAGGTTCCATTCTATTATACAGTTTCAATATTAGTTGAGTTGGTTTAAATCAGCGTTTACCAAACTTTTTCAGTAGCGTATCCATGAGTTTTCAATGTTAGAGTAAATAACTATCATGAATAAATCATAGAATCTTCTCCTTGTACGCCGAATTCAACAGTGAAAATTCCTAAAAGCCGGACCCAAAATAAATTGTTTTCATTTAATAAATTAATTTATTCCTTGCTACTTGGCTTAAATATATATATATATATATATATGTACACATATTTTGAGATTAAATACTGAATCTTTTACAGATAGGCCTCGGATCGCGCAATTCGATTTTAGAGAGGCCGCCACCGCCGTTTGTTTTTGCTCACAAACAACCTTTTTGAGGAAATTTATAAGCTGTATCCAGAGGTGCAAGAACTAATTTTCATACGGTAAGGTAGAATATAGATAGTGTTATAGAATATAGATAATTATACATAGCTATACTATCTATACTCTCTGAGATTCGTATTTCTCCCCCCCCCCCCCNCCCCCCCCGTGATATGTAGGAGAAGGAGTCAACTCCCCCTCTGTTTTTTTTTTTAATCTTCCTCTTTTATGTGAATAACTGTATAAATATAGCCGATTTACTTAAAATGCATAATTGCAATTTTATAAAGAATATTTAATTATTGTACGTTCTATTATAAATAAATTAACATAACTACGTTGAACAAAGTAATAAAAAAATCGTAATAATTTTTTTCATTCATTTGAAAGTTAGGATCCACTCACCTACAAACCACCTCGACCTGGAAATAACATATGAACAGGAATTGTATTTCCGTTCATGTTCGAGTCCTGACTTGAACACATCCTATGGGTACATGAGTACAAATATAACTTCAAAGTAAAAAAAAACGTCATTTAATTTATATAGATACACAATGTTGCCATAGATTATTACGTAATAACGTAATTTACGTAATGAATAGTGATGCTACGGAATTATAATCGATTTCGACTGGTTTTTTGAAATCATAATATGTATAAATTGTTGAAAATAATAAAATAGTATTCATTTATCATATTCATATTTATCTATATTTTATTTGGGAGACTAGGGGGGCGAAATGATGTTTCCCCGTGTTTTAAACACAAGAGGAGCGAGAGCAAGCGAGTGCCTACCTGCTCCGGTATCACTGACTCTGTCCTTTCTTTATTTGTAATAACCCAAATTCGGCCTCGTAGTGGATCAAAGTCCTTGGAACACCGCGCCGGTCGGGAAAAATAGTTAATAGTTATATACATAATTGTAAGCGTTACATCCGGCTGTCATACGTATTATTCAAATACTATGATAATATTATAAATGAAACATTATTTTTTTAATTTGAAATCCCAATATTAATTTTACTAAATATTTTCACGTCAACGAATTTTTTACACTATTCTACTCATTTACTCAACAATATGATAATATGATTAATATGATATGATTATGTACTAATGTGATGGAGTTTTTTTTTTCAAATATTTGCTATGAGTGTATCAATACAATTTTTTTTATGTGTATAAATTACGTAAAAATGATAGGATTTCAGTTACTAATAATGGATAAAGCGTTTATCGAGAACATATTGAGCTTTTTTTTCCAGAATTCACATCCAAGACACGCGTATGATTTTTGGTTTTAAAATTGAAAAATTGAATTATTTCCGTTGATTTCTAGAGTTCTTTGGTTATACGGTTATACCAGTGTTTTCTAAATGGAGGGGTCGCCCCCCTGGGGGCCATGAACAAATTGCTTGGGAGACGCAAGCAGTCATCACGATTCTCGAAGTAAAATTTGTATTTATTAAATTATTTAAAAATCTAAACAGTTATAACACTATCAACACATTAATGGTAAGTACAATATTAGTGTTGGTGAGGAATGCATGAAAATGTTTTTAGAGCAAGTATTATTTATTCAATCAGTATTTAAAAGGAGAGGAGGGTGTTTGCTATTTAGAAATTAAAAGTGTATATTTATTTAAGGTGTAAATTGATATTGTTGTAGTTTTTTTTCTACTTTCAAAATTTAAAAGTGATTTGTTTTTTATATTATGACTTAAAAGTAAAACAACGATTTGATGTATTAATTTTATTTGTTTGTATGACAATAGACATATAAGTATAACAGTAATTATTAAGACCGGGTATTGTATGGTTTTTGATTTTTTAAACTATCTCCTTTTAGCATAAATTTCATGTCGGAAGTTTGGAGTTATACATAATGCATATTTACAAATTTAATATAATTAAAAATTAGTTAAAAAAACAAAAGTGAATTTAATTAAATTGAAAAATAAAGTAATTATATCCGTTTTCTCGGTGAATATTAATAATAATTTATTATATTTTATTTTTATATAGTATTTATCTATCACCAGTGCTCGAATTGAAAAAATAAAAGAAGTGGGATTACAAGACTTATAAAAATTAGCGTCCCTTGCAATTATTAAACTGATCCTAACACTTGAGGATACTTTACCCCCACACCAACTTTTGAACATAATTCAGTAATTAATCATTTTTGAAACAAACACTTATAGCACTACTGCAGGCTAACTTTTTACTTTTACATGATAGATAATATTGATTTAAGATTCTGCTATGATGATTATTACTATGAAATGTGTTTTTCTTATTTTTTTTCTATATGTGAATTACTCTTCTATCAGAAATCTGGTTCTGATCATTAACTTTAGAGTTGATAGTTTCTTGTAAATTTTTTCGACTTTTTGTTGAAATGAAGTGTATTTTTTGTCCAGTATTTTAAATTATGGGACAAATTCTAGAAAAAACTTCGGATAAGCATAACTGATCTATTTTTACAGTAACGGTTTCTGTTATATTTGTTTTTTTTATTCACTAAAAAATAATCGTAGTGGTTTGAAATTTCACTAAATTCTTTTAGATAGGTATAGTCTCAAATACATAGATTTTTTCAGACATGATAGAACTTTCAAACGATTCTAGACATTTTTGAGGTGTTCATAGCCATTTGAAATTTTCGCAGTTTTTTTAGTTTCGTTTTATGTGTCTCAAATTGTTTTGCCCAACGATAATGCTCCAAAATTGTATACAAAGTTTATCAAGATTTGTAATTAGTGGGAAAAGATATTCAGTGTAATAGTAGTATTTTTTTTTTTTTTTTTTTTTTTATAAGCAATCAAATTTTAAATTTGAATGAAAAAGATGTACCGTCATCAGTGGTGGATCTAAGAGTTGTTCAAGGTTAGGTAGATATTATTAAAACATATATATATATTCTATAAACAAATGTATAGGAATTAGGAATTACGTAAAAAAACATGGAACAAGAGGGTGAGCGTGATTGCCCTGTCACCTCATTTATATCAGTTAATACGTCCCATGCTTTCTATTTTAAACGAATAGTAGAGTTACGCTATATTTTTAAAAAAAGAAATTGTGTTACTCTGTTTCCCTGCGTACCTCCAATTCGAACACTGCCTATACCTATATTACCTTTATTACAAAACCGCACGAGAGCTTAATATTAATGGGAGTACTAAGGAAGCCGTACTTTTAACCCGAAAAAGAGTTTTAAATAACAATAGAGCGAGTTCTGAGGTCTTAGGTCGGTATTTATGAAAACAAAATTGTCAGATGTTCTTTGGGCTCTGACCGAGTTATTATTTTGAGTACACAAGAAACCACTACAGTATAAACAAATCGGTATAAGAAAAAAAATTAAATTATATTTACTCAGAGCATACAAATTTACGACTTTCAAACGCACGTTAACCTCTTGACAGAAATTCATAATATTTTATATTTGTACGTATTTATATACTATACAAAGTGTAACAGATTATTACTGAGTAGCTGCACAGTGCATAACAGTCGTGCCGTTAGAAATATCTGATCTCAAGTTAATAATTTAAAAATTTAGGAATATTTCCCTATTCACTCAGATAGTATTAAATGTAACATCATTAACGTCACTATTTAGTTAAAAGAAAATTGATTACTACGTTTTCCCAGTATTTTCAACGTTTTTTTTTTTTTTTTTTTTATAAAATATTATTATTATAAAACCGATGATTATAAATCGAATGGTTCTTAATTTATTAGGTACTCTGGGTTCGAAATTGCATACACTTTAATTCAGCAGTTCCGAAAGTATACTCGGTGGTGACCCGGGGCGGCGTGTCAATTATATTATCAGGTGTCAAAAAAGACGGATATGCTTCGCACATGGGTGCAGCCACTGTTGGGAAGTTGGGAAGGTAGGATACAGAGGGAAATTCAATGTATATCTATTAGAAACGATAAACCCTTGCTAACGAAAAAACAATTCTAAGCGGAATTCAATTAATAGTGTAGCTTGTCAACAATATATATCATATTATTATGGTAAAATGATTACAATAATGTGCGTTTTCATGACAACAATGATTGTTAAAAAGGATTTTAAAATAATAAAAATGGTTGCTAATGACAACCTTATTCTTAATCTTTCAATCTTATTTAAAGATTGAACTAAGTTTTCTTCATTATCTCGAATATTAATGAGAATATAAAAAAAATAACCTCTCTATAGTACCATTTAGACATTATCTTTCAGAATAAGTGCTATACTTGATAATTGAAGTAAGCTATCTGGTAGAAAATGTTAACATAAAAAAATAATAAACATCATTTAAAAACCAATGAATTCCTCGCTCCGTTCAGAATCTAAAATAAGTTTGAAGTCGAAATTACAGTGAAAACGGCAACGTTGATCATGGTTAATTTGAACGATTACGAAGGCCTAGATTATATTTTTTGGATTTTTCTCGGTAAATACTTTTTCGGTAATAAAAATGCCCCATATTGTTTGCGCTGTACCTAAAAAAATTATAGATTTATTACCAGTGATAATGAATTTTAAAAAAAATTTCTATACCCTGAACAGTAAAGTTTTTTTCTATAATTAAAAAAAAAACTGATAATTATTTTTCAATAGATCGGTTTTATTGTTGTTGATTTCTGAGTTATCATGATTGAATAATGAGAAAAATATTAATGCAAGGAAGTTTTGAGAAACTTTAGGTAGAAAATGGTGTCAGACTGAAAGTTTAGAAATCACTGCAGTTTAACCTAATAAAATATCTATTCTGTACCTATAAAAATTTCGTTTTCATCAAAATCCTACTGTTTGATTCCAAACACGTACTCGTATATTATTATAATGAAATTCGTTTCTTGAACTTTTATTTCGTGAAACTTATTGTCAGACCATAAAAAAATGTCAATGGATAAATAGGTACTATTACCTACATAGTTTATATATTATGGGTGGTATAATATCGTAGATCCGTACAATAGTTTTATAACTTTAGGGCTGTGCAATTGTAGCGAATGACTTATTTTTATGAGCTTATTTCAAATATATAGTTTTGGTAGTATTGAGTTCGAATAAAGTAATAACGAACTGAGTTTTGAAACTTTTATTTTGATTTTTTTTTTGACGTTTTCTATTCGTATGTTCACATTTTGATGTATATGTAGGTAATTTTCTACCATTTTAATAAAATTTTTTATTTTTTTTTTTACATTTATGTTAATACAATTTATTATGTAGGATTTTTTGAAATCTAATTATAATGCGTTCGAATAAGTGTATCGTTTTCTTGTGATTGCAAAGGTTTATCGTTGACTCAAACTAAATTACCTTTTATCTGCCCAACTTTCCCTCCCCTAAAACAGTTTATTCTTACTCATAACTATTTAAAAGCAAAATAAATAAACTTAAGTCATATGGATAGACTCCATTTTGTTTGGACACAAAAATGTACCCAAATTGACAGGCCACAGATCGGTTTAACACATATAGCAGTATAAAAGGCGCATATTGTTGCACCAGGATACCGAGAATTTCCCTGTGGACCCTTCTTATTTAAGTCTTTAATTCATATACGTTTAAAATTTTCCCTATTCCTATTTTCTAATTGCATATTTAAGCTTTGTGTTTCTTCACGTACTCAAGAATGTTTATCATTTGTGTTCAATCATTTCCTGGTATACAAATTGAACACAGTACGCGCCAAGAGCAGTACCTAAGTATTTATTGTTTAAATACAATTCAAACATGTATAGAAATCATAATATTGCTAAATGATTACTTACAGCGATCATAGCGGGTGTTGGGTATGATTGTTTCAAATATTTTATTATGATTATAATATAAGTATACAGGATATCCCACAAATACATACCTATGCTGCGATATATAAACCTTTTTCGAATTTTTTTTATTAGAAAATCAAATAAATAAACAGTTTTAAAAGGACTATACCATACTATAAAATCATAAAAAAAACCTAATATTACCCAAGCCCAAAAAAATCAGGGGTTGTAACTAAAGCTACTAGAGTATTCTGTATTTTACATTTTTGTTCACACCGTCACTGCCTGTCATTATTTAAATCATGTCCATAGTATGGGAACTATACTTTAGGATTATTAAATTGTGATAGACTAAAATTTAAAAGTAAACAAATTACAACTGCGCATTTCTTAGGTTGGATCTACGTGAAACCCGTAATCATATTATACGTGCGTTGAAATAAGCCTATGTGATTACCGAGAGCTACTGCTGCTGCTGCTGATACAGTAAAACCTCAAAATCAAATCTATCCGCACGAGACGATATCTATACAAAATAATCACACCTGTATATAGGGCGGCGTGACGCGCATTCAGGTGTGTTCGGGTAGGTATAATAATATATAACGAAAATTGGTCCCACGCTATAAATTATACGGCGGGTTCACGTCTGAGAATCTGAGATCTGATGAATCTATAATATTCAATAATCGGTTATATTGGCGTCTTTACACATCGCTGCAGGTATTAGGTACCTAAAACGCTTATAATGTTTAATGTGTATATTATATATATATATATATATATGTGTAAATATGTACATAATAATATATTGGATTCGGTTTGCGGACGTATGTCAATTTGCCCGGGATCAAGTATGGGTAAGTATAATACATACCGTCTACATTATACATTATAATGTATAACAGTCCCTAACTTCTTTGCTTTTGATAAGGGTGGATGTTATAAGCCAATTATATATATATATACGGGTATAATAAGTAGGTTAAAATTGGGCCAACGTGCGTGTGATAAAGACCAGTGGAAATATATTATATGAATAGTGTGATATTATTATTAGGTAATTATTATTACTATTACTATACGGTCCTCTCGGTCCCAGCGTATTGTTTGTACAAGTAGAAAACTTAAAAAAAAAATTGTATAAAATACAGTTTTCGCCCGTAGCGAATTGGCCTTTATACGTCATAAAATCAATCTTTAATGCTATTTGATTAAAATAATTATAGTGTTCACCGAACTTAATAATGCATTTTGGAATATTATTTGAAGTTTTGTACAAAAAAATATGTTGCTGATTACATTAGATACAATTTTCCGTTATAGCTTTTAAACAGCTGATTATAAATACATATAATTTTTTTTTATCAGTTTATACGTTTATTTAGATCTTAGATTTTGATATTTTACCTTAACACTTTTGGAAATTAACATATTTTGTTCAAACAAAATACTATAGAGTGCAATATTTACATCTTTTAAGATAAGACACGATCAAATCGGAACACTTTTACTACCCAAAAAAAGGATACTTATATATCATAGAAAAACTATGATCATAACACTTTGAATCTAAAAAATGCTAAAAAAAATTTTAATAGACACAAGGCGAATAATTGGATCATTGAGTTTGTAATTAGTAGAGCGGAAAAAAGGTGAAAACATTTTAGTTGAACGGATAATTCGTTATTATTTTACCTACGAATTACGATGTATGAATATATTATTATTTATAAGTGCTTACGAGTTGTTGGGTGAACCTTATTGGTTTCGTCCATCGGACCAAGGTCATTTTAGGTACATGTATACAAGGTGATCCATTTAAATGTCTATATACTCGATATTCCGAAAAGTATTAAGTAGGTAGAGAGAGAGAGTGGAACACTTAGTAACGCAATATTAAAATACCGCATGTCTCCAATTATGTTCCATTACTGTCCTTTATCCAAACTTAAAAGCAAAATATCTCGTCAATGCCCTAACGAAAATAAAATATCTCCACACTAAAATTAATGCCCCATCTATTTATAGAATTTGTAATATATGTTGCTATTTGGGGTTAATGGATTCATCTCCTATAATAAGGTTGATAGTAATATTACATTTCAGAGCTACTTTTTTCTTGAATGTTCTAAAAGACAATTTTGAAAAAAAAATGAGTTCTTTTCGAAATATGGAGTGTCGAAAATTAAAAGGAAATCAGTGTAAATAATATATATATATATATATATATATATATACACAATGTGCCTTTTTATTTAGTTATTAAATATGTATTGAAATTGAAGATCAAAAACGTATCGAGGACAACCTCGGTATTTTTCTATAAAAATTACACGTTCATATAAAATTCGGTTTATCAACTATCCACACGAGCAACAAACAAATCATAAATGCAACTGAACATGGCTTTAATCATGTCATGTAAAAATAGGTGATTTTATTGAAATTATATTTTATAAACCTAAACTAATATAATATTTGACCATTTATATACATATATTAATTAACATCAAAATGAAATAAAGATTAACATTTAAAAACAAAACGAAAGAGCTGATACTGCTGATGGATACGCCACTGTTGTAGATAAGAATTTGAGAAAGTAGGATACTACGTAAAGTTGTTTAATTTATATCTGCAAGTAACGATCAACCATTACTAATGAAAAATAATTCTGAGTGAGTTCTGTTTCTAACATAATATTATAGAAAACGAAACAAATGAAAAAAAACTGCATTCCTATATAACGCGTGTTTTTCTAATTTATTTATTTAAAATAGTTAATGCCTATTGAACCTATCTACATGTATTACCGATGTTACTTAATTTAAATATTATAAAAACAAGTATCACGCGTAGGTAAAAAAAACCTGATATTACCGGTTATATGTATACTAAATATTTCGAAAATTATCAAAACACGGTATGCGAACGAATAGAGATTTTTACTAACAAAATTAACATATTTTATTATAATCTGTTAGGCCGTATAAGACTCTTGTTTTATTCTTTTATAAATCATTATCGAACAGGCAATATGACAGAGAAATTAAACACGATAAATTATATAACGTGCAGCTAGTAATCTTTAAGGGATTTTTTTCTTAACTATTCGATTAAATTTAGTCGGTCATAATAATCCACAAGTTATAATCTTAACATAGGTACCTACCTAGGTGATATTTACTTAAAAAAAAAAAAAATACTAATATGTCAAAGAAACAGAATGCAATATTATTAATTTAATGTAAAGTAGATATTGTAGAATACAACTATGTATATATTAGTAGGTAATAATAATTAATATTTTTAATTTTGCGATTTGAAACGATATTTGGTACTGAAACTGAGTAGAAATTGTATAATTTAAAATCGTCTAATTATATCTAAAGGTTCTCTACGATAATTACGTGCATCACTATTATTGTATTCGTATTTATAATATTAATATGTAAAACCGTCGCGTAAGACTTTTCGACCGTATTCACTGTCATAAAAACGCGTATAACGTCTTACATTTTGAAATCATAAAACTTAATGCTTTATTCAGTCTCGAGAGGGCTGAGGCGGAAAAAAACACACAAACATTTACGTATACATCGTTTATACACATTGTTATAAAAACTAATGGCTGTGCACATTTATCGCTCTCCGTTTGGGATGAAAAAAAAAATGATAATAATTTATGATAACATATAAAACAGGACGCCGTGTTGCTGCAGTTATACTGTATAACCCCGGTTGTAAATTATCACGTTATTGTTGTACCTATATAACACAAAAATTGTGCCACGAAACGACCTCTGATACGTATTTTTTGAAGTTATGCCTACTATTATTGTTGTTGTAGTGTTAATTTTTTTTATTTACAGACGTTAATATTGAGCATATTAATGTAAAAATACCTAATGCATAATGGTTTTGCGCACAACTTGGCATAATTTAAAAAAAAAGGAAGATAGCTCAATGTGTATTGGTTTTACGATGATTTGAGCACAAAATATTTTTTGTAATCTAATTAAGAATAATTTTAGAAAAATATAAGTAATGATCATATCATTCTTCTTGATTTCACAAGCATGGATTAACTTTACAAACAAATATAATTTTTGTTTTTTGAAATAAGTTATTACTATAGTTCTACATTACTAACATTTTATGGGTACAATTTTTTTCATAAATCTAAGAATTTAGCAAGTATAAGTAGGGTTGGGTGATTCCCGGGAACGAAGCCCGACGGGAATTGCCAGAAATATGCGGGTATCATTGGAAATCACCAGGAATAATTTATTTTTATTAAACCTTACATAGTATGTTGTGTATAAATATACAATATAGGGGCTATAGGCAAAACTGAATAAATAAAGTACATAGACATTAATTTGAATTTTCGATCAGTAACAGTAATTAATAACCAATAGACAGGATTGACAAATATTGGCAGTGTCAATTTCACCAAACAAATTATTTAATATGTTTCAATAAATAATGGGTTATAAAAAATATGTTAATATATAAGATAAAAAAAAAAAGCTGATACTGGGGATGGAAGTGGCCTCTGTTGTAGGTGATAGTTTACGTACGTTTGGCCAGCCTCCCAATCCCCCAATGGAAAATCCAAAAACAAATTATGCAAATATTTCGCACGTGATTAGCATTAAATCGCACATCATTCGAATACTTAGATTTTTTATTTTTAAGGAGCATCCTGTAGTGAATCCGAATTTGATTTTTTAAATGAGAACCTATATTCGAAATTTCATAAATAGATGGAGTATTACTTTAAATTAATTTTGATGTTAAAATTTTTGATATCCGTCAATCCCTGTTTTTCTCATTTATTATGAAAACAGCCTGGAAAATCAAAAAATAACCTCCTAATGCCCCATCCCTTTCAGATTTCATTTCAGAAAAAGTGTTATCATTGTAAATCGGAGCAAAATTTCTTGTAGAAAAGTTGTTCACAGAAAAAAAAATTAACACTATTGTAAAACCAATACATTCCTCGCTCTACTCAGAATCTGAAAAACATAGACAATAATAAAATCAATATACTTCTCAGTACTTTTAAAATCTAAACATATTAAAAAATATTAAAATACTAAATTAAATTCTAAAATATTGTTCAAGATGGATACCTTTTTGAGGTCTTATTTTTGCAGTAGCAGGGGATATATGTAACGAATTTAAGGATACGTTTCAGGGATAGAAATTTGGCCATCTCGCGGTCCTCACTATTCGTTTTTTTTTAAAAAGAGGTATTATTATAAAAAATTAGAAATTATTTCATAAACTTTTGCTTAGGACATCAGGACGTGTAATATATTGGCATATTGTATTTGTTTTATGTAAATTATAATTAATTGTTATGGTAAATTACCCACTGTTATCCGAAAAAGTATTTTTATAATTTATATCCCGTTTAATAAGAACGATACGTCGTTTTAGAAAATGATTATTTCTTCGTGAACACCTGATATTCTTCGCCAGTGTTTATACAATTTAGGCCATTATTACTTTTGAAATTTTCTGTTGTATACTTCACGCTAACATGAGCATGTTAGTATTTATTTATATTGCTGTAGAATAATTTCTATTATTTTTCCTCGATAGACCAGCAAGGTAATTGTTCGTAAGTAGGTAGATTAGGTTATACTAATCTTATACGTTCAAAGCTCGCGTTTAGTTCCAACGATTTAATAGTATAGTTTGTATTCGTTAGAGAAACGCGAGCTGCCTTTGAGGGCGCTTTGAAAACGTATCTATATATTATCAGCTATATTACATAAATGCATTCCGTATTTATGTATATGCAATAAAAAGGAATATGAGAATACGTTTGTATACGTAAAAAGCAAATAGCGGAGTTGTTAAGTCTATGACACACCCCTTAAGAGGCTCAATAATTAAAAACACAAACAATTTAAAACATAAACAATTAAAAACAAATTTGCTAAAGGTAATAAAAAAAATCAAAATTAAAAATAAAATTGACGTAAGTTTATGTGTTTAACTTGTTAATAGGCGGCCGGCCATGTCCAAATAAGCTGTTCTCAATGGCTGTTTGAACTGCATGGTTTATAAATAATTTCCGACAGATCGATTTTAAATACCACGTTGAAATACCGTGTTATCGTAAATATATTATTAGTAAAATCGTTTCGTCTTGGGCCTTCAGCTATCTCCATTCGATCGACTCTTGAGTTCATGTCGGCCTTTTAATCGAAAATAAATCATGCTAGGTAGTTATCAGGTAAAAATCGATAAAAAAAAAACTGCTAAAAATATATTCCTCAATTATCGGTTTCAATCTGACGGGTAGATTCATACGATTCGTGTTTTGCTAAAATAATTATTTTTACAATAGCAAAACTTTATTATGCAACTTGCCTCAAAATTTAGGATATTTTTTTTAACTGTTTTTTGAAAGAAAACAAAAAAATAGGTATCTTGAAAATTTAATAACTGAATAAACTGAATAAACAATTTTTTTCGACATTTTTGAATTTAGTAAAAAAAAAAAAAATTGAAACGTTTGCCGTGTAATTAAAATTGTTTTTATTATTACTGTTATTGTGGAAAAAAAAAAAAGAAAAACAAAGAAAACTGCTCATTTAAATATAATATTGATTTACCACGAAAATACTAAGGGCGATACGGGACTTTTGGGCGATTTGCTGTAAATAATATAGTACTTGGGATAACGGGAAAAAGTAATATGTAAATAACGTCAGGAAAACTGTAAACGTATTTTTTTACGGTGTGTAAACGTATAATAATACGTAAATTGTACGTGTTATTTAATATGTCATTATGTGCGCAGTGTTTCGTTGATAATAACGAGTTTTCAAGTTGTAAGTCGACATAATTGTTTCGTATTTAAAATAATAATAATAATAATATAGGTATATGAGCGCACGACCGATGGACGGAGAGTCTGCGGGGTATTTGCTTTAGGTTGTACAATGCGTACGACGGCGACGAGTAAAAATTAATAACACCTTCACGCCATTATATATTACTTTACGAAATAATAATAATAATAACACCCGAAAATGAAACGAAATACAAATCGTTATGTTATCGTTATATCGTACATTATGCATATTATGTAGGCTGCATCGTGTCGAAATAATCGCCCGTTTAAATATTAATACAGGAAGCCGTTGACTTCGACGTGACAGCTGTTATATTGTACATATATTATAATAATACTTGTTGTTTGTTACGAGTGCAGGCGAGTGTCGAAATAATGGCACGTGGCCGGAGACGAGTACAACAATATTGCAATGTTATTTATAACGTATTAATCTGTTGTGAGGAATATCACACTTATTATGTGTTACTCGCAAATTTGGGCGAGTTAACGAAAACAATTCTCTCGGATTATTATTTTTTTTTTGTTATAAAAATTAAACATTAAACTTATTTAATAATATTATATTTGTTAATATTTAATTTTTATGAAAATAAACTAAATCAAACTGTTAAAGTAAAATCGTGATGCATACCTACATCGTATAGGTATATTGAGAACAGCTAATTGAAGTTGAATTTCAAATGTCGAAAATAATCGTTCATCTTAAACTCGACAACTGAATGTGTTTTGAAAGTTTATATAATACAACTTGAACTCATTAAATTAATTGGTTAACTATGGAAATAATTATTAACTATAGTTAAGTTAAAAAGACTAATAACAATATCAGTGACGTATTTACGGGGGAGATTAAAAAGATATATCTTTCCACGCTCTTTGACCTTTTTTATTTTTTTAATATTTATACGAATTGAAAATCTATAATTTAATGTTATATAAACATAGTTTTATAGTTAATAAATATTTTTAAAAAAACTGTACGTATATTTTCTTATTTAAAACGAAACGTATCTGAAACACTTTATTATGAAAGAGGTTGGATTAATAGGTAGGTACCTAAATAGTAAATACTTGTAAAGTAAATAATTATTTACCTATACCTATAATTAGGTATTTAATTTTAAAGATAATTTCAGAACAGACTGAATTATACATTACTTAAGAAAACATAGAGGAAAATCATACAAAAATTATTTTTTTTAGCCTGGATATACGATACACGATATATAATATGAAAACATTTTAAAATTTAACATCTCCCTCCTTGGCCTAAACATGCCACTGTAACTTATTTACTAGGTAATTAATACCCACTGCCGTTTACAGTATTAGAACTAAATGCAAATTAACTAACAACGGTTTCTGTGTCGTTTTTTTACATCTAATTTCAACTATACATAAGTCTCGTATAGAGTTTTTAACGACCTGCACATATTTGTTTGTGGTTAACAATGAAAATAGGATTTTAATGTTTTGTAGCTATCACAAATAAGGTACTATATTTAAAGAGCCTATATATATTAAGACAGTGGTCAACAGTATATAATAATGAGCACCGATTGTCTAACATATTATCTATACTCACGGATTGTCATTTTGTATCTTACAGTTATATCCTACAGTATAGTATATTAATAGCTATTATCATTAACATTTAAAAGTTTTTGACGATAAAATAATTTAAATTTTTCAAAAAAATAATGCACTTTCACTTCAATAATACTTTGATCCCAAGGAAAAAGGCTTAAGTCAATTGTTGGCTTTGTTTCCTCCAATAATTTTGATTTGAGTCCTTCTTCTCAAGGAACAAAAATTTATAATATTATTATTACAAATGTATACTAGAATAATAATTTTGTATTTTTGTTTGTGGATACAAAATGGAAGTCCGTTTAATAGTGATAAATTCCGATGATCACAGCCGATTGATCTGATTCGATCACTTAATCACTCCAATCACTATTAAAACACTATTCTCACTGATATAAACGTTGATTTTTAATAAATTGTAAGTTATACTTATATTACTGTAACGTAATAATTTTATGAGAAAATCGACATATCGCGGTCAGACATCAATCACAAATTAGTGGGATCATATTCAAAAATCGGATAAACGTCTTCGTCTACACCGGAGAAAACGGCCATTAGTAAATAGGTATATTATACGCTATCTAGTTATATCTAAATAATTTATTACAAGCAGTTGATAGTATTATTTTAACAAGAAATAGTAGATAAATTAGTAAATAAATCGAACATGCTTAAATTTAGAGTCATTTATACTAATATTATAATATGGTTTGGCAAAAACTAGTCTCTTGAGCTTTGCTAATTTAAAGGTTTCAATAGAGTGCTATATAATAATACTATTTCCTAGTGATTTTATAATAATTGTTGTAAGTACTCACATTGTCATGAAACGCAGTACCAATAAATTGATGCTTGCGGCGACCACGGCCAGCCCGAACAGAATAAATACCAAACTTAGAGCTACGTATCCCGGCATGGTCGTGAGCGCCTGATCGTTCTGAAACATTATTACCACCCATGTTTAATATTAGTTGTTTAATGATTCGGTTAAAATAAAATACGGCCGACTTATGCTGTAATGTACACGGGGAGTGTTTTACAAACAAATTACAAATCATACACAAAATAGTATAATAGTATTGTAAACGTTTCGAACTAACGCTAGTAATATATAATGCGTAACAGACGCGGACTGTTAAAAAAAATCACACAGGATTGTGTTATATAATTTTAGGGCAAATATTATCGGGTCTAATTATGTATAATAATAACAAAACACAAATTTTAAAAAGCCGATACATGAGTATTTCGCGCCATTGTTGTAAGTAGGAAGTTGAGAATGTTGAATATATTTATATATATAAATTAAATAAAATAATATATATAATAATTTATATATATTTGGTAATTAAATTTTTACCTGAGATTTGATTGGATTTTAAGGTATGTTATTTTAGTGATGAGTAAATAAAATAGATCATTACTTGTATTATACCTGTATAGTCGATACACCCATTCGTTATAATAGGTCATCATTATATTAATAGGTATTATAGGTCATTATAATTTCGGGGTTAATATAATTTTTGAGGAAGTTAGAATAATGATTTTTTTATATAATTTTAAAAGATTTAAGTACCCCCTAACCCCCAATATTTGCTTATATTTGAATCAAAAATAAATTAAATTTTTGTACATAAATTGTTCATGGTCTAATTTCCATAGCATATATCTATAATAATTTCTAATACATTTTTAGAGAATTATACAATTTTCATTAGTAATTCATGTTATCTTTATATAGATTTGATTAAGGCAAATTTATGCCGTTTGGGATGAATCAATTTTGGGTTTATAGTAATATCCTAGCATCCCAGCTGATCTACATCTGAATACTAGTATATAATAATATATGGTATAAATAATGAATATGGAGGTTCTTTCGATCACTTTTTAGATTTTGAACGGAGCTAGAAATGTATTGGATTCACTAGGATTCAGGTACTAGGGCTACAAGGCACAAATTATTGATCAAATTTCTCAAATTGTTACACCATTGATAAAAATGTATAATTTATATATTTTTTTTTAACAAATTTACAAATATGAAAACCACTATTGTTTTTGTCGAATTATCCCCAAAAGGAGGAAATTTTAAATTGTATTGGGTCTATTATATATGCATATATATATTTTTTCTCCCTTTTTTTGACGCTTTTAGCAGTTCCCTTAGGACTAAATGGGCTCAAACTCTAAAATTTAAGTTGTTTCATAGGAAGATTGAAGTAATGACATTTTACTTGAATTTCAATATGAATATTTCACTATGTTACTGTGAAAGAAAATCTTTATTCAGCTTTTTACACTTTTACAGATCACCTGAGTGAAGCTAGGGAGATGAAATTGTATATATGCCTGTTATTGTTCACAAAGATTCGCCTTTTAGGGGTTTCTATTTACATGCCTTCCATCTCTAACCATTTATACGATACATTTTTACCAATGTTTGGCAAGTACTGTATACATCGTAGTATAATATTGCACATATTATCTTATTAAAGCATTCGGTTATTTATTGTTTTGCACTGAATATTTCTACTACAGTGTAAAATATAGACATGGACTTAAGTGATTGCTGTTCACGGGAGGTTTTTTTTTTTTTTATAAAATATGAAAGAAGATTATTCCCCTATATCTACCTTTATAGCTCGTAATTCGAACGGTGTAAATAAAATGAACCCAAAACGGGCTTTTGATATAGAATTTCGTATCGGACTCCGTCGCACAAAGGTCGAAATAGTATTATGATAATATTATATTTGGTAGGTAGGTGCCTATTATTATTATTATTATTATTATCCTCTTCATGATATACAAGACGACACAGGGCCGATTGGTCGGTGTTTCTCACGTGCCGCAAAATTCGCGACATGATTACTAATTAATGTCTGTCTATATTATATTATTACTGTTACGATTATTATATGCTTATACATACGTCACCTGACCTAATATAATATTCTCCGGTTACGAAATAATGCAATTATGCCAACGGGCAATAATGGAATTTTCGGCCAGTTTCCGCGGCCAATGTGTAGCTAGAGAAACGGGACGATCTCCTATCACATTCGGCGCGTATAAAGTGCGACTCGAAACCGAGAAATTAAATCCAGATAGACCCCGAGGGGAGGCGTGTATAGGCCATAAATAATATTAGGTGTGTCATTACCCGTTAATATATAATTACAATTTGTAATTACTAGTCGTATATGCCGCCGCCCACCCTCTCACATATATGACCGGTTATAACCGGCGTCAAAATGTTTAAAACCTCTACGGTGAACTAGATTAAAACGTATCAAGTAATCCAAGCAAACGCTTTTATTCACGCGTATACGAATTAATTCTAGCGAAAAAAAACGTTTTGACCGAAATTTTATCACGCATCTGAACTGCACACTGACTTATAAGATGGACTGAAATATAAATGATGTTAAACGATTAAAATGTCCGATTGACAATAATATTTATTTTGTGTCAACTGCACTCGTCTAATGAAAGTCGACTGTAACAATAATAATATTATATACGACTAACTCTTGATGTGCATTTACAATATTTAGGTAACTGCATGCACAATAATACAAAGTTGCATTGACGTCTTATTTATTACAAAGAAAAATTATAAACATGCATGGACTCGGGTACATCTACAAGATTGTTAGGTTAAGATGTCATACCCGAGTATGATATCTCTGTGTAACATTTGCACGAAAAAACAAAAGTACGCTACTTTTAAAATAAATTGTAGTGTTTAAATTTAAATTGGGGTTTAATCATAAATAATAAAATTTAAGAAATTAAAGCTATTTAAAAAAGACAAAAACACTGATATGGGTGCAATTTTTTTGTAGAACACCAAACAATTTTCTCCTTTTTTAAATTGTGTTATTTGCATTTAAGCTCCAATTTCCACCTAACCGCCACAGTTCACATTCTAATTATAAAAGAAAAGTGTTGGACAGACTACAGATCTGGCCTTTTATTATTAAAAATAAAATTATTTTTGCCGGAACTGATGTACACTAACATGTACAAACTGAAAATCCCCTATCGCCATCGTTTGGCACTAAGCGCGTTCATACTGCATGCGTTTCCCTCTCTCTCCTCAGTCTTCCCCTGCCTTTTTCCATACATCGAAATTAAAGGTTTAGCGGGACCGATCGGTCTTCGACCCCGTGGAATTAATATAATTATACTCGCGATGATGTTTTCGTTATATATAGAAACATGTGTTTTTGCTGTTGTACCATCTGTGTGCAGACAATGCACGCTCCACTGCAGCTCAGTTTAAGACAGATGCAGTAGATACGTGTGAAGTCACTTTTAAGTGTAACAAACACAAAATAAAAAAATATAATGATAAAACAACTTTTTTATACCTTTTTTTAATTTTTAAATTCGATTTTTAACGTCAAGACATTTATTGTAGTTCCGATAATATTTATTGTTTTCGTGCAGATAGTAATGTAAAAACTTATTTTATTGAATTATTAAACACCCACCACTGATAAGTGCTTTAAATTATGGTCGATTGTACATGTGCATCAATCAGTGCAGGGGGTTGGGAGGGAAAAGGAGTGTATTCCCCCTCCCCCTGGATTTTCCGCACATACTTAAAAACCGTTTAAATATAATTCATATAAATACTCGTATAATTGCAAAATGCAATTAGAAATAATACATTGCCCTTCTTGGATTTTTTAAAATTGACGGCCATAAATCGGAGATATTCTGTAGACTATAGCAAAGAAGTTAGCAGTTTTACTAAGATAGATTTTTTCGAAAAAACACTTTTATGGTGAGAAAAATTTGAAAAATATGTCTAGATACCTAATATTTTTTTTTTAAAAACTAAAAAAAAAAAACATAAAAATATCGATTGATACATTGGCATTATTTTTGCTAATGTATAATTAGCTAAAATAAAAAAAAAACACACGACCAATACAATTACCTAAACAGTTTACTGCACTTCGTTCAGAATTGGTTTTTTTATTGAAATGATTTATCTTTGATATTTAGTATACATAAATTAAATTTTCTTATATTCTATTTCTTTCAAACCTTCTAAATGCAACAGTGGTCCACTCATATGTAACGGAATACGCGCTTCCTAAAAAGGGCCATTTTAAGACCAGCACATTATTATTATTTGAATTATGGGCAATAAACTCCCGTTCAACGTATCATATGATATGTCTGATTTTTTTAAATTTTAAATATATTTTATACTTTTAGATTATTTTCACTATAGAACTACTATATTAACTACTATCTTATATATTTTAATAAAAACTTATATATTATATTATATATAATATAATATAATTACTTATATTTTAATAAAAACTTTTAAAATTAAAAGGCATATTAAGTTATGTATAAATTCTAATTGTTAAAATTTGACTATAAAAATCTATATTTTGATAATAATATATCTGATTAGTAAATTTATTTTATTTATTTTCAAAATGTAAATGTCTTGTGAATTTATTATAAATACAAAAATCGAACTCTCAAAAACGTTACACAGAAACGACAAGATAACAGGTATTAATAATATCAATTAAAAAAAAAAAAAAAAAACAAACGACAAAAATTATGAAACACGTTTTATATCCCTGAAATAAAGAATTACAAAATCGATCATTTTCTTGGAAATATAATAATATATAGGGTATTGTATTTTACTATTCTACATCGTAATATAAAAACCCTAAGATATCTTCCTTTGTTTGTCGGTTCGTATTACAGTAATCCCTTGATTCTTCAGATTACTATATCCCATATACGTCATATAACAATAACAGTATACGTCCTTCTGGGTTTACGGAACGTGGTCGCGAATATTTCATCCGGTCACGGTCATCATACAATGTCTACACAATGCCGTAATACTATATACGTGATAACCGGTCAAATTATTTGTTGATATTTTTACTG